CGAGATAATAAATGACGAGAAAGTTGAAACTTATTAATTTAAAGGAGGAGAAAGTAAGAGAAAGAGATTCTTATATTCCACTCGAATCTGTCCAGAGTGAGTTTCTTACTTAACTCACTTATTTATTCGAGTCACAGAAATAGAAATACTGCAAAATGCGACGACGAAAACCCACTCAAAAACGTTATATTTATCTATCGGAAAGTTACACAATTTCATGACACGTTAATTTCCTTAAATTAAGTAGAAAATTCTATATTTCCGTGGGAAGAAATACACGCGTTGTATCCGTGCAAAAATAGGACATTGCTTTGACCCTGTAGCCCACATCTTTTGTGCACGGCCCACCCTCCAGAGCGAGTTCTGCGAGTCTGCTGGGTCTGATTATGTCCAGGAGCGAAGGGTCGTCCGACACGATGCAGATTGTGGAGAATATGTAAGAAAACCAAGTTCTGAACTTTCACTTTTTGCTTACATAATAAATCGTGAGTTGAAACAGTGTTTCGACCATCTCAAGTTTCAAGCAGTTCATTCCAAGTGTGTAATTCGTCTCAGGGGGTGAAATGAGACACTCTCAGTCGACCACCTAGGTCCCATCCCAAAAACCACCCGTGCTCAGACTTTCTCCCAGTTTTTCTTCCTGTTTCACCCACTTTTTCGAAACACTGGAGTCCATCACGTCCGAAAAGAGAGAGAGACCAGCCGACCAAGCAATCATGTCCACTCTTGAAGCCTATAAAACTCTTGAAAAGTTGAAAAGTAAGGAAGAAGAAGGAAAATTAAATTCGAGATGGTAAACCGGACAGAAAATGCGGGCCAATTTGCTCTCCTCGTTCCTTCGTACCACAATTCTGCCTACTTACTCGAACAACTGGCATGGAAGGCTAGTCAATCGTTCACTTGGTGAGTGGAGTTATTACTCCACTAATCCATCAGCTTTGCCCTAGTGCCACTTTACTTTCACTCAAATATCCTCCCGTCATGGGAACATGCACTGGACGCATAAAGATAAATCTGCAATATGGATTGAATTCGAATTCAATATATTTTGTTGGGTGGGTCGTGCAGAAAGATTTTTATCCCGGTTTGTTTGGTGCTTGATTTTTGCACTTTTGCACTCCACATTTCTTGCAGGGCAAAAAATTGCAAGAAATTTATACGCGACTCTTCTTTTTATTGCATTTAATTGTAGAGATTTTCCGCATATTTCTTGCACTTTTACACATTTCTTGCACCACAAGAAATTGCAAAAAATACGCGCCCTTTGTCCACACGGATTGTTCTCTAGACGGCGCTTATGTTTTGCATTATTACCACTCGTGCAAGAAATATGCCTGCAAAAAAAACACAATTTCTTGCACTTTTACCCTACGATTTTCAGTTTTTTACCCTACGTGTGATGACCTCTCCAACAGGTAAGGCTTGACATGGGGTCAGAGTCGATAACAGGTTTTATGGACGGGGCTGAGTACGTAGGTGGTTGTGCTGGTGTGGACCTGGCCGTCATGAATGAGTAAAAGAAAGCTGAGCTCAGCCTGGCTTATCTGAACGGGTGTGCAGTGCAGTTCCTCTCTGTCTGCCAATCCAATCTAGACAAGTTTCAGTACACCTTTGGTTGTAACTGTGGCGTAATTCGAACTTCCACATGGGTCCACTCCACACATACAATTTATATAAGTTAGTTAGTCAGCCTGGTTTTGGTTTTTCGGAACAGTGTGCACAGGGAATTGGAGGAAACAAAGTTGTGACACCTTCCCATGATCAATAAAGGACTGCATTTAATGACGCAGTTGTAGATGGGCCTACTTATTTCGTTGCTTAGCAACCCTTACGGACTAGGATTTTATCAAATTTCTAATTTCAATTTGAAGCTGTGCTATGAATTTGATTCGTATCAGTCAAGTTGTGAAAATGCGACAGTAAATATTTCTATTAGCTATGTAAATATTTCTGTACACAGCTTTCGAACGAGGAGGTGCTAAACTCAGAAGAATAAAGTGTTCAATCTGCAAGGATAACTGACCAACTAAATCATGCAAATTTCAATTACAAAGGTCACAAATGTCGTAAATCACAGCTTGCGTATAAAGTGAATTTTAACACCAATCTTGACCCCTCACACTTTCACTTTGTACAGCTCACAAAACCAAAATAACCAGAAAAACGATACCTATTTTTTAATAAACTTGGATTATATCTTCTCCTTCATAAAATTGTATCGTCGACCTTGCGGACCTGCTTTAAAAAAATCAATCATTCAGAACTACTACTCGTGAAACGAAATTGCACTTTTTTCGCAAAATGGTATAAAAAAGGTGCAAGAAACGATATGAATGTACGAAGGAAAAGTTTGTTCACATTTTTACTATCAGTTTATATTTGTTTGTTAAGTCGTAACCATAAATTTATACGATTTCTTCCCAAGAAGAAAGTAAGTTTAGTGTTCACTTTCACTTTCAAGGGAAACTTGGGCAAGAAAGTTTTTAACTTTGGAAAATTATTCCACAGTGAAAATGATGTTTTCGGATTTATTTTCCGGCCTGGGAACCCCAGACATTAATTAAAATACATCACGGCCTGAATAAACGGCAGGGTTTCCCAGTTAAATAAATCGTAAAGGTCAATTTATGTATTATTCGTCTCCCCAAAAGTATTTTTCGGATCGATGATGCAACAAGAAAGCATGAAAATCTTAACAAATCAGTGAAAACTATCTCACACCAAGATTTCAAGAATTTCACTCTGGGGCAATTCACGTTAACTCGTAAAATCGGTGCGTTTTGTAAAATAATTTTACAAAGTTTCACAAAATAACGAGACACCCTTGATCTGAGTAAGTTTACCAAAATTTGGAAGCTAATTTTCCTATGAAATATTTGTAAGATTTTGCAAAAGTTTTGAAGTTTGCAGACTTTGAGGATTTTTCAATGTTATCAAGGCCTTATTTATTTGGAACCCTGCCCTCCTCATGGAAATGTTATATTAAGGACTCTGCAAAAATTTGAAGTGGAGTGCAGGGGTCAAGGGGTCATCCTATCCTTCCCGTGTTAATTATAACATGGGGTATATACATTTAGGCCATGCACCACGAGGGGGGGGGAGCAGGGGTTAAATTCTCCAAAAATCGATCAGACTAGAAAGTATCGAATTCTGCAGTAGTCTACAATAGCTTAATGGATAGTGTATTTTGCATGATTTTTATTATTATATAATCCTGCCAAATTTCTATGCGTGTTATTCCGCAGAACCGTATGTGCATAATTCTGTAATGAAAAATTTCTCTGCATAAAACGGGACCAAATTTCCACTCGGGCATGCTTTATGTACGAGCCCCTAAACACATATTCATAATTATCTTCGTACACACAGCCACTTATCATTTACCCAACTTCCGGTTAGGTTTCCTTCCTCTCATAAATTTCCATAATTTCCAAAACCTACATACACAGCTAAATACAAACAAGTAGGTTGGTTTGGGTGAACGCATTCTCGGAGCGAATTTCTGGTGTAATTTGGCTGCCCATGTATGTGCCCTGGCACTTTAGCAAACATGTCATGAAATTATTAAGCTCGTACCGTTGCTTGTCCAACCTGGCATATTTACGAGCTTACTTTCACCCCGAATATATACACACTTTTGGTCCCACTACAGACCAATAAATTAGGATTTTCCCACATATTTTGAAAGAAATAAATGAATTTTTTCAGTCAAAAAAGAACTCCAAATTTCCAGCGAAATCGTAAAAAAAATTTGCTCAACCGTACATAATTCTTATTATGAGGAGGGAGAAAGTTCTCCACAAAATTACTTTATTTACACAAGTTTATCCAGGGGAGAGCTTGCTTGCATGACCAGTTTGTTCTGCTTAGTGTCACCGGGCGTGCATAAAGGATGTCGCGGATTCACTAGTGAGCTATATATTTTTGGGAAAGCAAGGTAGCAATTTTCCTGTTAATACGTAACATCGTTAGTCTGACTTTGCTTTCTTTTTCTACTTGCCAAAAAGTTTTAATGGGGCCGTCGTGTCGTTATGTTATCCAGCTGGATACGATCTCTCTCTCTCTCTGTTAAATATGATGAAGAATGAGCTAAACTAATCAAACTGTCACCAACAGGTGGATAAAAGCAAGTGCAGGTTTTCTGTCAGTGGCGGCGGAACCGGAAGGGGACATTGTTCCCCCAGAAATTCAGAAATGTTAATAAGCCCCTCCTTTTCCTATCTTGGAATGCTAATGTCCCCATATGCCCCCCCGACTTCCGCCACCACTGTTTTCAGCCCTGAAAAACAAAACAGTTTCGAGTTAAGTGAAATATGTTCGTGTAGCTAAATACGTACGTCATGTGCACATTTTTACTAAAAAGTGGAGCGATTTTCATTTACATCTTCGTCGTTTCAATTAGTCGAATAATTTCTCTCTGAATCAGATTGAAATTTAGGTCATAATAAAATGCGTTTTTACCGTTTTAATCTGGTAGCTTTGCTAATTATCAATTTCAATTACTACATAAACAGCGACTCTCTCTTTCTCATGTAACGATCCGATATATATTTACATAAAATGGTATAAATGATCTTAAAACAGTTAGCTAACTAAATGTCAGGTTCACGGAGATGAGTGGACATAAATGTGAATACGTAGCTGACGAATAGTGTTATTTTTTGAGAGTGAATCAGTGGATGAAAGTATAACGAATGAATAATATTGCATATTAATGCATATTAGTTGCACGTTGATTATAATATGCAGTTTGATCTTTACAACATTAAACTTGCCAATATAACGACCTCAAACTCGTCACTTTTTACGAGTTCTAACCAATAACCATCCACACCACAATGTCGCGTGTGGATACATATCTACTTGAACTTCAGATGCAAATCCATATGTTCTAGTTTATAAGTAGAGATAGACATTACTTATTAATCAGTTATTGGTATAAATAGCAGACAAGAATGCATGCAAAGATCAGTCTTGGGTTCTCTCTCTATTGAATAAACACACTCTTAAAAGAAGGTGCACCAGTTGTTGGAGTTGTCTATGTATGCTGCTGTGATATTGAAACTATAAGACCCGATTTTTGTAGCGTGCCACTCAAGATCTCATCTCCTCCTCTTTTATCAGTCATTACTTGCTGAGCTGGGGTTATCAAGGGTTATCTTTACTTTCGCAAACTCCGCCCCTACTACAGGGTAAATCTGTAGTAATAATATTTTCACACAACCACAAAAACACACCATAAACAAGAACTGAGGAGAAGATTTAAGTCTCGAGAGCACCGTATCACGGCCGATTTACGTAACAAGAAAAGCCATTCACGTCTTGTCAATCCCGTAACGTAACGCGAGACCACTTTCTCCTCCGCAGAGAGAGGGGACACTAGCGATTAATTATTCACGAGTACGTAGGGGAAGTAAGCCCTCGTGGAGGTTGGAATCGTGAAAAAATACGTGAAAATGCGGGTTGAACTGCAAATATCGACCAATTTTACGAAAAATTTCATCCAAATTGGGGACAAAATTCCACCAAAAATAATTTACTCTGGAGAAAATACGATATAAGCTTATCTTAAAAATTATACATCCTTACTAAATTTTAGTGACAATCTTCATCCAAAAATAAATTTCGCACAAAATAGTGTAGAAAAATCCAACCTAAATAATGTATTTTGGAGAAAACGCCTCCATATTTTTAGCCCAAGTTCTATTTGTGTTGTTTCCCCTTGGACGAAATTTCTGGTTGTTTCCCACAAGAAACCAGCGTCTTATTTACTCTTCCACTTTGTATTATTGTTGAAGGTGGTGGATGAGAAGGAGAGAAAGCGAGGAAGGAACCCAGTCGAGTCGACCAGTCGGGGAAGGAATGTAGAGGAGAGAAAGCTGGTAAAATAGTTAGTTGGCTGTCGTGTGAAGAATCGCGGACATCGGACACGAATTCGTGGAGAGCGAGCGGTGGAGAGCAAGGAAGTCTCCCAGATCGAATGGGATTATTAGCGGGTGCAGGATAATGATTACCATGACGATGACGATGTGTAAAGGGAGACCCGGGTGGTGGGCTGTGGGCCTCCTCGTCCTGACCATCCTGTCCACCACGACCTGGGCGAGAAACATTTGTCCAGCCTCCAACGCCCGGTTGACGTGTCAATGTTCCGTCAAGAGCAAGGGTTTGGTCCTCATTTGCGACAAGGGCAGCATGGAGGACGTCAAGGAGAATATGCGCATCTTTAAGGAGTACCCATCCACCGTGATTCAGTACTTGACCCTCAGGCAGATCAATATGCCCAGGATTCCGGACTACGTCTTTATGGGTGAGGAGAAAGTGGCATAATTTATTTAGGGCGACGAGAGAATTTATAACTTGGGAATTTGCACCTATGTAGGAAATTTATGCCTTTGTTAATTGTGCATGCGATTTATTATGCCATTCTGACGCCATAGTCTGATGCTATTTTCGTCCAGTTTGCGAAAAAAATTCGCACCCCGAATTTTGATTGGCTAGCATAATTAGAAGGGCATACATTTCAGAAATATGTGACGGTTTTTCGCACAGTTTTAATGTCTGATACATTTCGCAAAAATGACGGTGTGACCTTTAATCTCAAATCTCCCCGATCTTGCAGGTCTCGACATTCGGCACTTGATCGTGTCGAACACGAACCTGGCGGTGCTGGAGGAACACTCCGTGACGGCACTGGCGACCAAGTTGGAGATCCTGGAACTGTCGCAAAACTGGATTCACGACATCCCCACGAAGGCGATCAAGCACTTGGGGAACACGCGTCTCCTCACGCTGAACCACAACAACATCACGGCCCTCGCGGCAGGCGCGTTCGAAGGGATGCACACCCTGGAGAGACTCGCCCTCTATGCCAACTCCATCGCCAGGATTGATTCCAATGCCTTTCGTGGCCTGGAGTAAGTCCGGTTCGAAGAAGCAGAGTCCAATTAGTGTCCTGCTTTCTCTTTGCTTTGTAAATAATCCAATTAGACGAGCACCACGAGTCTGCTTTACGAGTCACGTCTGGTCTTTGTCAAGGTGTTGCTTCGGGGTGTTCATTTACTCTGCAGGGGAGATTGTGCAAGGGGGTTGGCTTGCAGGCTTATTTGCGCCACGGGTTAAATTTTAAATGTGTCGTTTTAAGGAGAAAAAGTGGAGATTTTTGGGGTTAAAAATGAATAAGTTAGACATGGTCAATTTACTCCATGATTTTTGCGTCATTTTTTGCAATGCTTTCTCCCTTAAGATTTAACCCAGATGGAAAAATTAGTACAAATTAGGGACAGATTTTTCTTATGTGCGTAATTGATTTTTTTTGTTTATCCGTTAAAATTTTGCCCTGATATAAAAATTGATACGAGTTTGGGACAGATTTTTCTTATGTACGTGACAATTTTTTGCAATGCTTTCTCCCTAAAAATTTTGCCCCGATAGAAATACGAATTTTCGACAGATTTTTCTACAAGATTTATATATTTCTTCTTCTCAATGTGCAGAAAATTGACCTATCTGAACTTGGGCAACAACCACTTGACACGTGTCCCGATCGCATCGATAGCCAAATTGCCAAACCTTGTGAGCCTCGAACTTCAAGAAAACAGGATTCAATCCATTTCAGAAAATGATTTCGCAGGTATTAATTAAAAAACTAATTTCGCGAGAGCAACTTGACAATTCTGGATTTTGAAGGGTTGCCAAACTTGGATAGTCTCAAACTGGGTCACAACCAGATCACTGTGCTGGGTCCGACCGTTTTCAAAAATCTCCCCAGAATGAGCGCCTTGGAATTGGAGTATAACGGAATCAAGAAGGTGGATGTGACGGCTTTTAACGGATTGGAAGGTAATTCAGCTATACATATTTCCGGGACAGGAAATCTACGAGAAGCTGCTAAAATCATGTCCATTTTGCCCTCACTCGAGCAGTCTCAAGTGCGTTTTTCCCACTTTTTACCACCCACCAAAACTAGATGGGAAAAAGTGTCTTTTTATCATATTTCACCACGTTTTGGTTGGCTTTTATCACCGTCTTTTCTCCATTTTTCCCACGGTTAAAACCACTTTTTTCCATTTGTCCCACCTTATAAACACTTTGCTCGTGGAGAAAAATGCGTTTTTGACGGGAAAACGAAACCCGACATGTCACTTTGTTTTACTCCACAGAGAAATTGGAATGGCTGAAAATGGGTCACAACCACGTGAACGAGATCCCAACGGAGGCTTTGAAGGGGATGCACCGCCTCCGCGAGTTTGACTTCAAGGCCAACGACATCTCGGAAATCAAGGAGGATGCCTTCGACGGGTTTGGACGCACGTTGAAATTTCTCTACCTTCAAGACAATAGGTAACGCACATAAAAATGGTGCTTGCACATAATTGACATGCATATTTTTAATCCTCATTGCACAGGATAAGCTCCCTGCCCATGGCCATCTTTGGAGAAATGCACTCCCTCGAGTTCATCTCCCTCGCCAACAATTCTCTCCGCCATTTGGTGCGAGATGTGTTTCAACCAATCATGGAAAACATTCAGGTCATCGATGTTCACGGTGAGGGGCGCTTTTCCCACTTTTTTACAAAGTTTACAATCGAGCAGTATTTCAGATCAAATGTCTCGTTTGTTTAGAAAATTAAATAGGTTCAAAATTTCAAAAAGTTTAGTCCAACAACAATTTTGATCACTTTGAAAATCGAAATTATTTACATTGCAAAGACTATCCAGATTGAAAATTGTGAAATTTTTATAAAAAATACCCAGCTACTTGAAACCTTTAATTTGTCATAAAACAAACCTTGGAATGTTAACGTGGGCAAAATTAGGCAGCTTTTTAAGGCGTAAAACTCGTTTAGTTTTGAAAATTTCTCAATTTCGCTTTCTACCCGAAGTAAAACTTTTTGAAAATCCTAATGCATAAATCATGAACGATACGAATCGAGAACAAAGTATTGTTCTCTCTGCTTTCTGGGAACCCCGAGGGCAATACATAATCCTGCCTCGCTCCCTCATTTGTCACCAATATTTTACACACATGTGAGAAGGACAATCATATCGTGTCATGTCATCTTGAGTGACACTGCAATTCCGCACAGCGTAGTCGATACTTTGGTAACGGGCGGAACGATACGATACGAAGCGTGGGTATTTATTGAGATCGATTTGTTCGTCTGTCTCATGGTAACTTTTGAACGAATGATTTTTTTAAGTTCCGCTGTGGAATATCGACATCTAATTTTAAAAGAAAGTGAGAGTCTGTTAATGATCTTGTAGGTCAAAAGGTCACGACGCCACGGTCACGACGCCACGGTCACGACGCCAACGGTCAAAAGTGTCAAATTTTTTTATTTGACCGTTTTAGACGTAGTTTGTGGCGGGAATTTCACAAATTACCATTGTTTCGACACACCTGTAAACGAGGTCAAATATCGAAACGTCAAAAATGTCAAATTTTCCAAGCAAATGATCCACCTCGAGTTTACGCACTCTGTTTCCGCGAGTTTATTATCTCCGTTTCTCGGCTTTGTTATTCCACGTCGTTCCTCCTTTCGAGGAGACAAATTCGAAAACAAAGACCAACCTTTATCTTATTTTGTGGAAGAGAAAGCCGATTTTCGGCCGAGGATGGAATAGAATGGAGATTTATTTATTTTAGGACTTTTGAGATGATTGGATTTGCCGTGTTTTATTTCGTAAGGAGGAGGCGACGAGTAAATAATTTCAGGTTTCATTGTCAATTCAGAGAACCACTTGTCCTGCGACTGCGAGCTCTTGTGGTACAAGCAGTGGCTGATCAAGTCCATGTCCACCAATCACGAGAAGGTGAGGGAAATCGTGCTCAAGACCATGTGCTGGACCACGTCCCCAAAACACCAGTACAGCGTCACCAAAGTAAGGACGACATATAAATATATATCTATTCGCTTGCGCAATTTCTGTTGGTCTTGTATTTCTTAAGAAATTCGTATTGTTTTTGCCCGATTTTTAAGAAATTTCAATCTTACACATTACTTCAAAATTCACATTTTTCACACTATTTTTTCCTATATATCCTACCAGGGTTCCTATAATTCATTTTCTATCCTAGTATTTAGCTAAGTTCGAAATTTCCCAAAATATTATAAATTTAAATTTAAATCTCCAGGAATGTTGATACTTATGCTTGTGAACAGTTGCTGTCAAGCGTGAATCAAAATTGAACCGTAAAATTCTCGTAAATAATTACATAAAATTTTAATTTATCTGTTTCTCCAAAAACTTCAAAGCACTTGACATGGGCGACTCGAAAAGTGGATTTCGGCTGAATTTCCAACCTTGAATTTCACTTTCTCTCCTCCCCTTCAGAGATTGTTTTCTCTTTTATTCTCATTTATTTATTACATGTTCGAGATCCATCTGGTCCGCCACCAGTTGAGGAAACTCAGAACAGCGAATGTCTGAGTGGTGTGGAGAAGCAATGCAATACAAAAATTTTATTGCACCTTGTCCCCCATTTCCAGGCACCCAAGGAGCGAGTTTAATGTGCCCATGAACTCGTTTCCTCCCTCAATCCAGTAATTTATGTGGCCACTACGACTACTGTACTTTCTCTCGAAAACTGGGTCTCCCCAAATCGCTCTTGTTGTGCTGTCCAAACCAAAATGCGGATTGCTGACACCAAGGATAACTTTTAAGTGGCAGGCAGGCAACCTCGGGGTGTGACCCTCGCACGAGCTATGGAAAACCGTGCCATACTGTGCGAAATGTCGGCACTTTTTTTTTGCTAATTCGAATTGCGAACTGGTTGAGGTTAAACTTTTTGAAAAGTATAGATTTTTTTGTGAGAAATTGGGACAAAATTTCAATTTTAAGATCGATTGCGATTTTTGATGGGCTGAACCCGATTTTTGCATACAAAGTTTACGGAGATTTGTGTGATTCTAAATCTGCATAATGACGCTCATATGTAATTACTATTTTTTAAAACGAGGAAAATTTCCTTCCCTGTGAAGCCTGCATGTTTTATTTTTAATTTTAATTTTGATACTAACAAGTTGCAGCTGAAGTAGTGACTTTTCCTCACATTTTTTTAGCAGTTATATGTACTTTCACCCCATATAAATTTCCCTCGACTCCTATAAACAATGCAGAGCGACATATGCGTCCCCCCTTTCCTCTCGTGTCACACAAGCGACCGTATAGTTTCGATAAAATCGATTTCAATCTAAAATCTAGCAGGTAACAGGTTAGATTTTTTCTTGGAAGGAAATTTACTCCAGTAGAAAAGAGAGAGACTTTAATAGAAGCGAAGGACAAGACGGAGTCCTTGCTGTGTAAAAAAAATCTCGTTATTAAGGTTACATAAGATGAGGATTTGATGTGGCATAGATTCTTAATCTCACTCTGCCCCTGTTCAATATGTTTGAATGCAAATTTCTAAAATAGCATCAATTTCATGAGTTTTGCGATAAATGAAATTTTTTCTACTTTAATGTTCAAAACTATCGATTTGAAACCAATTGCTAATTCATTTACCATTTCTTCGAAATAAATTTTCTCAAAAATGAATTTACTATTTTTTCAAATAGATGGTTTTGTAGTACCAAAATTGACTTAAACTGGAAAATTCCATTTTTTGTAAGACTCGTGAAATTGATGTCATGTTAGAACTTTCCACGTAAAGATATTGAGGTAGAGTGAGATTACAAATCTATGACGGCGTTATTCCACCTTAAGGAAATAGGTAATCTTTCTCTTTTTGATCGCTATATCGGATCTTGTAACTAGTTGCAACATATCAGCGAGCACCAGAGGAACGGATCTTTGGCACATGTACGAAATCGTGGCATTTCGACTTCCAGGGGGCGAAATGGGACTCTCCGAGGTCACCAATTCCCCACCTAATTGACAAGTCCTCAGACTCAAATTGAAATGTATGTCGTGTTCTATACAGGAAAAATCAAGCACGAATAAATCTGACAGACTACATATTCTCGAATTCCCATTTTGCACACCATTCTTTTCTAACTACGTTCAACGTTATTGAAAAAATCTCAAACTAACACAGCACAAAATGTGCGACACGAAAAACCTGTAGAGTTTTCCAACCTTGAATACGCACCAGTTTTCTCCTCCCCTGCAGAGATTATTTTCTACTTCTACTACATGAAATCTTAGCTGCTTACTTCCGGGGGGACGATACGGGGTGAAATTGGACTCATCCAGGTCACCAATTCCCCATCTAATTGTCCGTCTCAAATTGAAATGAATGTCGTGCTCTAAAAAAATCAGGGCACGAAACGACACGAATAAATCTGACCGCCTAAATTATGCATGCGTTTGCTTTTCCCCCATTTCGCCCACACGTAGAAAAATGTGTATCGGAAACCCTGCTCGGAAATAGATAATTATTTTTTGCGGAGAAGACGGATTACGGCTTAACTCTTCTTCTTTTAAAGCGGCTTAAATAAATGTAATCACGACCAAAACCTGTAACCAACGGTTCTTTTAATCATGCCATTTTTGTGTCTCTCTTTCCAGGCACCGATTGAAAAGGGATGTCGCTCCACATCCAGGGCGGCTAGTTTGTCGACATTTATTGAGCTCTTTTACTGCCCTGTGGCCCTCGCGATGCTCAATGTCCACCACAATTTCAACAATTGAAGCTATTTGGAGCATTTTTTATTTCTTACTTTTCGTCTCATTTTTTCCATCAACCAAACTGAACGGACACGTGGATGAAGTAATTCGTAAGACGAGAACGTATAGAAATTTGTTTGGGGACAAAATTTGTCTAAAATAGATTGACTTTTGAGGCTAAAATCAGGTTAAAATCGATCAAATCCAACCGACTCGTTATTAAACAAGTTAATAATTCACACGGTTTAAATTACACATGAAATTGAACGTGTCACGAAATCATGTTCGCGAAAAGGGATGACAGTTCCTTTCTCTGTGAAGAAACGTTATATTGATTGAAAACTATCCAATCAGATTGGGAAGGTATCATTAAAACTGGAAATTATTGAAAATTGAGTTCCCCTAAAATTAAAAGATTTTAAGAAAGAGATGAGAAAATCAATTGCATATCAGCAGAAATATAATGATTCTTGTGCAGAAAATACATACATAATGGTTTAAAAAAGAAGCATAAATATTTACTTACTCGAACAGAAATATGTATTTACATAAGTAAACTTGTGGCTTTTACGATATCACAAAAGTTTTAGCTGTTTGAAGTGAAAGTAAAACAAGCAGCTTTTCTCTGAGCTACGTTCGTTACGTAAATAAATTCATGTCGAGAGAAAGTTGAACAAATCGACGACTCAGATTTTCTGGTGGAGCAGAATCGTAGTAGTGTTTTAATGTAGATTTGACTTAATATAAAATTTAGCCTAGGCTTTGTATAGAACATAAATTGCACTACACACACATAAAAACTCGACGGATAGATTTATCTATTTACATAAATGAGGAGGGAGGATGACGAAAAAATGAGACATAAATTGCAACTGATTGAAGACCTTTCTCCTAATTTTCTCCTACTCCAATTTCTTTCTGGCTTTACGAAGTTTCGACTTTCTTTCAGTGTCGGATTATTAAAAAGCTCGAAAAGATATTTTCTGTGGATGCATATTTTATTAAGAAATGAAAATGCGTCATTTGGTAATCTGCTGACGGAAGTGGAACTTTTTCTAGAAGCGACTTAGATAACAACTGTCTGTACGTTTTGGTAGATCAATTTTTTATCCATCTCACACCTTGAAGAAGAAACAACACCACAAATTGCGAGCTGTATGAAAAATTTGTTAAAATCAGAAAGTGACATTCGGTTAGCAACAGATTTACAATTTGAAGACGTCTCCAAAATTTAATTATTTGACGCTTTGATTAATTCAGGGAATAAAATTGATTCGAGAATTTAGGCAAAAAAATTAATCCTGGGGGAAAATGTCCCCAGTGAAAATTGGGGCTTTTTAACATCTGTGGACAAGGACTAATTCAAAATTCAACCCATAAGTCCCCTCCTCCCCCGTGGTTAGTTGAGCATGATTCCTGCACCATCCATACAGACACTCCTTGCGGATAATGTAATTAATTAATAACCCTTCCAAAATGTAACGTCCAATTAAATTCCTTCTGTCCATCATCTAATCCTAATCCAATCTACGGCACGACGTGACACTACTCCTCTCGCCAATATTTAGCACTTTTCGATTTAATATATTTACGGAAAGATAACGAGGGCAGAATATTTAACATCTCGGAAAAAAACGTTAATAACAGGTCAGGTTTTAAGGCAGGCTTACAATTAGGCTATAATTTTTATAATGCGTCTTTCTTCTAATTATTCAATCCACACAGTTATGTATGCAAATTCCATTAATCAATTATGCATAAATTTCTGATTGCGGCGTGAAATCTTAACATATTTTGAAGTGGAAAGCTTAGTTTTAAAGGAATCAATAGGAAAATCGCATTATTTTTACCCCCAAAAAATTATTTTTGTCAAAATCGGTCGAAATCGTGTCAAATTTTTAGTAACTATTTTCTTTGTCAATGATTAATGCTATTTTTGCCCTGTTCAAGTTTTTCTTCTACGATCCAGAGAACTTTCTGCATGCTGAAATCTAATTAAAATCTCAAAGTTAAAGACAAGTAAAACTAACTAACTGTTGTATGTACTACTAATCTTAATCACACACATACATATTGCACACACCACTACTAAACTAACTAATCCGTCAGCCTGCAGTAAAAAAAAGTATGATATAGAATTACTATAAATCACAAAAAAATTTAAAAACAATATGAAAAAAAATCGTACAAAAATACATCCACGCCGACACAGTGTAAGATAAAAAAATATATAATTGGTAAATAAATGGTTTCAAAATGGGGTGGGATCCATCAGGTCATAGGTCAATAATTTTGAATTTACGGCTACATTTACACCAAGGAAAAATGTAAACAATCCACCTTCCCCGTTCGCCTAGCACCCTTTCTCCAATGGATTTCTCTATTTTTATACTGACAAAAATGGGCGTATTCTTAAGGTCGTTGTCGCAGGGGGGGTGCTACGCGAACGTCAATGCGAAGGGTTCGTCGTGACCACCACGTAAATAAATCAGCCGAGAAAAACAATGTGATTGGGTCACAAATCAGGAAAATTTGAAAAACGGGTAAAAAATATGTGGGGAAAATTTTAAGGTGCGAGAAGAACAGAGTTGAAATGGAATTTTTCCCGAGCCACCACCACCACCAGACCTCCTTCTTTACGATGATAAGTAAATATTGACCATGTGAAGTGAATCATATCATTAATGTACCTCTCTTATCGTATAGTAAATTAATTAATTAATTAATTACTTAATTAAATTATTATGTATGTATATTGTCAAGTCAAGTCAATCTTATTGTAGATAATTAATTAATGTAATTGAGTATGTGTAATATTAAAAACGACAAAAATTCTGAACATGTTGTGTTGATTTTAATTTGCATAATTGTCATGCCGCGTGTGACGCTCATGGATTCGCGAGTATAAGAGTTTTTTGCATGCTGAATCATAAAAGTACGAATTATTACTGTTACTCACCTGAAATTGTGAAATTGATTGGCGTGAGGACACGGATTAGGTGAAAAGCTTCATTTTCCTGCTCCATAGTAAAATTGATATTTCCCAAAACCTGGATTCCGCTTGGGATCTTGACCTCCTCCTTTGCATCGAGACTTGTCAAGAGGTCAAGAGCATTACTGAAATTCAGAGGAAATCAGAATCAGAGGGGAATCGCTCGGATAAAAATGTCCATAAAACCACCACTTGCACTAATATCCTAAGTGGTCAAAGCTTGATTGAGATGGAATGAAAAACTGGGATTTGGAAGACTTTGACTTCGAATAACGTTTGAACGGGCAGAGCTATACCGAGTTAATTTCATCTTTGGAATAATCCTGATTTTTGGGTTGATTTATAATCAAAAATTTCGAGGGACATAATTATTTCGTAAACCGATAACACATTTAGTGTGGCATAAGTAGAGAAATTCTTGGATTCCTCCCTTCCATTGAAAATACAATTGCTGAATAATCTCCTATTTACACATGTCGCCAAGAAATCGACACCTTTAAATTGTATATCGTAAAAATCACCACAACTCACAAGCCTTCCAAAATGTCAAACTTACACATTTCTCCCATTTCCTCTCCGACTTTCCCTTTCAGATTCGGGTGGTTGATTTTGTTCCTTATTGTCATTTCGCCACCCATATTTCTCATGCCTCTTCTCCTCCTTTTCGAGTTTCGAACTCCATCCCGGATTTATGTCGAAGAAATGCCGGACGTGATTCAGGCTGAAGTCGTGGATGCAGAGGAATGCAAACCACCTTGCCGATCCGTCCATGATTTGTTCCGGTCGGTGACAAAAGTACGGAAAAAGTGGTTTCGACCTTACACGACCCTTCATCTCGAGGGGTGTCGTTACATTACGGAAACATTTGACTGACTCTGATGGCAAGAGGAGTTCCTGGGTGAAGGGGTGTTCAGGGATGGGGCATCCCTGCAAATAATTAATTATGTAAATTTAATGATCATAAATTGCACCAAAAATTGCGTAACTTTCAACCCCAAATTTTAAAAGTTTCCTTACCAAAGTACAATAGCAATATTCGTCCGTGTAATTCGTCCTAAATGGTAAACTTTGACATGAGCAAACCGGTTTCATCTTGGTTTCAAAGTCTGTCTCGGACTGGTTCAGATATCTTCCCAGTTCGGTAAGAGGGCTCATCTCGTAAAAGTAGTGGTCATCTCGTAAGGATTGGACTGTGACGAGCAGAAGTACCGTGAGGCACACGAGTTTGACAATGTGACACATTTTTCTAATTGTTTATAGATTAAAATTACGATGAAGGAAAATAAATTGCGAGAGTTTGTTGACAAACAAATTTTTGATCAGGTTTGAGTTGAGAGTTTCCCTCGATCAGCGTGTAGTGCAGGGTCGTTACCTGGATACCGGGTGTCAATCAGCGTCCCGCATAAAAACCGGAATCCTCACCTCCTCAAATTGAGGAAAAATGCTTTCCTTCTCTTGCTTTAGGTCGTTTTCGTGTTTTGCATGTTTTTAATTTCATTTTTTCGCCGTTTTCATGTGTTTCGTATTTTCATTTTCACTTTTTCACCGTTTTCATGTTTTTCATATTTTCATTTTCAATTTTTCACCGTTTTCATGATTTTCGTATTTTCATTTTCAATTTTTCACCGTTTTCATGTTTTTCATATTTTCATTTTCACTTTTTCGTGGTTTTCATATTCTCATTTTCACTTTCACGCCGTTTTCATGTTTTTTATGTTTTCATTTGAACTCTTTCGTCGATGTTTTTCATATTTTCATTTTCAATTTTTCACCGTTTTCATGTTTTTCGTATTTTCATTTTCACTTTTTCACCGTTTTCATATTTTTCATATTTTCATTTTCACTTTTTCGTGGTTTTCATATTCTCATTTTCACTTTCACGCCGTTTTCATGTTTTTTATGTTTTCATTTGAACTCTTTCGTCGATGTTTTTCATGTTTTCGTTAATTTTCAGTGTTTTCATTGTTTTTCGATCATTTTGGTGGGTTTGAGTGTAAAAAATACTAAATTACTGTTATCCCAGTTTCACACGACCAGAGTATGTTAGGACAACTAATAAAGTAACACTCATCGTGTGTCCCAGTTTTACCCAATTTGTTTATGAAACGACATTATATGAATAAGTATGCAAATTATTATGAAATCAAAATTACTCCAGGACATTTGCGCACGATACTTTTTTGGTTAATAAATAATATGCATGCAACGGTTTAACTTAAACCGTTTAAGATGTAAATGTGTGACATAAATAAAATGACCAACATTCCGAGTATAATTAGTTGATGCAATTTTTTGCTGCATTGTATTCAATAATTGTACAATTATATAAGTATTACATTAAATTGAAAGTAAAAACATACATCTGCCTTATTTAAGTGATAAGTTAGTCCGAGGAGAAAAAAATAATAAGTCATCAGATCAAGTCCATGGTTTAGTTTTGCAAAATAAAATCTAAACTCTATTGAGTACTAATTTGGGAATTATTTTGACTTGATGCTCCACTCCCACCGCCTCCCGAGCCACCCCCGCCGGACGCGGCGGCATGCTCGGGACTGTGTTTCGATGACTTCTTCTTCTTCTTTTCCTTCTTTCTTTTCCGCCGCTCCTTGTCGTCGTCGTGGCGCTTCTGCTTTTTGTGCTTTTTCTCCGCCGCGAGAGCCAAGTCGGTCTGAGATGTGACGACTTCCATGTGATGTGGGACAGCTTCGCCAGGCTTGTACTTGTGTCGCTTGTGCTTGTGTTTGTTCTTCTTTTGGGGAACTTGATTAAAGACGCGATACTGTTCGGGTAACTGGAAATAAAATTGTTAATTGTTAATACAGTTATACAGGAGGTTAATTTGTAGAGTTGTGAAAATAGATAAATCTTACTGGGCCAGGGTGTAGTCTGAATCCTGATAATTGCATCGAGTTTAACATCATCAACTCCTTCCCCCCAATTGGTGGCTTATCAATTACAGATCTTAACGAACTGTGAGAGTAAAAGTAAATTGTGTAAGTATTAAACCAGATTAATAGATTAATTACCCAATTAATTCTTTGTTACCTGTTATCTTGATAACCAGAACTGTCAATTTGTCCCGGTAAATTGGGTAAGAATGAAGACAACGTATCCTTAACTTTCCTCCCACTCGATTTGTTGTAGGAATGTTCTAAACCGTAGTGCGCCATCAGATTTGTCGCGCCCGTCAGCTCGCTTTCTCCTAAATAGTTAGCATAATTAAATTAGTATCTTCCACAATTAGTTAATTACTCCAATGTCTACCTGGAGCTTCTTTGATCAAGTAAAACGGCCCTGTATGAACGATGGAGGGATTCTTCCCCAGTGAGATTGTAGCCTTGAGCGTCCCCGTGGAGTCCTGTCGAGGCACGACGGGTGACCGTGACCCCCTCGGCGACGACTTGGGTGAATACTGCTCCACCTTCGAAATTCTAAATGGATCCGCCATCATTTCTTCTTGACGACGATCCAGCCTTTACTGAAATAAAAATCAAATGATTATTTTTTGAATTAAAAAATCCAATTCACAAGCATTAATTCGAAAACAGTTTTCGAAATTTTTAAAATCTGTATTTATCAAATTATTAGCACTAAAAATCAAAGTTAAAAACTAACCCCAGAAATGATTCAGTCCGCACTTCCTCCCATACTTATCAATGCACTTTTTTGATAAGCCAAGCGTAAAATGCACACAATAAGGTAGAAATTAAAACGATTTTTGCGAATTGACATTAATGCAGGAGTAAATTAAGTTTAGTGTTTGACTCGTCCCCCTCTTGAAATCCCATCCAACCCACCAACCACCAAGCCAAGAGCCCGGAGATGATGATGAGAGTCTCGCAATGCCCAGATTCTCTCCTCCTCGTCCCCCCGAGGTACCCTGCAGGGACTGATGAATGCATTTGACATTTGTCCGTGGAGTGTCTGGCAGGGCATATTAGTTAACTTTTTTTATTGTTTTCCTTGGTTTCTTTTAAAGGGGTGACAATTTTTTTGGGAAAAAATTAAAAGTTGTAGATTTATGTATGTATATGCAATTCAGGAGGAAAGCTTCACTACTCAGATTTTCATGTCCTTTATGGGTACAAAAACCATCAAGTGGTTTGATGCCATGGCTCCATTTGCGCCTACCACACCCACCCAAAAGGATAAACGACACAAAAATCGCTACATTCAAAGGCTCACCAAAAATCCAATTTAGCTTAGATTTTGGAAATTCCTGTAACTCCAGGTAGTTGCCAGTATCAAGTTCAACTTTTAAAAATGTTTCAATATTTTAGAAAATCGCCTGGCCTTTGAAAAAGACCAAAACTTCGAAAAAGTTGAGTTTATCCGTACTGAAATTGTGGAATTTTAAATTCCCAAAAAGTTGACATGAACATTCATGAGTATTCATGATATTCTGCAATTCTGCATGCATGTACATACATCATCAATTTCGAAACTGTTCCTACCACTAAAATTTTTCAGGAAAAATATAAAACCGAATTTCTTCAGGTTTTATTTTATTTTTTAACTATTATGAATTTAAACCTATCCAGCTAATTACTAGTTTCGGTCAGTCGTGTATGCATCATGGTCGTGTCATGTCATGTGAAAAATAAATGCCATCAAGTTAACAGTTACGTTAGCTATTTTGATTTTATTGACGTCTTACAAATTATGCAGGTGCATAATCAGCATAATATTATCAATAATAATGATGGCACGCGAAGAACAAATCAACAATTTTCCTATATATCATCCATCACTGGTCACAATTTTTTTACGTATACGACTATGTAACTAGCATTTACGTAGCAATATAAATCTAAGTATCAAACTATTCAATAATCATTAATAACAATAATAATAATCGATTTACTCTCAATTGCACCACTACACATTTTTACTATCACAACATTTGTTGTCTTAGCTAAAGTACACTTCAGAAAATCATCACAACTACTACTTTATTTTACTACGGGCCATCATCTCGCACACCACGACGTTTCACCATCATCTTCGCCATCATCATTATCGTCATCGTCACACCACCACCACCACCACCGCGACAATTATTTCTATTTTTTCTTCTTTCAGCAGGATTTAACAGGAAGGAAGCAACAGTTACTTTTTGTACTTGTTCCTCTTCTTCTTCTAACGAAACGACGACGACGACGACGACGACGACAATGACTTACAAAAGATATAAGATGAGTAGTAACTAACAAGAGGAAGTGTGTGGCTATGGGTTGTCGGCTTCTTTGAATATATGTGTCGGTAGAAGAATTTATGTACTTAATTAGCTTGCGAAGGACACCATACGCTGATTTAATAGGGTTGTCTGATTTTTAGGTAATTATTTAGTCTAAGGGCTCCTCCATGACGGTTGCGGCGGCGGCGGGTTGGATGGCGGCTTGGGGTAAGCTACTCGTGGGCGACAACTCCTTTGCGCGTTGTTCCAGTTCAGCCTTAAATGTTTCGATGTCTTGTTGACTGAAAGGGAATTTTTATTTTTTTTACTAAAAATTCCGACATAATTTAGGCCGTGATCATCTCCAGTATTAAATTACCTACCTAATTTGCATGAACAAAATCCCATTAATCAGGTTCAACATGTCTAGCACGGAGCCCATGGAGGGGGGCTGGATCTGAATGGGAGGCAGACCTTTCCCGTGAGCCAAGTCGTTAATCTGTTCCCCATAAAGTCAGAATTAATAAAAATATGATCAAAACTCGCATAAAATATTGGCACTCGTACTTTTCTCTGCAACACGACGGCCTGTTGTGTCAGATGCTGCAAACAATCGGAAGCCTCCAAAGTCTTTTCATGCTTTTCGCCCAGTTGTTCCCGGTAAATGGAAAATGTCTCTCGCTCGTTCATCAGGGCGGAGCGGAAGTCGCCTGCATGGAAAATAGAAATTCTTTAATAATCAAGATTTTTTGACATTGATGGCCAATAATTTCGTACCGATGCAACTCTGCGTTCTGGCGACGAGATGGTGTCCCACCGCCGTTTTGAGAGACCTCGCCCCAAAATATTTCTTACTCAGGTCCAACGCTTTTTCGAGAAATTTGAGGGAGAGTTCGTATTCTGCTACGGCGTGGAGGATCAGCCCAATATTGCTGTCCAGAAGGGCCACGTGGGGGTGGTTTTCTCCGCAGACGAGCAAAGCTAGGTAGCGAGCCCTGTAGATTAGAAGAGCCAGAAAAATTACTTTTAAGAATATTTTTCAATATAAATTGTGAAAATATTTCAGAAATTTATTCACTCTTGTGGTTTCCATGATTAGGTCACCAAACTTAAGTGAAGTAACAATCAGTTCGGGAGATCACGAGAAAATTTCACAAATTTATTCAGACTCACCGATACAAAAGTTTGAGGGCCGTGGTGACCTGATTATTGGCAAAGCAGTAGAGGGCGAGGTGCGTGTACTCGAGAATGGTTGTGGGATGGTCCACGCCGAGGATCCTCTCCGCCATGAAGAGGGCCTTCTGTTGGTACGCCATGGCATCCCCGTGCTCGCCCATGACGTAGTTGAGACGGGCGAGGGAGCGCAGACAGAGCGCGATGTCGGGGTGCATCGCGCCATAAACGTTGTTCAGCAGATTGAGTGACTCCGAGAGGAGCTCGTACCCTTCGCGGAAAAAGCCGGAAGACATTTTGGATTGAGCCGTTCCAAGGAAAGTGTACGCGTCAGAGGCCTAAAAAAAGTGAGGTGAAAGGTTTTACATAATGGAGACAAAATTCATACGCAAAAACTGGGAAAACATAACCCCCAAAAAAGCTTCACCCCCAATGAACAGAATTATTTTTGGTCGTTCAAATTTCTTTCTATTTGAGCAAAATTTGAGCAAAATTGAATTTTTAGCAAGCTTTGAACTTGAAGATTTTCACCCAGTTCACAAACTTGCCAAAAATTCATGAACCTCGGTGGTCTCGCCACCCTCGAAAAAAATCATCCGTACAAAAACACGCACCTTGGGATCGATATGTTTCACTACGGGAAACACGTTGAGGACGTCTTCCTGGGTGAATGTGTTTCCTGACGACTTTCCCGACGTGGCCCCATTGCGATGGAATTGGTACTCGCGGAGAAGGATTTGAACCCCCGTCTTGAGCGTGAATGAGCGGAGGAGGGAGATTTTCTGGATGCCGTAGAAACTCAGCGTCCCGTCCAGCGAGTCCTTGAAGGTCTCTCCGGGCGGGAAGGTGAGACCAAAGTAGGTCGAAATGTCACCCAGAATCTGTTCCCAAAGGGACGACTGGGTCAGAGCGGTCCACTCGATCCCGTTCCCATTCCCTGACGAGGAACTGTTCCTCGCCTTGTTCTGCTTGGACTTGTTCCGGTGTGTCCCGCCGCGAGAGCCGCGCAACGGTGTGAGCTGAAAGTCAGTGGAAAAAGTGGATAAGAACTTGTCGAAATCTGCGATTTAGGATCACGAGAATTTACTATTTCCATATATATCATGTCCGTGGCGCAATGATAATCATCACAAAAATCATGATAAGCACTTATATCCAACCCACCTCATCATTAAGATTTGGAGGCACTGCAGACTGTCCCGACATGAGGAGACAGTTAAGAAAATGACTGATGGCTAGACTCTGGTTCATCACGTCGACACTCTGTAATATAAAAAAAACAGTAATCAAGGTCAAAGTCAAGGTTATCCACATCCTGGCAAAATCATGACCCATCCACCCACCTGTACGTAAGGGTTGAAAATATGCTTGGCCGCCCTGGCGATAAGTTCCATCAGAGCGATCGTGGTCATGTAGTGCGGCAAGTTGGCCAAGTGTCCGTTCGTCGTCGTTGAGCTGGTGCCGTTCTGCGTGGGCGGCTGAGATTGTCCGTTCGTCGTAGGGGCGGCGCCGTTGGGCGTGGTCGTCGTGGCGACGGAGGAAACGACCGTGCTCGCGCCTTCTCTCACGGCCTTTTCCCGCTCGAGGAGGAGTTGCACGACGCGGCCGAGGTAGCGGATGTTGATGCCGCGCGCGTGCATGGCGGCCGAGAGCGTGGCGCCATCCATGATGAGGGCGTTCGGGCCGAAAAAGGTCGAGCCGCTGTCCAGGGCGCAAGCACTAGAGTTTAGTGTAAATCAACCAAGCACCACGTAAGCCCGAGAGGTTCATGCGACACGGATATATTTACAAATAGACAACTACATTCGTAATTGTGCTCAGGTAAATTCAAGGTTTTCATAAAGTTGGGCCCATTTTTTAGAAATTTTTTATTAAAAATTAGAAATATCGTGTCGTTTTTATGTTGAATTTTGCAATTTTCGTAAACTACTTTATATTTCATTGTGGGGAGCAATTTTGAGTAAATTATCTACCTATTTCTTGAATTAAGAAAATTGGATTTTTCATTTTAAACTTCAATTTTTTTAAGAATTCGAAAATTAAAAAAATTAAAACCCCTATTTTTACCCGAGCACCCATAATAATAAATAAATAGGACAATTACAACATTGACTTCGTGCTACGACTACCACCACCTTTATGCTAATTACGCTAAAAAAATTTGCATACCTATTCGATGTAATGTCTCTCACGAACTGGGGAATTTGGTACATTAGTAAAAATTCGCAGGCTTCTTTATTGATTTTCGTTTGGAGGTCCATGCTTGGGTATTTTTTGGGTTTCGCGACCTCTTTTGTCGTCGTCGAGGCATTTGACTCTGTTGCTTCTGGTGGCGTGGACCCCTCCGCGGCTGCTTCTTTGGCCCGCTCGGCTGCTTCGCGGTCCGCATCTCTTTGCGCGACTTGGGCCAATTTTTCCGCGCAGGGCTCCGCGTGACGAACGCTGGGTGAGAAGATGTCAGGATTGAAACGGATGTCAAACTCCGTCTCGGATAGCGAACACACGGACGCGGCGGCTTGTCTGATGGCTTTCACAGTGCTCGATTCTACGCGAACATAGAGAACAGTTAGAATTTTTGTTTGAATATGGTATACAAATTATGAGGGAGTGTCAGAACGGTAGATAAGCCTGTTTCAGTTTGCAAAATATCACAGTCAAGATTTTTTGATTAAAAATTAACCAAAAATTATGATTATTTCAAAAATAAAATTAACTTGGTAGCTATTCAAAATTATTGAAGCCCAAAGTTTCCCAAATCCCAATTTTATACCACCTCAAACCGTGGGTGCGAAAAACCCTGCAAACGCGCGAACGCGTTCGCCGGGACAGACGGGGGGCAGGACCTTTTTTTTTAGGGACCCTTTTCCCATAAGGCCCATGTTAAAATTTCCGGGATTTTGTCCCCCCGTTTGCCGGGATGAAACCGGAAATCGCACCCACGCCTCAAACATTCTTTGAGTATGAAATACTTTTGAATGGGCAGAGGTACCGAGTTAACTTCATTTCTGAAATTTTTAAGCAAACAATCTCAAAGGTGATATTTCACATGATAAAGGCTTATCTATATTTTCGCCGACATTTTTTAATGGGTTTGGTAAATTTAAATTTAAAATTGTATACATTTTACACTTTGTAAAGGATTTTAGAAATGTTAACCGTGAAAATCTTAGTCGGTTTTAAATTTTTTTAAAATAAATTTTCAAGCATGAAAATATTTTACCTTCAGCCTTATCAGTCACGAAACTTTCGACGACTCGTTTGACATTGTTTTCCTCCTTTTTGGCCGACTCTTCGTCTCCTCCGAGTCCGATTCCGTTTTGATTTGGGACACCAGCACCGTCTTCGCCCTTAATACTCGCGTCTTCTCCTTCCGCTGTTGTGGGGGCTGGCTCAATGTTCAACTTTTTGCTGAGACCCATCGTCTGCAGGTGATATGCCGCTAGTTTGATGAAGCTCATGTATCTCGACTCGGCAAAGGCGTCAACCAACTCTTGACGAAGGCAGCACAACTTGTGAGGATGTTCCATCGGATAACCCATCGCTCTTATCTCCTCGCTCAGCTCAACGTTCTCACCTGGAGGGAAATCAACCAATTATTAATCTGCGTACGAAATTTGTGGAAAATTAGGCGTCCAAATTCAGAACGTTAAAAAATGGGGTTTTAGTTTTTTCCGAAAACGGTTTTAAACCAAATTTTTAAACAAACGTTTGGCATAATTTTGCGAAACATATTTCAAAACAGTAAATTCGTAGATCAAAAAATGCTAAACCGTAGCTCCGAAACAATTTTCGTTATTTTTAGCTTGATAAAACCGCTTCTGTACAAAAAACTGATTTTTGTACGAAAAATTTAAAATCGATTATCGCAATCGTACGAACTTTTAAACATGTTATACATAATTGAAAAAAATCGGTTTTGAACTCCACCGTAATTCCGAAACCAAAATTTCTCCTCACCCGGCAAATAGTTGGCATCCGGTGGGAAAGTCCTCAACAAGTCGAGAATATAATGTCTCCCATCATTCCCAATGATGCCCTTGCACTCCACGCTGGAGCACAACTCGACCACCTCCTCCTTCTCGTTCAGCACGTAATGCGGCAACACTTTGAGTCTCGGCGCCGCCTTTTTCAACAAGTCCAAATACTTTTCATTCGTGACGACCGTCTTGCCAAAGTCGATCGACCCATAAACCACGGACTGGTCCTGTTCCCTCTCCAGTATCCCGGGAATGATGCTCTGCGCCGTCACCCGGTAGCCGCGATAGTCAATCACCACCGTTCCCAGGGTGTACAAACCATCCAAGTCGATCGCATTGTACGCCGCGACACCTTGCAAATCATTCCTGGGCGCGACGTGGGCCGCTGCATCGCCTCCGAGCTCTTTGTAATGGTCGCGGACATCGAACCCCAACGAGAAAAATATATTGGACCAGATGAACATTTGCATTTTATGCGACTCGCCGGGATTGATGGCCATAATGTTGCCATCGATGACGGCCACGGCCCCCCGAGTAGCGGCGGATACGAAGTCTGAATGTACTTTGAAGATGGCGCGCTCCCTGAGGAGGCGCTCCGGAAGGGTGGATCGCGGCAGTTCGCGGGTGGATTGGAGCTCCTCATTCCAGTCGCGCGTCTGGCCAGGAATGTGTTCTTCATAGCCGAGTTTGGACGAGAAGGCTTCCTCCGCCCGGATGGCGTCCAGATTGTGCGGGATGGGGGGTGAGACCCAGGAGTAGACTTGGTACGGGGTCGCCACCCGTTCGAAAGGATGTCGCGACATGCGCCGCTTCTGCAGAGCGGTGAACGACTTGCGAAACGCGGGGCTGATTTGGTTCAGGAGTTCGATGAGAGAGTGAGAGAGGAAATTGTGTGGGGAGGAGGGGGCCGGGTCAAATTCGTCGGTGGTTGAACGGTTGAGGTAAAAGCCGCGTGGGGACGTGGTAATGTGACACGTTTTGTCTTCCAAAGTCACCACGAGGAGGTACATCAAGTCCCCGTGGAGTTTGCGGTAGCCGGGGGGTGGGTTCCAGCCGGAGGCAGCCATGACCTAGACACACAGAGGATGAACTGGTTTAGAATTTGACTTCACAGATGACTCGGCTCGTAAAATGTGGCGTTTTAGAAAATTATTCTCTTTCACACGGTAAAATGTAACACAATTGTTAAAATAGTGACAAAATAGTGGGTTCGACCTACTTTGAGGCAAGAGATGGGCTTGTGCTCCTTATTGAGAGGATGGATAGGGTTGAGAAGGAGGGAGTTTGCCGTGCCGGGCATAATGTAGTCGGGCGGAGTGCAGTCCACGACGCGTTTCTTGCCCGAGAGGTCGCCCCCACTCACGGCGTTGAGGAAGGAGAGTGACGCGCAGTCCGCCCCCGCGTACGCGTCCGCCCAGTCCGACGGCTTTAACAGGTCGCGCACATGTTTCACGTGGATACGCGCCTCGCGACACGTGTACGGCTCCTCAACGACCTGAACAACAAAAAAATGTCATAGCATCTTGACCCCCACTTTTTAAGGTGCTTAATTAATTGACTCACCCGAATCACGGAACCATCCTTCAAACCCGGGATGCTCTTCAACTCGGCGAAATTGTCCAGCGTGATGCCATCCAATTGGAGCGAGAAGCACGTCCGGTGACAAGTGTCCTCCCGTTCCATGAGCAGTTGGTGCAACTCTTGGACAATTTCGCTGCTAGAAACCTGCACACAAATACAAGAAAAAAAAACATTACTTTCTTTCCTTTATATTTTCCTATCGAGTATAATGATTTATGCTGGAAAATGTGAAACCGTACAGCGACCTGAATCTCAAACGGTTCCGCGCCCGGCGCCACGATCTTGATTGTAAGTCCGGTATCATGAACATAAAAAACATCCTCGGGATTATCTCCTTTCGGCGAATCGCCACTAGGATCGTCATCTTTCGGGGTTTCCTCCCCCTCGTCGGAACTCGTGGTCGTCGTCGTCGTCGTCGTCGTCGCCACGGGAGGAGGGGTACAGTTACTATTTGACTTTTTATTATTGCTACCATTCATGTCTTCCGAATTTCTCGAATTTTTCGCCTTCCCATTCGAGGTGTGTTTATCTTGCTGTTTTTTAGTCTTGACTTTGCCCCCTCCTCCACCGTTTGGCAGGGCCACGTCGACATCGGAGGACCCGGGAGACTCTCCACCACCACCACCGCCACCATTTCCGTTCGTATGAGTCGTCCCGTTCTGATGATTATTGCTGCTTTCCACTTCAGACTCGTCCGATAAGCCGGAAGAAGTCAGGTCATCTGCCGCTACTGCTACTCCATTTCCGGGTAACTTCTTATCCGCCTTCGTGCCATCTCCCTTACCACCACCACCGGTTCTCTTATTGCTCTCGGGGCAAGTTACTGCCGGGGAAGAAGACGAGTCCGACCCGTCGGTCACTTTCATCCTGAGGTCAACACACTGGGCGTCAGTCTAATTCAAGCACAAATACCGATCTGTGAACAGAAAAAAAGCCGGTCAGATAATATAATTTAGAAATTTTCTCGGAAATTTATCTCGTAATCAACCTCACTCTAAATAAAAATTCACCTACCGGCGACCTCTCAAAGTGAAGAAAAAGAAAACGTGTCTTAAAGCTCAAAAAATTGTCTCAAAACTGACCGAAATCTGGGTAAGATTGTGAAGACGGCGTGCATGCGAGTCTGCCTACATATACCTCGCAAAGTATCAATCTCTGCCAATATATGTATCACTGACGAGTTAATATGAACTACTTGAAGATGGATCGAGGTGGTGGAGGGAATTATTGGTAAGAAATAAGTATCAAATCACAAGGCATGTTAAGCAGCAGCAGCACATGTACGAAATCATGGCATCCTCCTCCCGACCATGTGGAGTGCATCGGTATGGAACCTTCTGCTGGTGTAAAAGTCACATAAAATAAGACTCAATTGATTGCTGACGAAATATTCGTTCGCAGCCAACACGTCCAGAGACCAGAGTTCACTTTTGGACGCTGCGTATGTGTGCATTACTTTGACCACCCTTTCATTCAATCAAACCCAACTGGTTTGTCTTACAAGTTGTGTTTTTCTTCGTCCCGTGATAACCAACTTATCCCGATGATAATACGATTTCTCAATGTATCTATCGAGACCAACCCCCACCTCCACTCGGCTCACGATGAGATTGGATATATAATGCATTCATCCATCCATACTGGGCACAATCCTATCGTAAATTAGTTATTCAGTTATCTGGCTGGAGGAGGGACTGGGCAGACAAGATGTCATCTCCTTCACCCTTTGATGAGGACCGGTAAACTTGGCGTGGAGCAGAAATTATGCACGGCCCAACAGTTACTAGTCGGGTGCAAATGATAATTCAGTAAAATTGTATACCTCAAGCGCACGGGACATGTGTGCTGTGCATATAATAAATCACCACCAATCCAATTGAGACATGGTGAGTTTGCAAATGTCAAATCGGGGGCTATCTTCCCAAGCAATGTGGATGGATGGATGCGTTCATCCATGGATTGAACAACACATATAGGATTTGTTAGTGGATGTATTTCGTATGCAAAATTGACAATAACAAGACTCGTGAAATTTACTCCACTGTTTTAACAGATGTGGATGTGGAGGAAGGGTTAACTTAAAAATTAGGGAAAAGTACAAGTCAATCGGTTGATTTAGGAATGTTACTGATTTCTCGGCACAAAAAAGTAATTGTTTTAGCTTAATTTGTATTTTTCCAATAATTGTAAATAATGGTTGTCATTAGAGTGAGAATTAAAATGGCTAAACCTTATGAATCTGTCGACCATCATGCCATGTACATTTATGACTTAATGTACTCCACGAAGGGAAACTTTTGAAACAAAAACGACTCTTCCTATGCCTCAAGAAGTTTGAGATCACTAATGACTCAGAAAAGGGACACATGTGGTCCCTGGTCCTGGTCCCTGGTCCCTTCCTCACAATTGTCAGTATAAGACGAGACCTTTACGTATGTAAATACAATTTCTTGGGAAAGGCTCAAATTTCCCCTCTCGAAAAAAATCGACCCAACCAGATATTTAATAATGCAGCCTTTGTATGTATATGTTGGATTAAGATTAATTATTGAGTCACATATTTTAGGGTCATTTCTTCCTAAAATCTTTCCCATCACTTCACCGGATTTTCAAAATTTTACTTCAATCCAAAATTTACAGGGGAAAAAATGTCATAAAAAAATAGACAAATTAAGTTGCCTTCCAACCCTCAGCGTGGTAACTAATATCCAATCGGAGTCAGAACCGGCAGAGGAGGAGGAGGAGGTCGCACATGCTAATGGCATATACGAATTATCATTCCAAATGGACCAGTTATCAACGGCAGGATCAGATATGCAGCTGAGAAGAAGAGAACAGAACTGTCAGCTAAATGAAATTCAGTACTAAAAGACTCGTCAATTTCATCCTCAAGGTTGTGTAACAACGACCAGTCTTGAACGGGGAGGGGTTGTGCAGGAGGGATGTGACAACTTCTCGGTTGGACAGGGTCAGGTCAGGGGATGACCTCCCTTGACCTCGTGAACAGAGAAGGGGATCAAAATCCTCATCCCTGAGTGCACGGCCCCTTGGGTGGTACTGAGTCCAGCCTTCAAACTCGTCTCAATTTTTCCCTGCCTACTAAAAACTGGAATCTGTTCGTGACTGTAATGTGTGCATCTCGTCTGCCATCACACCATCATCTTTGGCACACATTTTGCTCAAACTACTTCCAATTAGCAACAAGCTAAATCTTCACCCTGCATAAATATGCATGGTATCTATTTCGCAGAGTTATCCTACTGTTACGTAACTCAATTTAGCAGTTTGGTCATGATTTAGTCTCAATTAATTTGATCCCTATGCCTCTCAAAATAGGGATGACAAATTAAGGATATTTTGACACTAAATAAATTGTGCCAAACAAAATTATGCCATCACCAACATCATAAATAAATACTTATCATATTTCAGACTGAAAATGAATGATTTTTCTGTCAAAATTTGTCGGTTATATATACCTCAATTCAATAAATCCATATAAACCGTGCACATTCTTTGCTATGTACGAGATAAATAAATATTATGCAAATGCAGGTTTAAAGACTACACCACAGCAGCCGCAGCAGCATCCTCGTCGCAGCAACTATTTAATCCATGAGTCCATTACAAAGACCGTTATCAGAAAAGAGGAGACAATAAAATAAAACGAGCACCATCACGACACGATTAAGTAGCTTCGTATTTATTACACCGGCTGGACAAGTTGGTTAAGGGGCTGTCCACACAGATCGTTTCCCGCACATAAAGGTGACAATTATGCGCCCTTTCTTAGTGACCACGTGGTCACGCGTCACGTGGTCAATTTTTCACGCCGACACAAAATATGCACGACCAGTAAAAGTAGCAGTGCAGACGAGTTAATTAATTAACCATGCAAGGTAGGCAGGTAACTAAATGAGATTCCTGCTGGATGGAGGAGACATGACAAACCGGGCTAGCAACTAACTAACCCACATATTTGTATTACCGCATACTTCATCGTTACTTAAATGGCTTCCCATTCTCAAGCCTTTGTCTTCGTAAAATTTACACGTTTTGCACTTACGGGAAAATATTTATGTATAAAAAAAATAGAACTGTATGCGATGCACAAAGTACATACACGCAACCCATCGTAAACTATGGCGTTATAAATAAATCTGAATAGAAAAATGAGAAAATAGTTGGAAGAGAATGAATAATCTGAAGCAGAGAGAGAGCTACCGAGCTACAAACCCTATTTATTGGTCAGCATAATTTTATTTACAAAATTAATTTACATATTATACTCGTACACCAGCAGACCTTTACGAAACGCATCCACCACTCCACGATTTAGTCGATTTGATCCTCATGAAACGAATGTCTGTCATGCATGTTGTACTCAATGCATCATTTCATCATGCACAATGTGTCGGGCTGTGCGGAAAGGATGGGAAGTTAATTGTCAATGTTAAGACGACACCGAAAATTTCTAAGAAATCTTCGAAAACTCGAAAATTTCCGGAAACTTTAAACACAGTATTTCTCGACGTATTTCAAGACTAACATGCGATACGAGGCCATACGGAGGACTGACCCCACAGAAAAACAAGTAGTACAACCAAAAAGCTACCCCCGAAGAAAAGATATTTCCCCATTCCAGACAGTACTTAAGCTCTGATAAATTTCCCAAAATAACTTTAACTAATTGACCATATATAATTAAGTATTTACCCAATCAGACAGACAACGCGTCCAGTGCACCAATTAAGGAATCAAATTGGCCCAAATTAAGATTAGATAAGGAGATCACACAGTCACTCCGAACAGGCAATACTGCATTTAAAAGTGTTCACCGTAATGATAACAATCGTCCAGAATTCGTGATCCCGTCCCGTCGAGTACTTACTTATTTGTTCAGCCTAAATTTTAACACCACCACAAACTCACTTAAAACTTAATATTATGCACTCTCTCTCCAGCTCAGTCACTCCACAGAAACAGAAACCGGCGTGGATGAAATGCAACTTATGAAGAAATTACGACCATTGTCTGTTACACATGTGTGTCTCATGAATATGGTCGACAGACCGGGGGACAGACCTTAACAAAAAAATGAGCTTCCTTCCTTCCTTAATTCCTCGGACTGACTGACTGACGAAACGAGTCACGCATGAAAGGCAATATGTAACAAGTCCTCTCACCAACACGCGTTGGGTACTTCTTTCAAGGTACAAAGTCCAACTGCACGTTATGATCTCAGAAATTGTGTAAATTTGAGAAATTATTTCAATCTTTCTTTTCTGCCTGTCCCGAAACAATGGCTGACAAAAACATCCAATCCAATCCAATCCACACATGCACACACACCTCTCCTCTTTTATCCACGCTCTTCTGAAACTAAACTAAACTATGTACACTAACTTTATGTACAAAGTGAATTTATTCTCTCGACGCTTTTAACAAGTTTTTCCTCGTCGGCACTTGACGAGAAACCGAGGAGAGATTTTAAATAGCTCGACTGCATGGGAAGAAGATGATGATGAGGTGGTGCGGCAAGTAGGAGAGGGCCATGCAGGAATTATGTTGAGGGGGTGCGGTCACGTGGGGTGGGAAATACCCCTCAAAAAATACTGCCTAGGTCACAATATTTCTAGGAAAATGGGTCATTTTTCCCTTGCCCCCTTCCTAACTAGGTAGCACTTATTTAGTGTCCACCCCTTTCTTCCACTTGGACTGGAATCTCTCTCTCGAACTAAAATAGTTTTCGAACATCAAGCCGAATATCAAGATGTGTGTGAAGGAGTACAAGTTTGAACCTCAAACCTCAACCTTGTACCAAACCCAAGAAATATATAGATATTTATGCATTTGCCAACTTTACAAAGAATAAAGAGCACACTTTAGTTACTACACCGAAGGAAAAATGAATGATGCAATACACACACGAGGGAGGGACTAAAAATCCATTATAGATTTCCATAATTTTTTTTACTACTTGGAAAATCGTAAAACTTTTATAAATTTTGACTTTCCACGTGTCCAACCGGCATTTTTTTGCAGGTTCAAGTAGATGATCCTTCTCCATTGTTCACTGCATATTGCGTAACACACTAACCACCACCACCACGAATATGATCCTCCATGCCACTACTACAATACCGGTTTAATGGGGAGAGAAGCATGCCGTCACGTAATACAAAAATATATATCTAAATAAAAGTATTAAAAAAATCTCGTAAAAATATCTGAAATCTTATTACATACCTGATCCGATCAGGATGATGGAAAATCGATCCGCACACACACTTAATATTTTTCACACACTGTACTTAAAATTCACACTGATTGAAAATTTCGTCAAAAATTGTCATCCCACAAAATTAGTTTAATTATATCTCGTCGAGACTTAAATATAACTACATGACTTATTTAACAAAGGACCAAAAGTAGCGTACGTAAACTTGTCACAAATGGAAAATCCCACTCCACTCCGAAAATAATGGAAGAAAAAGATCAAGATTATGAAAAATTACAAATTTTCTTCTCGAAGATGAACTTATCTCCGGCGAAATGGCAAAGTTTAACTGTACCGCAGAGCAGGAGCTAAGGACGACGAGGCGGAAGAAAGAAGAGGTGAGGCCGAACCGTGTTAAACAATGGATCTCATATTAAAACGGGGCCGAGAAGGCTTACTTAATTGAACCAGAGTTAGTTAAGTTATATAGTTAAGTCTTAACACATATACTTTTTTAGTCTCTCATTAGTATGAACAGAATATACGAGCTCGTCGTAGGTGATGGAGAAAAGTGGTAAAGAAGAAGAAGAACTGAGTAAGCAAGGTATTTAGTTAACCACGACGCTTTAAATATGCAGGAGGGAGATAATAATATATTAACGGAGGAGAGAATGAGAAGAACGAGAAGAACAAGAAGAGAGAGAAGAACACGCTGGCCTGGCCCAGACGAGAGTCACGAGGATTTCAACCAGTCTCAACATTTTCTATACGGTTAGAGAACCACCAAAAAGTATGGGCCGGGTGTGTGGTGTAGTGGGTCGAAGAACAATATATCCAGTCCCCCACCCCACGGCAAAAAATGCCCCGTGCAGGGCGAATGTCGCACATTTTTCGGGGGATCAATGTCGTCAGGTTGGGGTCACGTGGTTTCGACCCGAGGGGGAAGCGTCGTCGGTGGCGACATCCCTTCTGCAACGCCCTCCTCGTAAGAGTGAGATCTCGAGAGTTGGAATAAACTACCATTCATAACAACAACATTAGACCACAAGGTTTGCATTTCTGTGAAGACTTTGGACTCTCATCAGCGTATAGTGAAACGATGTGGTACGTATGTACGTACGGACGAGTTTCCTTAATAATAACCCCTTCGCACGCACAGACAGGGAATCAATTCGGGCAATAAAATCGATATCTGGGATATGTACGCATTGCATCATTAGATTATTGGTTCGGGATGAGTTAATTGATCCGTGGTGGTGGGTGTAGAAAAGGAGGTGGAGGTGGGCGTGGTGGTGGTCTGGTATCTCTCATCTTGTGACATTTAGTGACATTTATGCCATGATAACGTTGTAGTCCAATTAGCGAGGAGCTTTCTCTTCGGGGAAAGTAAGCATGTGCCCAGTTTTTTATGGGGCACATGATATTATCTTTTCATTTGGCTCGTGAATAAATATGCGTGTTGGACTTTCTCCGGATTTGGCTTCATTTCGTGGCGATGGTTTTTCAACCGGAATGCAGGAGAAAGTCCAAGTGAAAGCTGCAGCAGGAGAGAGCATTATGCATTTTACGTGCCGATTCGGATAGGGTGAAATTATGTATCTACCCGGTTGCCCCTTTTGGCTTGAGGAGGAAGAAGAAGGGGACTGTATGCAGTGGGTGGGTGGGTGTGAGCCTCTTTCGGATTCCGACACGTTATCATCGTACAGGGCAGAGAGAAAAAGTTCAACCCGAAACCCGGGTATTCTGCATGGTTTCTACTCGCCCGCTCCTCTCGGGCAGCAGAGATAGATAACCGATCAAACTGCTGCACACCCCATTTCCGGTAACGACCACATAGACGACGACGATGTATGTATGCCGGTCGCATTAACCGGGTTCAGTTGGAAGATAAACTGCAAGATTTTAAGATATTTGTAATTACCTCAGGGCTAATTTTTGCATATTTTTTTGCATATATTCACAATTATCAAAGATTTGCCAAGAATGTCGCAAACTTGGAAGTTATGCTTCATTATGCTAAAATCATGTAAGACACACCAGTCAAGAGGAAAAATGAGACTATGTTTTGTTCAGTTGTGTTCTCTGTATACGGAGGCAATCTGAGACTACCGGAAGAACAACCCAAAATATATGCATGTCTGCACTAATCCTAAATACCCCTTTAACTTGAAAATAACCGAGGTCAAACCCTACCCAGGTCAAATTCAGTCCCCCAATCTGACCTGCCTTGTAACTCCACAGTCTCAATTTGCCTCTTCACCTTCACAGGCCCACGGAATGGTTTCATCGAACCTGAGTCGGTTATTAGTTGAGTTGGAACTTGTCCTGGCGCTGGCTTGCCTAAGGGGACGTGCTGTAAGTATGTACACATTTGTGGGAAAATGGTATCCTTCAAGGATGACCTTTATGAACGACCTTGACATGTCTGGATGACCCGGAGTGAACATAATCCGATGACACCATTAATGAAGGGCCCCAAGGCAGCTGACTCGGGTTTTGCTTTGCTTTGCATTCCCTGTAGAATCATCCCGTATTAAAAAAGAAACACGTTTGTTGCATAATCTTTTTGAACCGCAAGTTGAACTTTTAACTATAAAAAACTCTATTTAATTAACTACCACGTAATTCACCCGCATTCCGACCCGCCCGTGACCTCGCAGTATCAAACTAATTAAATATTTAACTCTCCAGTTAAATAAAAAAAACTCTCAGTCTGCAAACTAAATATATTGTACACTTTTGAGTCTAAATTTGGATTTCGAAACTTGTAACTTTTGAAATTTTACACGCATTAAAAACAAAACCGGAGTCAAGATGATGAACGAATTTGGTAAAATATAAAAAAGAAACACTTAATTATTTTTAATTGTGGGTAATTATTTTAACTATGTGTAAAATTAATTTTCTTCCGCAGATGGCAAACGTACCGCAAAGATGCTCAAGAAGACGACCTGCGAGCATCTCGAGACTCTAAAGAGGGCCGGCGGCGTAAAAAATTACGCCAAGATTCACGCCAACCTGGTCACCTGTGTCGTCGAGGGGTCGAGAGAGTTAAAGGCAATTAACTAACCTATTTATGCTTCTTATTAATAAGTTGTGATGGATAAAAAAATAATAATGACATATTTTCTCCAGGCCCGGCTCTCGAGGTGTTTCACGTGTCGAAAAGTCGACGGGTTTCTGCACAGTTGCATGCACTGCATTTTCTTCGGTTGTTTGAAGAGGGGTCATTTACGCAACCATTACAAAGAGACTGGACACCCGATCGGTGCGTAAATTATTAATTTTGTCCAAAATTTACACTGTTTTTTCCTTAATGTGATAACTTGTTATTTTTATTTAGCTTGTGACCTGACTTATGGAACTATATACTGCTTCAAGTGCACCGACTTTCTCTATGACCGCGACTTTGAAGCTATCGCGGTCGCGAACGAACACAAGTCCGACTATACGTTGTGGATGCCATGCTCGTCTCGTTTGGGGGGTTTACCTCTCGCCGAATTTTTCCTCCGCTGGGGAACCCCCAACCGATTTTGCGTCGGGCCACGGTCTACGTTCGGCCTTCGTGGTCTTGTCAACCTGGGTCACACCTGTTTCATGAACTGCATCATTCAAACCCTCATCCACACCCCGTTGCTGAGAGACTTCTTCATGACGGAGAGGATTATTTGTTCGCAAAAACACGATCAGAAGATGTTAAAGCCGTGCATCATCACGCAACTCTTTGACCTTTTCCAAGAGGTGGGCAATAATTTTATAGGAAACATGCATGATATTGTTTTTTATACTTGTTTGATTTATTTGGCTGATTGTGAGTTTGTGCAAACTTGTGGTAAAATATGTAAAACCATCATACGAATAATTCCACGATGCAGTGATGAGTCGTATGATGGTTCTATATGAACGACACTTTAGATTTAATGCGACCAACTACTGGAGAAAGTTTGATGTGAATCCGATCAATATTTTTAATACTATATGTATTTTCTCTCTGAATTTTCAGTTCTACAACGGTTCCAGAAACGCCGTCAGTCTACACAGTTTGCTCCACAAGATTTGGGGGAACGCTGCCCATCTAGCCGGATACGAGCAACAGGACGCACACGAGTTCTTCATCGCAATGCTGGAAGCGCTTCACCTCCATTTCGCCGTCCCTAATTCCACCCACGCGTGCAAGTGTGTTATCGATGTCATATTTCTGGGAAGACTGCAATCCTCGGTGACATGTATGGTTTGTGGGTATGTAATGAAAACTATGGTTATTAAGCCTGTAACAATCAAAGTTCAGTATGATAATCATGTGATTTTGCTTAGTTTGTACATAAAATGGGTTTAAATTACTAAAATATTACGTTTTTTTAGCCACAAATCCATCACGGTTGACCCCTTCTGGGACATTTCGCTCGACATTGTGGGAGGGTCGAATTCCGATCCGAAGCACGCAATCGGGCTGGATGAGTGCTTGATGCGCTACACGCGTGAAGAGCACCTCGGCTCGGGGGGCTTGATTAGGTGCAAAGACTGCGATCGGAACCAGGAGTCGACGAAACAGCTCAAGTTTAAAGTGTTGCCGATAATATTGTGCCTCCATCTTAAAGTGGGTTAAAATTAATAGTTATTTACCTTCTTTGTCACTACTTAACTAAGCAGCTAAATTATTTTACATGTAGCGTTTCGAGCATTCCACAAATTACAAGAAGATCGATAATATCGTCCGATTTCCGGAAAGGTTAGACCTCTCACCATTTACATCCATTACCGAAGACAAGAAGAAGGGTATCGGTATGATGGACTATTTACAAGGACAAACGAAAACGACAGATAACAGGTAACTTATCAAGGCCCTTATCATCCTCATCATCTCAGTAAAGTGCCAGAACAGGCCTTAAAATGAATAGCAATGAACACTTACTTATTTGTACGCAGTCGTTACTCCCTTTACGCTGTGGTCAATCACATCGGCTCATTCGAAGGAGGTCACTATTATGCATACATTCGACACACGCGGGACACTTGGTACAAATGTGACGACCACATGATAACGAAAGCTTCACGGGAAGAAGTTCTCGCCTCTCCCGGCTATCTCCTCTTCTACCACAAGGAAGCTCTTCTGTACGAAGAAAGTCGGCACCACCGCTACCATGGCGGTGGTGATCAAGCATCCACTTCCTCCTCATAATTAATCTCGTCCTCTCTCAACTTGTAGGGGAACATAAACCTTTATTCAGAAACTATGTAGAACAAAAATCGCGAATTTCCGAATCCAAACCCAACGTAAAAAATGGGGGAGTGACCTTTCGGCTGCAGAATTAAGTACGAGACTGATGATCCGATTAGTGATACTGTATTATTATTTTATCTCGCAACACTGTTAAATTATAATTGGAATGTTACGTAAACTACGCTGAGGATATGAACTGAAATGGTTAACTAGTTAACTTTTGATTCGTTTTTCTCAAATAATTTATTCATATTTATGGAAATGAAAAAGTTTGCAAATATCTATTCGATCTAGTGCTCGCTATGTTTTTAAATGGAAACGTATACCTTTCATCGCCACTGGAATACATTATTTATGAAAAATCATGTTTCTCTTTTTGAAATAAAGTAACCAAGCGTTTCTAAAAAGTATATCCTGTTTTTTTATGATTTAGTCGCAATTACGAAAATCATGAAGTTTATGGCACCATTAATGATGATGATAAGTAATGTGATACATTCATAATTATAGTTTTTAAACGACTTGAAAAGCATCGAAAAATTTTATTACTTTTTTAACATAACGTAAACATCGTATAATCAACCAACTAGAACCGTTCTGACGCTCGAGAAGCCATATTTCTCAAAGATCCGTACACTTTGGAGGGTGGCGTTCCCAAAATTAAACTACAAATCGCCCTCTTCGCCATTGCAATGTTTTGATACGTTCCTAAAATGTGGACTTTCGAGTCTGCCAAAACAATCCGTGTCTTTGTCGAGTTTTCAATAGTGAACTTGGTCCTTCCTCCTTTTCCTGCCAAACGACCAATCGCTCTCGAGAGATGATCCCCCTTCAACGGTTTGACATCCTGGACTTCAAACGTGTCAATGAACAAATCCTCCAGTCGGACGAGGGCGAGAGCATCGTTGACTTCAAACCCGTAGATGAATGCTTTCACAAAGTCTTCCGCCTTTTGTAGAAAGCCTAAACTTTCTTCTGCACTTGCATCTTCAGCCGCACGAATTTCCACGTTTCTTGTTTTCACGTTAAATCGTACCTGTAACCCTAGATGCTCCACGATCGGGGTGAATATTTTGAGCCAATTTTGCTTCAAGGGGGTCAGTCTGTGAGAGGGGACGGAGACTTTACGAATTTCTGCCTTTTGTATCTTTGCCGCTGGGGGAGCAGAAGTTGTGTCGAGATCCATGGGTGTGGTGGACGAGTTACCTCCTTGGGGACGCTTCTTCCCCCTCCGGGCGACTACTTCGGATCGGTCAACCTCCATGTTCTACAAATTATAGTTGAACCTGTGACAAAAGAAAAAAATAGATTTAAAGTTTGAACATTAAAATTCATTTCTAAAATTCAAACCAAAATAAACTAAACTCACCAAAATTTACTCTTCGTTTTCCTTTTTGAATAAGCTGGACTTATCTTCTTGGATAAACGCAAAGGTTTAACTAAAATTTAAAGTTAGTTAAGAAGACTTACTTTACTCGAGGAGAAAAGGACTGAGCACATGCCGAGTGGTCAAAACTCCCGGGAGCAAGAACACTCAATTTACCCCAACTCAAAATTCACCGTTTACTTTTCCATGAAAAATGCAAAAAATTATGGTGATAAAAATGTCTCAACTTTATTTCGCTCGTGGAATGAACACAATTTCAAGTATGTATTAAGTAATGAATCCACATAAAATTTTGTACAAGCCAACGAGTAGAAAAAATATGTATCATATTAAATATGTATGTATTATCTCAACTGTAACCTTAATAATACATAAGAGCATGTCGTGAAAGGTACAAAAAGTCGATTAGAGATCTTTTGGTTAGTGGTGACTCGGTGTGTTCCGTTTGACGAGAATTTGTTGCGGTTTTATCTTGATTGTTTAATTTCTTGGGTTTTAGCATCTAATGTTCAATGAGTTTATTGTTGATCATTTCGCGCAATTCTGGAGCTTCAATTTCCACATTTCGGATGTAGGTAAACAGCCAGGATGCCTCCCGAATCCGAATGAACTGGACGAGAAAGACGACCACCTCCAGGTAAATATCCTGCGATAAAATACTTAGTATTTAGTAAAATTACGAAATTTCTTTACTTAATTGGAATTTTAATAATAAGTAAGGTTTTCAATGAGAATATGAGGAACAAACCTGGACGTCGATCACTTGAGTGAGAAGCAGAGATTTCAAAAAGACGCAGAGTAGACGGACCAAGCGGTTTTGTGCATACTTTTCGGTAGGTTGGATGCCTTCACACGCCTTAATGCAGTTGGAGACGTACTTGTACACAAACTCTTTTGGAAGTTGCAGATTGCTGGTCAGGCTACAAAAAGTCAAAATCAGTTAAATTAACTTGCCAACTTTACATTATATTCTACATAATTTTATAGCATATTAAAAATTTGAGTTACTTACACATTCACTACTTCCATCGAGTGAACAGACATTTCCATTTCGATCAAGGCATTAAAATACTCATCAACTTTAAGGTCGTTAAGGATTATCAGTCTTTGTAAAATTTCAATGGCTACTGCGGGATTGTACTCAACCAAGTCGTGGAGATTGCGTGGTCTGATGATTTTATGGTTTGTCAGGCGACAGGCACTTCGGACATAGTCTATAATTTCTTTTCGCTGAGAAATGTTCAGCGCCTCCTTAAAAGCTTGTTTTATTAACGAATTGAATTTTTGAGCTTGTTCTTCTTGTGAGCTTTTCTTTTGATTTGCTTGCTCCTTTTCTTGTCCAATTGCTTCTTCTTGTTGAATTTCTAACAGGCTTTTCGACCCACTGCTGCAACTACTACTGATACTGCTACTATCAGCGTCATCACTTGCCATATTTTGAGAGGGAGTACGTTGGACGGTAGCATTATTCCAGGAAAATTGGGCTTGTCGTTCCAGCTTCAATTCACGTTCTTGCTCTTGACGAAGTTTAACTTCACGTTCAGCTGCGACCTGTCCCTTACGCTCATTCTCCAGTCTTTGTTCCTCAAGCTTTTGCTGTTCTTCGGCTAATCTAGTTTGCTCCTGAAATAAAACAGATTTCAAATTAATACTTAAAATAGACCAACGTGTATAAATATGGCAACCAAGCATTGTAACCCACATCTCTAAGCTGACGTTGCTGTTCCAACTGTTGTCTCTGGCGGTCTTTGAGACGTTGAAATTCTGCTTCCTCTTGTTGTTTCCGCATTATTTCTTGTTGCTGCTTCTGGAGTAAATACTGTTCCTACAAATTTACCACACAATTTAATACTTTCCTTGTTGACCAATGAATACGTTCCAAAATCAAACAAAATCGTTCGTTATATGTTGGTTATACCTCGCGAATTTTCCGTTGCTTCTCTTCTTCCATTCGTTGCTGTTCTTCAAGGCGTTTACGCTCATGTTCTATTCTTCTCTTATCTTCTAAATGTTTACGTTCTTCCTCCTCGAGCCTTTTGCGCTCCACTTCCTCCTCCGCTTTTCGGCGACGTAATTCTTCCTCTTGCTGCAATTGTGGGAATACAAATCAATCTCAACAATCCATCCAACAACAATCCAACAAACAATTAATTTTTAATAAGCTAATATTATTATTTTGAATTCTTACCAATTTCGCCATTTGTTCCCTATACTCCCACGGGGTCTGGGTTGGCTGAGCAGCACCCCATTGGTTTTGGACTTGAGGCGTCTGTTGTTGTTGCTGAACTGAAGAATTGCCAGTCTGTCCCCATGGGCTTATCACATCAGGAGGCTTACTGGGTGTGGAGCTAATCTTGTGCTGAGTATTTGCCATAGATGTTAACTGTTGAACTAAAGACTGAATAGGATCATTGACCACAGCTGAGGACGATTTATTAGAGGCGACATCCATCTGTACAACAACCAGCATAATTACTGTCATTTTCATTAAACTGATTATTATGTACAGGAAAGATTTAAATGACATACAATTGGGGTGCTTTGTGAATTCCCCATCAAGTCTGAAAAATTATTTTGACTTTGTAATGTTTCATTGCCAACAAAGACCTATTAATAAAAACAAAGAGGTGAATTTATTGCATCATTATACTTTCGATGTATTACTAACTATAACATAATCCCAAGTAATATAATCAATCAATCCTTCGTATTTTCTATACCTCCGCTTGATACGATGCATACAATTGATCTCCATCCACCCCTCCTTGAGATCTAGCCATGTACTTTAGTAATTTAGTTTGCATTTTTTGGAGGGCATGGGACGAGTTAGAAGTTGACCGAGTTTGCTGCGGGGCAACAACTGGAGGAATACTTGAGCTCTGTGGTTGATGCCAGCTAGGATCCTGTTGCTCCTTACGAATGGCACCACCCCCACCGTGGTTGAGGCTATCAAGACAACAAAAAATAAGTAAGCATGCGAACAATATACATATGAATAATTATATCAGCTTCTCACTTCATCATATACTGTTGCTGTTCCCTCATCAGGTTTTGCTGTTGCAAAAGGGCCTGTTGCCTTTGTTGGTGAAGTTGAGCTTGAATTTGACTACTGTGGTCTAAGGCACTGGATGCATTGGGGTCCTAGACGAGCAGAAACATCCGTAATTATTATTACCATAATTTTACGACTATTTATTATATCATTAATTTTAGTAATATTTTAATCAAATATTAAAGACTTAAAGGTAAATGAATGGTACCTGAATTGGGGGTGGTGGCGGGGAAGAATCGGCAACAGCGAATGGATTTCTTCCATATACTTTGCCCATTTCCAACAACGTGATAAAAATCTTATCACATTCTCTTCGAAGTTGGAGTGAGCCTGAGAAGTAGCCTTGAGAACACCACAAACCCATCTAAACAAAGAACAAGAAAGCGAATTAGCGGACTCGCATCAGTCGTAAACTGTGGTTATTACCTCATGTGTGCTAAAGGGCCCTTGAACACTGCCTTGAGGATCACGATAAAACCAAACTTCCATCGATCCTGAGGGGGAGCTGGCTGGTTGATGGACAGTCACATTGGTTGTTGTATTTTGTGATGGAATATTCTGTGAAGGGTGATGTCCTCCCCTTCCAGGACCAGATCGGGACAGATCATTATGGGACGACTGCTGCTGTTGCTGCTTGTTTCCACCGCCACCACCGCTGGATGACAAAGTTTCCTCTACTGACAGACTGGCAAGTAGTTGTTGCTGTTGTTGCGACATGGCGTTGTTGCCACTCGGTCCGCAAAGTCGCCGGGATGCGAGAGTGTCTTCTTCAATCAGTTTCGAAACCAGGTTCATTGCTTCTTCAGTCATGCTAGAATAAAAAGAAGAGTTTAGTTCTAAAGTTCTGAAGTTTGATTAATTAATTGGATTGGAATAAAATAAAACTATATATATATAAGAAATGTACTGTAAAGAGCATCTAGTTGGAGAATGGTATTGATTTTTGCAAGAAAATGAATTCATGACTAACGAGCAGTGGACAATTTTCACACAAAAATTTGGAATGGAAGAAATAGTTTTTAGAAAAAAACTCACCAAAAGGTCGCTCAAGTAAACGTGCTGTAACAGTTTGCTCAAGTTGTCATATAAACATAACGGTCGCACTCACCTTCTATAGAACTCATCTTCACTGGTGAGAGAGGCCGTATCTAACTCGTTGATATTGGAGGAAGCTCCGAGTTCGCCTCCGTGAAAACCATGACCAGATGCGGCCGGTTCAACCAGAGACTGAGCATGCAGTAATTGTGATCTCGAGTCGTAGGAGAACGCCGGCATTTGGTGCTGCACCGTTTGAACACGTTGAATGTGATGTGATTCGGACGACGATAGGCCAATAAGGTGTCCGCTACGATCATGGGATTCCGACTCTAGTAACTGCTTCTGAATGTTTATAATACTATTCTTGGATCCCTGATGGTGATATTGTTGTTGTTGTTGCTGCTGCTGCTGTTGATGGAAGGAGTTGTACAGGGTCAGGAAAGGGTCACGGTCTCGACTCGTTCTGTTATTGGATAAGGACGACGAGTATTCGTCATGGTCGTCTCCGGCGTTGTTTTCTGCTTCTTCTTTCACCGAGGCAGGGATCACAGGTTTGACAGATTCGGTTCTATCTTGCACCCTCTTTTGTACTAAAAACGTAATGAGTTATTTATAAAACTGGTGCCGCATACTTTAATTATAGAATCAAAATACTTCATCATACCTCTGTCAGAATGAGATCCTAAGTGCTCAGATTCACCTCTGGATTTCAACAAACTATTACCACTATTGCTATCGCCACTGTTTTCTCCTCCTTTTCTATTGTCTGTCTCTCTACTACTTTTACTACTGCGATCCTCTCCGTGAAATGCGCCGCTTGAATCGAACGTGCCGCTTTCCTCCGAAGGATTGTCTCGCGCCCTGCGCACAAGAAACACGTTAATCTAGTTAAATATCTCCCACTACTCCCAGTATTTCTTTGCAACTTGTGGATTCTTATTTTATAACCGTTCAACGTACCATTCAGGTATGTTGTCGTGATTCTCTTCTTCACTCCAGCTGCGATGAAGCCTTCTAGAGTTACTACCCGACCTATATTCGTCCTCCGCCTCGTCTCCCCTACGCCATCTTGGTTTACGCCAACCATCGTCATTCGTCCCCTCTTCCGACACCCGTCGTCCACCAAAGCTTTCTCGACTCCTCCAACTTCCACCCCCACGATTGCTCTCCTCCGGCCCCGCAACACCGGGTGGTCCACCCACACTTCCCACAACCCCATTACGATCTCCCCAAACAGTTCTCTCATGATTACTCTGCACAAGTTTAAAATGCACACAAATTATACCATGGATGGATTTAAGACTCTTCTTCCTTTGTCTATAATCTGTATGAACCATACATACTTGAGGTCTTTCAAAGTTTCTTGGTCTGGAAAAAGAACTACGAGGGTCTTCCTCTTCATGTGATCTCGGACCATATGTCAAATAGCTCCCGCGACCACGACCGCGTCCACGATCGATTCCACCACCCCGACCGCGAGTAGCGTAACCTGGTCCGATCGGATCTGCACCACCAGGGCCTTGTCTAGATGATTCAGGTTGAGGAATATGCCATATTCTCTGCAAGTGGAACAAATTCATTAATTCATAATTCTAAAGTATGAAATTACTATATATATATTCCAATACGAACAATTTCTTCTTCCGATGGTTGTGAGAATGCCAGCGGTGGTTGCATCTTCTTAATGTACAGAGTTCCAAAAGTCTTCAAAAAGTCGGGAGATTCTAAATTCTTATCATAGAGAGCCAACAATTCCTCTCGGCTGTATCGATATTGTGGTTGTTTGAACCGGTTGGGATTTGAAGGTGGGCCCGTTCCTTTGTTGGCATCTCCCCATCCTCGTGGAGACTGGCGGTAGGAGATGGGACGGAAGGACGAGGACGGGGGAGAGGAAAAGGCGACCGCGTAGTTGTGATCCTTGTTGGAAGTAGAATTAAAGCTGGAACGACCACCTACTTCAGGCCCGGGACCCCAAACGGAATATCCGCGCGGAGATGGACCACCGTCATCTGGAGAAGCGCTAGAACTTCCAGTATTTTCCGAAGAAGATAGAGCTCTCAGCCAGTCCGGACCAAACTTTAACGACGCATCCCCAATCTTCGTCTGCATTGGCATTGGTGACATATTGTTACTATAAAATCACAACCAAAAAACATCTTTAGAAAAAATTGCAACAGGATACATTGTGTATTACTGCTTATTATTACTGCATTCCTAAATTGAGCGATAAGAGCTGATGTTTAGTAAACCGCTCATTTTCTTGTTATGATACCCAATAAGAGAATCATTAGAGGGGCTGTTGCCGTATCGAGCAAAGTGTCGTATTTTTAGACAAAGACAGACCCACATGTCCCGACTAAGCAATCAACGAAAGCGAAAGTGGTGGCGAAGCCGCCGCTTAAGACTAACACCACGGATAGACGAAAGTGGTGGTGTGGTGAAACTACTATTTACCTTTCTTACTTCACTGAAGAATGTATTTTTAAACTATTGACTTAATGAATGAGCAAATGAAAATAGATTAATAATTTAGGTGAAAAGATGATTTCAGTCAAGGGTCGTACCTTTTTGTTGACATTTCAGTGTCAGCTCGAAGAACGTTTTCAAAACAAGTTTTATCTCTGAGGCAATGATGACACAGAGATAAATATATCAGCGACGATTTTTTAGCACTAAAACTCCTCCCAAAGAAAACGACAGCGTGTAATCCAGAACTTGATCCGAAGGAAATTAAAGCAAAAGAATTCGGGTAACGGAACTCGAACACAATTGAACTGTATATGAATGAATAAGTGGCAACATTAGAAACTATACCAGCCGTAAAAAAATAAACAATTAATCATTTTTACGTAATAAAGCTGGAAAAATTAAAATTGTCCAAGATCCCGGAGAGAGATGCGTGAAGAACTTGTTGGATTTATTTTTTACGTTATACCCGACGGGACGCGAACAGTTCAGGTCACAGAGAATCACTTGAATAACCACACTAAATACAGTTCACCATCAATCTTTTTGAATAAATATTCCCAGGCGTGTGCTGGAATGACGACGATGACAAGTTTTGACAAAGCTGTGAGTGGAAACGGCAAATTAACAAATAAAAAAGCGATGCGCGATCCACCACCACGAGTCAAAATTCAGTCTTCATTCGGAGACCACTTTGGACAAAAAATACCTGTAAATCAAAGAAATATAGAAATATATTACAAAAAAGTTTAATTCCAACAAAAATTCAGCATTGGCTGTGATATCCAGTTGTGAATGGATTATCCAACGTTTCATCAATTCACAATGAATATTTCGTCAAGCAACGAGGCAAATTTTTAAAATAAATTACAAAATTTCTCTAAAAATCTAATAAAAAAATGACCTAAAAAATCTAAATCTCAATTGTGAACTCAATATTCACTTGTTACTCAAACATTTTTAGCCTACTCATGCTCAGAATTAAAAAAAAAAAACTGAAAAAATTTGATACATCATTCTCGAAGAGACCATTGTTCCAAATAACAGCCTTACCAAAATGGAATCACTAGAAGAGTGACCTCATCTGCTGTGGCTCCCAGCCAACCCGTATCTTAATTTACTTTAACTATACCCCCAAGGACAAAAATTTGCAACGATTTGCACACCAATTTCTCCTTCAACTAGCACGCTCCCTGGTGCGATTTTTATTATTTCAATTGGCCCTGAAAAAAGGTAGCGACGAAAAAAATGAAATATTTTCGTACTTTTAAGGCAATCTGTTGTACGTGTAAAGGTATTATTATTTCGCAAATATTTTGGTGTAGGTTGCAGAAAAATACTCAAACTGACTGACTGACTGCTGCTCCGAGTGAGCAACCAGGTGGCGTAGAGCGGCCTCCGTACATAGCGAGCACTGCCCCTGCCATCGAGCTCGCTCGCGGAAAATCTCACCTTTTTTGGAGAAGAAAATCTTTTCGGGCAAAGTGACAACTCGCGGTTTCTCCTGTTTTTTAGGTTATCTGTGTATCGCTTATCGATCCGGATAAGCTGGACGAAGAAAGTGTGACGTAGACGATTTGACACGCTTTGACATGTGACCTGGTCACCCACCCACTATGGTTGCTGGACGGGATGCTGCCGCTCTGATTCGTAAAGGTGGGTGAGATTGTATTTAATGTTTGTTTACATTTAATTAAGTAATTGTTGACGTGACTTCAACTAATTTATTTTATTTAGGCATCTTTGCCGTTAATAAGCCCGGCACACTCACATCCACCGAGTTACTTAATAATCTAAAAGATATTATTTACGATGGTGAGTTAACAGTTAAACTTAAATTAATTTGATTATTTACGTACTAACCAAACTACTACGGATGATTAGGTTTCGTCGAAAAACCGTCACCTCTCAAACTCGGCCATGGTGGGACGCTCGACCGCAGCGCGGTTGGGGTTTTGGGTAGGAATTTAACACTTGTTATTGTGAACGAGGCGTAAAAAAGTTTACTAATAGTGGTACTTCCTAAATAGTTGTCGGAGTTAATTGGGGGTGCAAAAAGTTACCATTATTATTGCACGGGACAAAGAATTACGTCGTCGTGGGACAATTCGGAATTGCTACGGACACTTATAACGAGACTGGGAGAGTAATTGATGAGCGACCGTATGGTAGATTGTGTGGTTCAAGTAGTTAAATAGGCATGATTTAATGTTTCTTTGCTTGATCGACAGGTCACATCCGGGAAGAAGATATTTCTACCGCTTTAAAACAATTTATCGGCGAAATCGACCAAACTGCGCCGGTTTACTCCGCCCTAAAAGTTGGAGGGAGGAGAATGTCTGATCTCAAGAGGTACGAATTATTTAAAATGTTGGCCACATTTATTATACTGACTGATTGGTAATAATTGTATCTTGCAGGGATGGTTACGACGTCACTGCCAAAGAGAGAAAGGTGCGCTGCTACAGTGCCGAATGTACGGACTATTCACCGCCATTTTTTACCCTGCAGATCAGATGTGGGGGTGGCTTTTATGTGAGGAGTTTGGTCCATGATCTTGGCATAGGTGAGGATATGCATATTTGTAAAATTAGCATGCTTGTATACTAAATTGCATTGCAAACTGGACAAAATTAAAGTTGCTTTGTAGTATATTTCAGTTTCATATTACTTACATTTTTCCAGCTTTAAGCACTTGTGCTCACGTTCGACAACTCCAACGGACTCAACAAGGCCCCTTCACCCTGCAAGAATGCTTGACCGCTCAGGAGTGGAACTTTACGCAAATTATGGATGCTATATTGATGTGTCAGCTAAAATTTAGTCATTTCGAGCAACGATTAAAAAACCAGTCTTCGTGATATTTTCATACATTGTGCTGTACCTTAGTCGAATTAAATCAAAAACTGGACTAATTATTATTAAAAGGCATGAAATTAGTTGTTTTTGAATGAATGTTTAACTTAGGATTAGTTACAGTAACCAAAAATAATGATTGTGAAAGTGAATTCAATTTAAATGATGAAAGATAAGACTGTCCTGGAAAACAGTAGTCAAACCACTTTTCGTTTCGTACTCCTGTGTATATATTAATTTATTTCATATGTGTCTAAAATTCGCGTGATGGTACGTACTTACAGAATTATAAAGGAAAGTCTAAATTACTCGTGACACTTGATCTGTTGTTCATCTCATTGTTCTCACACTGTCACTGTCACAGTTTCCGTTTCACATTATTTTGACCCGGATGCCAACACAATATTTCAATGACGTCTCAATTTATAATGCTGAGTGTGCCATGAAAAACCAGGACATTCCATACCTCAAATTTTTCATTAAGGTGAATTAATCAATGAGATAAAGTCAGGAAAATCACCACATATCATTTTCTCACTTTAAAAACTAAAAATTTCAACCTCACCTTTTCTCGCACACTCAATTTCCCAAAACCAGTTCCAAATTTCTGACCCTTCAATATCAATAAAGTAAACTCCAAAATCGCGTCCACCTTGGCTCATTAGTGGCATCGCCTTTGAATGAAAAGTTCCATTGTTCTCGAACATCTGACATAATTTGCCCCATAAAACCATAAAATTATGTAAGCTCCTCGTCACGATAAGATTGACTGCTCGAACTATGCATGCATGCATCCATTGATACGTAAAACATGTCACTAAATTGTAAATAAATACGTAATGATTTAATATTATCGTGTGTCAAAGGTGACGAAATATCATAAATAATGAACCATGCACTGCACACATTGCACCGTGCATGGTGTGACCTCTCCCACCCATAAATAAGTCTGTCTGTCAAGTGAAGTTAAATGTCTGATGGATGGGACGGGACGACGTGATCCCAATCATAGATTAATAAAAAACAAGACAGAAACAAATCCCGATTTAGTTCCCGAATGTGCAATCTCACCGAAATGTCAACTTGCTTCAAAATGTCACTCAATTCGGAGAGAAAGTCAAGGAAAATCTCACCCGAACAATATGGAATCGTCGTCGTCGTCAGTTTTTATGATGTCTAGTCACACGGAAAAACGGGGGTAAATTGAGTGGAAAAGAGTCACTTGTTCCATTCGGCATAATTTATCGATTCATTCAGCTGCACCCCATTTATAGCGATCGTATAAATTTTTTAGCACGTTTTTACCCACACAATTTCCTAATGGGTTTGCCACCTAGGTACCATTTGTGCTTGCATAAGTGGTCATATTCTTCTTATCAATTTAACCAAATTATCTATATGCATCTGTTATCAATTTGGTACGATACGATTTGCAAAAATGGGACATGTTCCTCATAAAGTTACTGACCCGATGAGAAAATGGCATCATTTTCTACTTCGTCTCATCTCTCTCATTTCTTAACCCAGAAGAATACAACTCTCTCCATCAAGAAAATTGTACATATTCAGAGAACCCCATGCATCAACTCAAAATATGTAAAATACTCAATTTAACAAACATATTTCTATTGTCCCAAAAAACAGGACATCATCATCATCATCACCATAATAATTTTCATTTCCAGAGAACAATACACATCCCACATTAATTCGACCTCGGCCCTCCATACGTACGTACGTACATACACATGAATAATAACGACTCTCATTTTCATGGAAAGTCTTCCTCCTGAATCTCGCCTGGATTGCATTGCGGGCAGGCAGATTATGCGCCACTACGGACGGCATTCTGTGTAAAGTAAAAAGACTGACATTTAAGACGACACGATGACGCACCGCCGGGTGGTGCACGAAGGAAGTTAGAAGACGCCTGATGTGGCGTCACTCCACGTAAAATTGGGACCCATCCTTCCCACACGGCTCCCTGAGTGAAGGACACGGCTGTCACTCGTTCGTATTAGAGAAAGTTTGGATAGTGGTTTGGTTTTAGGAATGGGGTCACGCCACCATGATTGGAATTTGAGGCAGGGCTGCTGCTGCTCCTCCTCGGATACATACATATTAGTCAAACATCATAAAAAATGAGGATCGAAGAAGACACATCTTCTCTTCTCTTGGTTGGGGAAAAATTAATGCGTGCCCTTTCCGAGAAAGGAGAGTTGCCGCAATCCATAGAAATTATGCGAGCGAGTGACGACTATTTGGCAGAGTTGCAAAAATATTAGGCAAACAAAAAATTCGAATTGTGTTGTTCTGTTCTGTTTTTTCTTTTTTAATAATACTGCTGCTAAATATTTAGTATAAAAAAGGAGGGATGACAGGGAGGAGGAATTTTGGTAAAGAGGAAAAAAATCGTGTTTTTATATGAGGGAGAAAGTTGTGGAGAAAGTCTGCTTTCCGTCTGCTCGTCAGCTATTGAATGGGAAAGAGAGAGGCACGACGACCCGAATACGACCACTATTGTGCAGGCAGGCATACCACCATCCATCCCAGCCAAGTAAAAGTGGGATGAAAGTACGGCAAAACTGGGCCGAGTAGAAGAAGAAGAAGTGAGATAACAGGAGTAATAAGACTCAAAACTAGTCGTCGTACGTATCCATGTAGCACACAAGTTGGGTATGTAGCAGTATTGCACTCTTAATAATTTAAGAAGAGTTTAGAGTGCCTGGGAATGCAGGGTGCAAATAAAATATGACTGACCAAATGCAGGACAGATATTGTTCCCCTCCACGTTTTACTTTCTTCTTTTGCACTTTGTTTTGCACTTTCTATGTGCAGATGAGCATGGGAACATTTGTACCGTAATTCACTTCACCCAGTCATTGGTAACTTTGAAAATCCATGCACTTTGTGCCATAATTTCCCAAAATTTTATAAAATAAAGAGACGTCCTTGATCTGAGCAAGTTTACAAAAATGTTTGATCCAATTTTTCTCAGAAACATGTTTACAGAATTTACTCATTTTACAATGTTACTAAGCCCTGAACGAATGAATTTCCTCAATGTTCCCCAAGGTCAAGGTTATTCTTTGACAATTTCAGATCTGACCTCACAACCCTCCAATACTTTCACCACCCACCTCACCTCACCACAAGTCCCGCATTTCTTTAGAGTGTCCCAGCGCATCATCATCATCATCATCCACCCACCGAAGGGAGTCAGGGAGGGAGGTAGGATCGAGCAGCATGTGCAAAATCCGAGCAAAGTGGGGGAGAGAGAGACCTAATAACCTATTGCGAAAACCAAGTCTTCCTTTCGATCCAGCTACCCAAAATCGGGACAGACTCGTGTGAGTGAAAGTAGTACAGGATTCCCTTGTATGATACACACCACGTACACAGCCAGCCCCGTCGTCGTGGTCGTTTCCTCCCCACTTTTTTTCACCCAGAGAGAGAGGAGCCTTAAATAACTCCCAGCACCACCAGGAGAGGAACGGTACTTGTAGAATTCTTGCAAATCCTAAAGTAAAACTAGTATCGATTCAGAACCTTCGTCCCCCGCGGGAGGGATGTCGCCCCAATTTCCTCCCATGTCCTCCACCCCGTCCGTGTGCACCGCCTAGCCTGCTCCTGCGAGGTCACATCCCCCCCGCACAGCCCCCCCCGTGGGACGAGTAGGTAGCCAGTAGTACTACCACCACTGTCAGTCTCCCAGTGAGGAGAAAGTCCAGTCGCAGTCGGAGCAGTCTTCGCAGCAGAAGATGCAGCAGTCGAGTCGCAGAATGGGTGCAGAAGAACGGCATAAAGAAGAAAGTTGACGACACGTTTTACTTACTCGTGCTTCTACAGTGGGTGGAGGAACAGATAAGTAAATAGTAGTAAAATTTTACCGTGTGTGAGTGTGTATTTGCTGCTGCCGTGCCCTCGTCGTCGTCGTGTCCTCTATAGAATTCCGCTAGACCAAGTAAAAATCCAACCAGACGAACGAGGAGACCAGTACATATGCACATCCATCCATCCATCCGCCCGACTCTCTTCTTCTTCTTGAGGGATAAAGTATGCTGACATTTCCTCAAATGGATCAGTACTGGCTCATCAAGCGGACGGAATGGTGGTGGTGGTGCGGCTCCTCTTGCTAAGTGTTCTCTAAACTGTTCACGTAAAACGGAGTACTAATTGGCTCAATTTTTCCTCCGGGTGAAAAGTGGCGAGTGAGGGATTTATTGGGATCGTTATGACTTCCAAGAGTGAAACCAGCGATCGGAGAAGGATTGATTCGTGAAGTTGTCGCAGTGCTTCTTCTTCTGGATGACCACTCCTCCTCCTCGAATATCGGCCATCATGTCTGCTGCCCTCCTCCTCGTGCTGGTCATCGGCGGCACGTTCGTGTCCTCTTCCAGGGTCAATTTATTGCCAGGTATGTATGTGAATATGTACGTACGTGTGTATTTACGGACACGGACGGGAAGAAATTGGCTTTTTTTTCCTTCTCCGAAATAAGTTATTGCTTGTTTGGGGCAGGAATAATCGTGCAATTTTCTCCACTCGGACGACGACGAGAGGATGCATGTCTTTTAGAATAGAGTGGATGATTTCGATGATGATGATAATAATGATAGATGGGTAGATAAGGTAAAAGCTGACCATTTCCTTTTTTTGAGAGGGGGACTGTTCATTAATTGTGTCGTGGTGGGGAAAAGGGTGTCAAGATCGGGTCAAAATTTGGGGTATTTTTTATACTTTTACAAAGCAGAATTAGCGAGTGGTCCCTCCGTCCGTGGGCTGCTCTCTGGTCAAAAGAGAAAGCTATGTAATTGATGGATTGATATGGATTGTGTGGTTGTATAAGCAGGGAAAGAAAGTGGACACAGTTTTATTGTTGTCGATGTATCATCGATAAATATTTCAATGAAAGAGAGACAGATTTGGGTCAAAGTTAAGAATTTTTTTCAAAAATACGGGCACATTTTCAAGTCAAAATTTTCAGTGAAATTATGTACAAGGAAATTTATATTGAAAATCTTTAAGCTTTTAATCTCACAAAAATTCAAGTCTCGTCAAAATCCTGTAGTTGATTTTAGGAGATTTTTGACTATTTTTTTAAAACCAAAACTTGCTCATTTTGACTTGACGTGAGTACGCCCAACATTTCCCGACGTGTTTGCTTTCCCTGGTGGTGGTGAAAATATGTCTTTCTTGCTCGAGAAATATTTTGATTATTGGTTCATCTCGACTCTTAAATTATTCGGGTTGGGTTGGGCACTTGCACGTTGCTTACTTATTTCTCATCTTGGAGGCCAGACAGGATGGACCACAGCGGATTTTGACCTCTTCATACGTGACCCCAAAAAAGAGGTCTCATCCCTCCTGCATTGCGACCTCTGGTTTTGTTCGTTACCACATTTCATCACGTCTGAGGAGAGGGCAATTACTTGGCTTTCTCATGAAAGACTTTCCTTCCAGGCGATGAGACGACGACACCCACGAGCGTATCGTATCTACTTATCTCTCAGCAAATTGAGTGTGAGAGTGGAATCGCTTATTGAAAGTGACATAACCAGCTTTCTCTCCGACTAATGATGCCCTAATTGGACGAATTGTGTTCAGTCGGGTGGGCAAATTAGGGCTGAAAGTGGTCATACATCTCGCAGCCCGTGTCCTTCCAGTTGTTGTAAACAGGAGGAAAAACAGACAATGTCTCAACTTACTAGCTACAGCCAGAGGAAAAATAGGGTTCGGTAGAAAGTCGGGATTTTTTGGGGCGAAATTGTGTGCATTTTTTGTTAATTTGTGTATTTATTGCTCACTATTTTGTAATTGTGGAAGATTAAATTGAAAATCGTGGTTTTCTGAAATTTTGTATTTTTCATTATTTCGTAATTTAATGATGGGGGATTATGTAACTCCAAAAATATGCACACAGAAATTTCTCATTTTGAAAAACTTTTGATTGAGAATTAATCCATTGGGTGTAATTTTATGAAGAAAAATCACTTATGCAATCGAAGTTGAGATTGAATCTACCCACACGCGAAATTAGAACGAGCACATTGTGCACCCTGGTCATACGTCGGCAGAAAGCCTAATTGTCACCACTTATGTCTCTCCCTGGACACGTGTCACGTCCAATTAGGTGGAAAGTGTCGGTGTGAAAATGGATCGTTTTTCGTCATCCATTTGTATTTGTTTGTTTCCAGGCCCCAAAACGAAGGAAGCGACCAGCACGACGACGACCGCTGTGACGACTTGGACGACTCATGCGGAGCCAGATTTGGGCGGAATTAGCCACGAAACACACCAACTTCCGGTTTGGGTTGTTCATCGGTTGGAGGAGGTTCGGTCGAGGGCCATCCACTGGCTGTTGTCCAAGGCGACGGACGAGTATGGCTGGCCGGGTGGCGACACGGCGCGAGTCGTCATCGCCTTGGCGGCATCGTTGGACGAATGGCCAGACAAAAATGACCTCATCACCAGACTGATTGTCAAACAGATGGAGGTCGAAGTGCTAGAAAAATTGTTGAGGTGGGTGAAAAAGTCGTATTTTTATTCCAGTTGTAATAAGATTCTGAAAAATACGGTTTTTGGCGTAGAGCGAGGTCAGAATTGTTATTTTTTATTTATTCGTAGAGATTTTACATGAATTTTTAAAAAAATTATTTTTTGGTTTAATATTCGTTCAGAAATTTGGGGAAAGCTTCTTCTTTAAAATATTACAGGGCACAGAATTAAATTTTGAAAAAAATTACAACTTTTGAAATTTTTGAAATTGTTCAAAATTGCAATTTTTAAATAACGAAATTAAGGATTTTACATGAATTTTAAGCAAATAAATTTCATCTTGCAGATAATTTCTGTAAATGACGGGATAACAATTATATTAAAGTGAAATTTCCATCTCAATATTTCTTTCACGGATTTTAATTAGTTCGGAAATTTCTAAAAAAGAAAGTGAAGTTTCTCTAGCTTGAAAAACTATCGAAATCATGGATACAAAACATACTAGTACATATCTTTTTCCTCCAGGAGAGAAACCGAATCCTTGACGCCAGCCAGAGTTGCATTTTACGCCTTGGCGTTGGGTGGATCGTGTCGAGATCCGCACAACTTTTACGGGCACAACCTCATCGGTAAGAAGAAGCCACAAGTATTTTCCACCAATGTTTTCCACCTCCTCGAAATAATAATTGTTCCTTTATCACGTCAGAAACGTTGAACAAGCACCACGACACTCAGGACTTTCCGGGGTATCCTGAAACGTTCGGGTACAGCTTCACCTCCCTCGTCTCTTGCCTCGCAGGTGGTCACCTCCACAAAAAGAGGACACGCCACCTCCTCCACATCGCCAAGGAACACACCCAACGGGCACCTTCCTTAATGGGCAAGTTTTTTTTCAAAATTTTATAGAAATTTCGTTCATAAGAATTATGACGACCCCCTAATTTTTCGGGACGTGAGGTACATTGAATTTAATACTGGTGTTGGCGTCACATTAAAATTTGACAGAGAAAGACCTGGCTTATTTTGTCCCCGAGAAAACCCACCTTCGTCCCGGGCCAATGAATTTCGTGCCGAATTTCATCCTAAGTCAGGATGGAAAATTGCCCAATTTTCGCTACACTTATTTCCCTCCCTGACTACCAATCTCACCCCAACTTCTCTCCTCCCCCGTCACCACGTGACCGTATAACAATACATGTTTCCCCCTTATAATTTATTTCCCCTAACTTTTTCAGACACCGGAGGCATCGCAGTCCTCGCGTTGGAATGCATCCGTCACCGGAAAAGGGGTGAATTTCCTCCCACCCATTTGCACGAGTCGCTCCAAGCAATCGCATCCCGACAGCGGGGAGACGGCTCGTTTGGAAACGTTCACTCCACCGCGATTGCGATCCAGGCAAGAGGAAAGATCCTTGCAAAATTTCAAAATTTACTAAATTTCCCAATTTCCAGGCTCTCTCCGCCACCAGTGGTGGACCCTCCAGCTGGAACCGAACCGGGGCGGCGTTGGCCCTGCAAAGTTTCCAAGAGGGGAACGGCTCCTTTCACAACGAGGTGGCCGCCACGAGCGAGGCGCTTCTCGCGGTGACCAGTCTGCTCAACGGGCTCGGCGTCCTCGCCCTCACGAAGGGTCACTGCACTCCAGGCAGGAAGCAGCGCAGGAGGAGAAAACACGAACCCGTCTCCCACACCCCGCTACTCTTCGACTGCACCAAGTTCTGCAACAACCATGTCGAAAACACGGCGTCAAAAGTGGTCGTGGTCGTGACAAACTCGACAAGTTTTACCCCCGCGGAAAACATTACTCTGAATGACGAAGGAATTTTGACGACGATGACGACGACGAAGACGACTACGACACAAAACCCGACAGATTTTAAACTAGCCGACCTTCCCGTGATCTCGATTCACTACTATTTGTGGATCGGACCCCACCCGAGGAGCGCGGTCAAGCACAACTTGACCCTTCAAGTCCCCACTAATACGACCTTCTTCCTCGCCATGCAACGCGCCGCGGAGTTGGATCCGGCGTATGAGTGAGTCTCATTTTTTACTAAAATATTAGGCACCCTTACTTCCCCACTTTTAAATTTACTATTTTTTTCCTGCCAGATTTTCCGCCACCGTTTGGCCCAACGGGCATTACGTGCACACAATATCGGGTCGTGAGGAGCGTCCCGTGGGCTACAATTACTGGTTACTTTACCTCCTCAGAGCCCCACCAGACGCGGAAAGTCCGCCCGACAGCAGCCTCATCGCGCAAGCTGGTGAGAATTAGTATTTAACAAATTTGCAAAGTTTCCGGAAAACAAAAAACTTGACAAATTTCTTCCCCAGGGGTCGATGACCTGTGGGTGGAGGAGGATCAAGTCTACCTCTTTTGGTACAAGGCGATCTGATCTGAGAAATTCCAATCTCACGTCCAAGGACGGTACGAGGAAGTTTAAGCCAAGGTGATGACCGGTGATAAGAACTTATACTTGCTCCTCCTCACCATTAATTCCCACTCGGCTACGTACGCAAAGGAGGACAAATTCCCGTGAATAAAAAATAAATGTGATAAGTGCAGCGAGATTCATGCCTCCACTCCGTTTGGGCTGAGAGGAGAAGAAAACTATCGTGAATTCGATGGTATGATGAAGTATTTATGTACTTAAGTGACCCCACCAAAGCGATACTGATCCCGATCGAGTAAGTAATTTTAGTCGTGATGACATCCTCTCCTCGGACGAGAAGAAGGAGAAAAAGTGCAGTGATGGATAATGTTTAGTGAGTGAGACATATGTAAATTTGACGATATGAAGAGATCTATATACTTCAATATGCCAGTGAAGTGGTTGGTTATTTATAGTGGGAGAAATACTTAGCACGTGTCTCATGTAGGGAAATATTTTAGATAAAATAAGTAAATCGTGGCCTGAGTAAGTAAGCAAATTACTTAAATTTTTCGTAGATTTCCTCGTGTGCTGTATTTAGATCTGCTCGGAAAAACGTGTCGTTCGTGTGGGTGAGTAGCAAAAAATAGTTTGAAAATCTTCACCATTTCGTCCAAGTCATTAAATGTGGATGAAAGTGGTTGGTTGGTTGGTTGGTGATCGATACCTGCATAATTCACGGGATGGACGGGTCATACATATTTGTAGCGGGTAGAGCTTGTAAAACCGTAGAAAAGTTACCACAATTTTGAGAAAACTTGAACCAGAAATCGTACCGAAAGCTATTTAGACAAAATATTACAATATTAAAATACGTCTTCTCTTCTAGTCTGTCGTTATAAAAATGTAACACTTTTAAGGGGTTGTCCATACACTATGTTCACTCGTAGTCTGACTATGACCCAATTCACCGAGTCCTTGGTAACTTTGTAGAATCCGTAAATTTTGTAAAGTAATTTTACAAAATAAAAAGACGCCCTTGATCTGACAAGGGACACTCACGACCTGTCGTTTGAGTCCAGGGTACCCACTATGTTTTTCAGAATCTACTAGGACCCCAGATGAAGGATCCATTCATATTTCCGTGTAAAACTCATATTTGGCGCCATGGCGTGGCGCCAAACTTAAAAATTTGCATTTTCGACCAATTTCAAACCCCCATAACTTTTGCAGTTTATGTCGGATTTTTAAAATTTTATGCTTAAGATGATCAGAAAAGTCGAAATTTTAGAGAAAAAAATTTAAAAAAAAAATTTTTATTTTTGAGATATTTTTAGCATTCTTTCGACGAACCCGAAATTTCGAAATTTTGCGAAAAGTTAAAAGCGATAATTTTGGAAAAAATTTCATAGAATACGAAAGTTGAACTCCTTGTCATGATTTTTGTCAAAAATTTTGAAAATCCGTCCAGGATTTCAAAAGTTACGGTGGTTTTAAAATGAAAAACCATCAAATTTGGCGAATTTGGCGCCACGCCATGGCGCCAAATATGAGTTTTACACGGAAATATGAATGAATCCTTCATCTGGGGTCCAAGTAGATTCTAAAAAACATATGGGTACCCTGGACTCAAACGACAGGTCGTGAGTGTCCCTTGTGAGTAAACTTACAAAAATTTGTAAGCTAATTTTCCTTCAAAATATTTGTAAAAGTTTACGGATTTTACAAAGACCTGCGTGAATTGCCTCGATACAGATATTGCAATATTTCGTTTGCATAGTGTACACATGTCTCCACCAGTCCGAGCTGTAATGTATGCATGTAACTCTAATTTTTCTAGATTGACATGCATGACTGAAAATAAGGCCAAAAAAGATGGAAAACGTTGCAAAGTATGAAAAGTAAATTTCTCCCTAAAAAACTAAGATACATACATGCAAAAATATATATAAGTCAAATATTTTCTGCAAAAAATTCAACACCGCTTTAAACAAAAATATGTAACTCCAATATACGGAAAGTGAAAAATAATATATTTATTATTAAATTGCCAAGATTCCAGTAGTAAAAAAGTAACAATCTGTGGTAGGAATTTTTATACGCCGTACCAAAAAAACGGGAGGAGCAGGGTGGATGGGTGGGTGGATGGATATGATAAAAAAAGATTGATGACAATGACGACGACCATTTTTTGAGAGAAGGTGATTGATCACAAAAAATAAGGCCAAACACACTCGAGTCAAGAGCCTGAGAGACGTGTCGATTTCAATTTCGACCCCATCTGCGCCCACCACCGCCGCCGCCCACTCCTTCATCGCCACTAAATTACGATACACTAGTCAATTAAAAAAGGACGCTTAACTAAAAAAAATTAAAGTAAGGACAAATTAGTAATATTTGTGGCATGGTTTTTACTAATTTGTATCATTTTACCCCTAAAATTACCACTTCCTCCTCCAGCTTTACACATATCTGGACAAGAAATGTTCGGAAGTGCAAAGCTCGAGCAGGAAGAAAATTTTTTCGGGTAAAATGGACAAAAAAAAATCATACAAATTCCAATCTGCTAATAAAATGGGGCGTGCGTACAGTGCACGTTGTCGCCCCCTACACGAAAAAATATGACAAATTGTATACTAAATTTTAGAAATAATTATAAAAAAAAAAATTCTGAATTATCCAAGTCCCAGGGTTTCCAAGAGGCATACAGAAATATATTCATTAAAAAATCGTGCTTCCGCTTAAAAAACTCTCCTCGCGACATAAATAAAACTTGCACCAAATATGTTACTACACGCTTCATTAATTAATTACACACACGTCACGTAAAAAAATGTCAGACTTGAGTACCTTTAACATTAATTTATGTACGTACAGAAGAATTTATTTATTGCAAACTTTTACATACATGCATTTTAGGGGCCATTTTATAAACAAGGAGAGGAATTCGCATCTTAATCCGCACGACCTTATTTACTTGACTATTTAAACTGTAATTAATTAATTAATCATTTATTTATTGATCATTAACTTTACGCAAGAGTTTTAATAACTCATCAAATCGTAAATATTATTGTTATTATGTGCACTATTTAAAAAAACGAAGATAAAATTGCACTTAATTGCTCTACATATATCAAACTTAATATCCACTCCGAGCTGTATATAAATACTTCACTGGAAAAAAATGGAGTTTTGACTTGAAATTTATTTATTTAATTGAGGCCACATATTTAAATAACATTAATTAATTAATTAATTAATTATGCATAATATTATTTTCATGTCACATGGTAAATAAAGTAATAATAATTAACTTCAGTTTTAATTGGGGTGCTTATTAGCAGAAATATAAAATAAGCATATTAAGACATGACAACAATGCTATAATTGCTACTACATATATACGTACGTGCCCAACCTTATCGCCATTATGTAAATAAGGATTTATGTTTTTATTTTCAAAAATCATGTGATATTTTTAGTTGACAATTAAGGTTTAAGTGTGTTTGGTAAATGTGCGTGCACCGATTTTTTAAGCAGACTCGTTAAGTTTCATCACTAAAATTAATTGGAAGGGGTGGAAAATATGCAAATTCGCGAGCATTAATTATATATTTAAGTAGTGATTAAAGACAAGAATTTAATTGTATATCTGTGCATTTCATGAAATCGTAAAAAACACGACAAATATTTAACTTTTAATTAATTAAAGGATAAAAAACTCAATCAAATACTACGCGGTACAATCAAACAATCGTACTAAATATGGGAGGAAATATATTCCAGAAAATAATAACTAATTTTTAACTGCCTTAATTAATCTGCCAAGTTTAAATTAATTAATTAATTAATTTGCATGAGAGCGCTGTTAATTAATTACGTCAAATTTTTGTCCATTCTGTGTCTACCGTATTTAAATGAAATAGTCAAGTAATAAGTGAAGCGAATTGACTTAAATATAATTTATTGAACAAAAACCAAGAAAATGTTCGAAAAGTGTGTTGTAGTAAAAATGATTAAATAAATATGAATGTAAATTTGAGAATGAGATGAAAAAAAGAAGAAGAAACTATTCCAAATTATGAAAAATTTGGAAATTATAAATTGTAGATTCACACAAAAATAAATAAATAAATTGTATGAAGGGTGAAGAAAATAAAAATGGAGTTATTAAAAAAATGGGTATGTTTCAATCATTTTTGCACAATTTGCATACTTTTCTGTACAATTTTCATAATTTTTTTGCACGCTTTTAATACTTTTTTTGCACGCTTTTCATACAAAAAGGTGCCGTATGAAATAATTGTCATGCACGCATGGTGACACTGAGCTTGAATCGGCTTGAATTAAGAAGTTTTCATATTCAAGGAGACGTGACGATTACATAATTTTTTCCACAAAACCACGACCCAAACAAACAAACAAAACGCATGGAAATACCACAAATAAAAACGTACTGTGCAAAATGAACGTGCTATTTTTTGCCCATGTTATCACGAGAAGGGGGCAAAATTCGCACAAACTATACATATGTACACACCACCTCACATCCCTTAAACCTGGGTAAAAATTGATAGTATATTTTTTTACACACGGCCTGGCCTGTCGATACGATGACACAACGCTTTTTATCCCAAAGTCACTTGCACTTCTTGTCAAGTAATAAATCTACAAATAGAAAGAGGCCGTACAAATAGTACATGTGCAAAAATGCGACTGTTTATGATCCCTTCACACATTGATGAAATTCGCACATGCACAGCCCATTCGAAGGCTTGCTGATTTCAGCCCAGAGTTGACTTTGACTTTTGAGACTATTTATTCCACTCTTTGCTTTTGACGACAATAATAATAATAATCTCTCCTTGGCATGATTTCCTATGAGATTTGCCTCCAATTTTCCGCCTGTCATCGTCTCGTAAGAATAATACCAGACCACGAGTAGTACTTTTTAAGTACATATATCTCTCGTCTCAAGTTTAAGAAGTACTCGTCATAATTTTGCACCCAGGCTCGTTAATTATTCATCACGAAGATAAGACCATGTAGCCGAGAGTGGTATATACTGGTCATCGGGTCAGATTTGCCCATACCATGGCTGCAGATTATACATAATAATTCCAATAAATCTCGCATGGGTCTCTTTCCCGAGTCGCGTTTAATCGATATTATGCAAAATTAATTGAGCCCATAAAATCAAAATTTCCACATTTTATCTCTAACCAATTAAACCAATTGGATTCGCAGTGTGATTTGTGCTTGTTCAAGTGTACGTGGATTAATTTTCTGGGCGGATTTTGCACGTACAAAAGAAAGTTTTCCTCGGGTTGGATGGATATATTTACTTTGTTCTTTTAGACGCCCATAAATTTGGAGAGGAGGAAAGTGCATGGTATGGTGTGGATAAGTGATTATTCGATAACGACGATGGCGCAATAAATAATTATATTTCTGAGGATAAAACCAAATCCGTCGTTACGGTATTTTCGTCCCCAAACTGCGGATAAACTGCGGCGTCGAACCCTTCTCCCTGTCTGAATTGTTGGTTGGTAACCTTCAGGTTTTTTATGGTGGGAGGGCCGCACATAAATTATGTCGGGTTGGTTACGCTGCGGGTATGAAAATCGGTCTGCTGGAAAAATAGGGATATATTTCTGCCTGAAAGAATTCTACAAGAAAAGTTAAGGCGGAAAAATTATCCAGAATTTTATAAAGTTCGACATGTCTCATCTGCAAAGAGAACCTGATTTTAGAGAAAAATGTGCAAAATTGGGCAATTTTTCTGCCTAAAAGACGCCCAGAATCCTCCAGAAGTGGACACATAAGTAATTTCTGCATGATTCATTCCACAGAAAAATATATTTACACTCTGCAGAAAAGTTTAGGCCGAAAAATTGTCCAAAATTTTACAGAGTCTGATTCTATCGAAAAATGTGCCAATTTTCGCAAATTGTCGTAAGCTGTACCCCTCGCCGCCGGTAGCGTTAATTTTAAAGGGGGACCGATTGCGCGACATAATTTAAGGACGGCCCTTAATAATCTTACCATCTAATCCGTCCCCATTATACGGAAGGAGGAGAGGGAAAGTTTTGTCCAAATTGGCCGAGTGCCCTTCTCCCTCTAAACCCACGGGCGAATTTCCCTTCCAGACCGCCCTGCATAAAGGACGTGAGCCTGGTGATATCTCTAATTTGACTAGGGCTTGGTGGAATCAAAGCGTTAGAATTGACGCCATGCTTTGCGCACGGTCCTAGAAGACGGGAAGGATTAATTCCTCTAGGCCAAGTTTGCTGGGTGTGCAAAAAATAACTGTGCAAAATCAAGAGAAAGGAAGTGAAAGTGAAGGAAAGAGAGAGAGAAAGTTTCGTGTTTGTCTTCTTCCCAGACTGGATTTGGATGAAGGCACGATCGACATAGAATAAGAGTGAGTAGCTCATTTTTTTCACTTCTTCTCGGCCCTGCAGAAAGGACGTTACTTTTTTAAGACCCGTAATCGCCTCAATATTTTGCAATAAGTAAAATATACAACGCCAAATTGGAGATTTCTCCCACTTGTAACAGGTCAACTTGCGCCATATGTTAAAAAGGGGACGCCCTTTTTAACATGTGGCGCAAGTTGACCTGTAACGCACCAGCCCGACCCCTCCCTCTACTGCGCTATGACTTTTATGAACGTTCCCTAAGATCACAAATTTGGATAAAAATTCTCCAATTTCTTTCTGCACGACGTCATCCCTTAATTAATTACATGCTCGAATTGACAGAATCCACATTGGCCCGAATTCATTGTACTAAAAGTAGACAAGTCTTTATACATAATGTGTTTTCAAATATGGCCTTGGAGATTTTTTGGTTAAAAATCCACCCAAAAATTGGGATCATTTGAAAAATAAAATTAACTCGGTAGCTCGACCAGTTCAAAAGTTAGTCAAGGTCAAAGTTTAATTTAGACGGTGTAAGAAACATAATTGGGATTTGAGACACTTTAAAAACTTTTGAACGGGCAGAGCGATATTTTATTTTTGAAATTGTCCCAATTTTTGGATTGGTTTTTAATCAAAAAATCGAGGGTGTGATCTCCCATGATCAAAACTTGTCTACGATTCCTGAAATGAAATGGTGGAAAATGTCGATCACACTTGTTTTCCCTTTGGTTCAGATTAAATTAGTGACGAGATTCAATTAAAGTGAAGATGAGGAGAAACAATTAATTATAATTATTAATTTTGAAGTGGTCCTGCTCCTCGACTTGTTGGGAGTCTTGTTCATCTCGGGCGTCATAAATGAGCAGGCCGAGGACGAGGCTGGGCTGGGACGAGCACAAAACCGAGTCAAGAACGGCTTCAAGTATTACTCCAACAGAAAAGGTACACATTTGGTTCGAGGAGGCTCCAGCCCAGTCACTCGATGCAACTTGAACCTATTTCGGGCGTCATTAATCATGTTCTCTTCTCGCAGGGTCACGCGTGCTGGAGGTCGATCAGGAAAATCGCTGCCACGTCTTTGACAATGGGTGAGTTGAGTGGGCGAAAATTTTAATGGCGAGGTGACGGTATGGGCGGAATTAGAAATTTCGTGGTTGGTTGTAGCGAATTTTTCAGGAGAGGACAGGAAATTAGTTTCGTCCTGATTTTGCGACATCTCCGGGAACGATGTGACGCCAATTTCGTACAGTTTTGTATTCAATAAGAGTTCGCATGTTGGCATTGCAGTATAATTTTGAAAAAATTTTGCGAAGTAAATACTAGCCTTGGAGATGGGCAAGTTCGCAAATGAATCGATTTTTATGCGAGCTTGCGAATTTTATTTTTTGATAACGCTGTGAACTCATAATGAATACCTTCATTATGTGAATTTGTCCTCCTTAATTTCCATCATTTACATAATTGAATCCTTTCATCGGTAACAATGCCTAGATTTTTCACGTCACGAAATGTACTTTATCCTGATTTTGAAACATCTCCGTGGACCATGTGACGCCAATTTCACCCAAGCAAAATTATATGATTTTGTCTACAAATTTCTCTCATTTAGTTTCCTTCATATCATTAGTATGATAACACCCAGATTTTTCATGAAATGCATTTCATTCTGATTTTTGCATATGTCAAGTGGAGGAAAAATGTACAACCTTTCGTCCCCCCACCAACATGAAAAATTATTCCCTCTCTGACATGCCATCTCTCTATTTTTATTGCAGGCATGCTGAATGGCTTCATCGCACGAGGCCCGGTCAAATCGCAACCCTGAATTACATCCAGTTTGAACTTATCTTAGAAAAGTGTGACCTTGACACGAGGAAGCGTGGCGTTGATGTCAACGAAACGACTCGTGGTCAATTTCGGGATGAGAACGACCTCAATCGTGACATCTTCATGAACATGTTGAACGAAAGTAGGAGCAGTGGGGGCGATGGCGGTGGTGGTGGGGGCGGCTTCTTGTCCGACTTTCACTCCCAAGTTATGCTCTTCAACGAGTCGGACGTCTCCATTTTCATGGACGAGAAGAATAACAGCACGGACAATTCCAATTCGTCGTCGTCTTCTGGAAGTCCGCTCATTTTCCCAGGTTGAATTACTGTACTTTCGCATGCCCACAATTCTTAGTATTTGCTTTCACTTTCACTTTCACGGAAGCCTTGAGAATGAAAATGAGGCGTAAATTCGATCCTAAATTGACGTAATTTACACAAAATAAGGGGAAATGAAGGTGAATTAATGGGGCTGTGCAGGAATTCTCACCTCTCAACGTATGATTTCTATACCCGAATTTCGTCATAATTACGCCATCACATCCATTCTGCAGGACCATGTATGTACTTTGGCATCAATTTTCCATCATTTTCCATTTATCCAACCAATTTCGTGCTACATATGTACGAACGTGGGCACGGGCGGATAATCGTTCCTGTATTTGCACAGTTTATTAGCGTGTCGATGAGTATGTAAAAGTTTCTAGTGAGGAATTCAGGGTTTCTAAAAATGGTGATTTTTTTACTGGATTGGAATTTATCTGGTGTTTTGTCCTATTTCAATGTTTTCCTTGTTTACCATCTTATTTAAATTCAAAATTTCCAGAAAGTCGGGTTCGATTTTGTACTTACTTCGATCGTTTAACAGCTAAATATGACACAAATTGTGACACATTATTTTGAAACCCTGCATAACTTGAGTGGCCATTCATACACCTAATTTTATATTATTATGATAAATCCCACCCAATTTTCGACACATTACGGCACATTTTTGTCAAGAATGTGCAAAAAATAAAAAAGTTATTTCGCCATACATCTTCCACCATGATTCGCACATTTATAAAAATTGCATCCAATTGGTATCTCGAAAAGAAGCCAATATGGCACGTATTTTGCGGACTTTTACTCAGAGAGGGGGCCATGCAGAAGGGATAAACTCGCATTTAGAACTTTGCGTATATGATTAACTATCAAAAATGATTCGCACCATTTCTGCACATTTTGTTCAGTTTGTCATTTTTGTAAAATTATCATTCAAGTTCAACATTCTATAATCTTAATGCATTTAACTTGCTGACGCACAACAATTTTGGTTAAGTTAATTTAACAATTAAGTGAACCTTTTTTCTTTCCATGAACCAAGTTTTGTAACATGTTTCCACGAAGTCTATTTATGTACACTAATTTTCATGCACCTTTTTCCTCATTCACTAAAACTATAAATAAGGGTGCAATACCCATTCTCGGGTGATTCTCTTATGTGATTTCTTGTCAGTCTTGAGCCTCTCTCATTCAATGTACTTTTATCTATTTTGACTCAAATTCATTATCTTTCTGACCAACACAATTATAATTCGTCTCAATTTTCCTAATGTAAAATATATTGACTTCAACTGAAACCAAGTGTCCTGTTTCAATTACATTTATTGTGCAACCTACAATTCTAACATATCCACCCACATTTCCACCAAGTGCCACACCCACTAAATTCACCCACACAAAAACATAACTCGGTGGGAATCGTCATCCCCATCACATTTTCTCACATTTTTCCTCTCTCAAATAAAAACCAGGGACGAAATGGTGCGGCCGGGGGGACATTGCCCGATCGAGTGATGATATTGGAATTTATGCTGAGACGGACAAATGCTGCCGAGAACATGACCACTGTCCAGAGAACATTGTGGCGAGAACGGCCCGATATGGGTTGGAGAATAAAGGCGACTACACCAGGTTTTTTAATACTGAATTTTCTAAATTATTATTATTATATCAATATTTAATAAAAATGTGCTCATTTTTTCATAAATTCGAAATTTACAGATCGCATTGCTCATGTGATGAAAAATTCCTTCGGTGTTTGGAAAAGGATCGCTCGATTATAAGCGCTCTGACGAGTTTTAAAATCGCAAATTTGTACTTTAACATCCTGCAGCCGGAGTGTTTCGACCGTCGCCATCCGACCGTGGCGTGCAGGGAGAGGAGGTTGTCGTAAGTGCAAAACAAATACGAATTAAGGGCATACTCACGACAACGTCTAGTTTGTTACATAACATCGCAAACTAATTTAGCAAATTTGCTAATATAAGCTCAAAAACTGAGGGGGGATTCGAAAAATATGATTTCGCAAAGCTATAAAACCAGTCCTATCATCCTAATTTTTTATTATTTAATCCCATGAATTTCCTTAACTTATATCGCTTCTCTTGGAGAAGATGAGCTGGCGAAATAATCTTTCGAAATAAAAACATGCCCAGTAATAACTTGTGAAAAAATCCTATCATTTTCCAGCAAAAAATTGGAGAAATATCGAAAATTATGTTATGCTTTATTTTTTCGAAGGTTGTCGTGGGTGTAGACCCAAAGTTACATGAAATTTAAGCTAAATAAGTTCCAACTTTTTCACGTCTAATGAATTAATTTGACAATTTTCATATTTACGCAAATTATTGATTAATTACCTTCCAGGGGGGACTGTATCTCTTACCAGTACGATTTCCAGCAGCCCGCAGCCTACCAATTTTTCCCAGCGCAGCCCTACATCCTCCGCCAGGCCAAGAAGCTCTACAACTCGATCCTCTACAGAAACAGTAACGTTGACCTTGCCCGCGTCCTCCCCACGGGGGTCCCACTCCCGGATTTGACCCTCCTCAAACAGGGCGCAGCCTCCATTCCGGGCGAAATTGGGTCCATTGGGACCAGTGCGGGACAAGCCTTCACCAATATTTTAGGCAAAAGGGACAGATAACGGATAAATGCCAGGTTTCAGAAGAAAATCCTTGTTATTTATTAAGAGAGAAATAAATGTTAATAATTTGTTAATTATTATTAAACATAGTAAATTTTTAAAAAAATTGTTGAAACAGTTTTTCCAACTGTTTTTGTCAATGTTGGCATAAAATTGACCAAATTTTGTAGTTAAAACTTTGCCCTAGTTATTTATCACTGGAGAAATAAATTGTAATCATTTGTTAATTATTGTTAAATAAATAAATAAATAAAATATGAAATAAAATTTTAAAACAAAGATTTCTTAGTAATTTCTTCTTAATAACTTCTTTCGACAATTTCTATGAAAAATTGACCAGTTTTTAATAAGAAGTTTCCATTTTTGGGTATATTTTTTAGTGAACTGAATGATCGAGTTGGGGTTGAGGCATAATTTTTTTAACAGCTTCCTCCATGACGAGGGTCGTGGAGGTCCTCCCCTTACCACTCAGCATGAATTTAGGGCTGTCGAAAAACTGGAAAGTTTTCTCCATCGTGGTGTTCAGCAGGTAGCGTTGGCAGTGGATGTTGAGAAATCTGAGACAAAATGAGAAAGAGAATGTGATGAGAAAAGTGAGATTTGCAAAAAATATGTGTGTATCACAATCACATGTATATTTGGATTGTGCAAAATCTAAAAAGTTTGCTCGGGAATCTCAAAATAAATTCGTAATTATAAAATTATTGACTGCCGAAAAACAAATACAAAATTTGTACGATTAATTTCATTTTTGACCTAATTTGTATATTTGATTTGTTTCTAAAGAGAGCCAATTTACTTACACATGTGCAAGACTACAGTTTTAGAAATTCGTGTCTCTCATCATCTTAGAAATCTGAGGTCACACCCACGGCGAAATATGTATCATATTAATTATGGATTTTGAAAATGTAAAAAAAAATTATCAGGAATCACAAAAATCGTATCTTTTCTAAATTTTACAATTATGAAAAAAAAAACTTGGAAAAACAGATTAATTTCGTCTTTGATCAAATTTGTAGCCTTGGTTCGTTTATCGATCTACAGCTAAATTTATAACTATCCATAATTTCAAAAGTAGATTTAAGATGTTCAAAAAAATCAGGAAGAAATATTTCTCGCCTTGTCCCAAAAATTCTGAGATTGTGACCATACCCATATTATGACATTTTCTCCCTGGGGGCACACTACCACCGGGAGAATTAGCACTTATTAATGTTCGAGGATGACTTACCCCCCATACTCTTCACATCGAATGATTGGATAATCTTCGCGAAAGCATTTGAGTCCAAAAACGGTAAAATACAAGAGTCCGATGTGAATGCTCGTGGTGTCATTCACCTGTGCCAAACACTCCCGAAACTTGGTGTCGCAATGACAGTGAGACCTAAAATGCATTAAAATTATTTATGAGGTCAACCTGACTAACAATAAGTCTCCAACATTTAAAACTCACCTCGTAAATGGCGAATAATTGCACAAAATCGGCATCGCTGAATGACAACTCCACCCATCCACAAAATCCTTGCAGTAATCTGTGCATAATATTTTTGCAAAAAACGAACATACAAAAAATAAAACTTATAAAATTTTATACTTACCATGTTCCCTGCAACACTTATCCGTCTCTGCGTAATATCCAAGATCCGAATAATTCGCAGCATCATTCCCAGCCCCACAAAAATGGGTTCCTACATATGTTCAAACTCACGTTTACAATTTTTCGGACTTTTTTGAATTCAATTTTTGTAAAAAACACCACCTGGAAAAATTAAGATTGACTTTTCTCTCAGCGAGACGACAAACTGCGTCGCATTGATCGTCTCGTTCTGAAAAGATTGACAAAGTTGGCTAATTCCGTTCACGGTGGAGGCGTCGGCCCGATACAAGTTTGCATTTTGTCCCCCTCGAGTGGACACGATGCGATGGATTAATCTAGACGAGGGAAAAAATGAGGGTTATCTTTTTGCCTTATCAGGATCGATTAACTCCCAAAAAGAGAGATCACCCCACCCCACCTGAGATCTTGCACGACATGGCAGCCCAATTCTGGCAAGATGAAGACAGCCTTTTCGCCATCGGTGCTAATTATGATGGGATACAGAGACGCGTCGTCCAATTCTCCGAACGATTGCGAAATTAAAAAGATCAGACAAAATATGAAATACTTTTCCATTTCTTAGCGGAGCAGATAAGCCGTGCGTACCGTGGAGTAAGCAACCTTTTTTTAGTACTATTTATTTCTACATATATTTTTACACAAGCCGGGGGCAGGATTGAGACTGAAATATGCTCTCGACATTTATTTATTGCCTCTTTTTCCCTCAATTCCTTCATAGCCTTCGATAAGTTCAACTGTATACGCATGTTTATTTTGAGGAGAAAAAGTGGAGACGCACTTGTCCTAATTTTAATAACAATGCGACGCTCTGTTACGGGACAATGTCACCAATTGTGAGAATATAGCCTCGATACATTCATCCCTCGGGGACAGACGTCTCTTTGTGTGTCTCTGCCATTGAACTTCATTTGCCAGAGAAAATCTATGCATGGAAAATTTACCATTGAGAAGGTTTGAAAATTAAAATATTTTTTAGAACCATGACAAGAATCGATTTCAGTATAAATATACACGTACGATGAGTCATAAAAACTAGTCATCATTTATTATGGTTATAAATATTTTAATAAGGTTTTTATGGACGGTATTTTTTTTCGTGGTGCAGGCGAGTTTGAAACCACACCTTTTCCACTGTTAATTAAATCACGAGAGTATTATATTTGCTTATTTATTTATTTAAATGCAAGCTAATGTCAAAGTCGAGTGAATTAATGAAAATGTAATGTATTTAAGCAAATCGTTTTTTAATGAGTTGTTGGGTTAAATAAATCAGTGGAGAGTTGCCAATGAAATGTACATCGCAAACCGACGAGGCAATGCATGTCAATCTTTCTTTTTGTCCAATATTTTCTACCCCACCCCTGACATTCGAACTTAACCTCCCCCCAAAACTATCAGAAACACGTTGCTGGTATTAGTGATGGGTTAAAAAATGTGTCAATTTTGATATCTTGAGGAAAGTTGGTATTTCTTCGAGTAGAAAATATGTGACCAGATGTCATACAAATTATTTGGGAATGATTTCTGTTTTCGCATTTTTATTTAGCCAACTTTAGTTACCAAAAAGTATAGAAAATATAGTTTAAATAATTCCTATTTTATTGGCAACGTCAAGCGCGTCGAAATCAGCGGCGAGTCTGACGTAGGCTTTCTTCTTGCCGTCGGGTCGGACTAACGTGTTAACTTTTTCCACCTCGACTTCGTACAGTTTTTTCACGGCGGCCTTGACGTGATATTTGTTAGATTTCAGGTGGACGATGAAGACGAGGGTGTTGTTGTCTTCGATCTTCTTCATGGCGGATTCGGTTGTGAGAGGGTATTGGATCACGTTGTAGGCGTCCATACGACAACGACGTGGGGCGGCTTTCCTTGGGAACTTGGGCTTCCTTGGGGGGCGGAAAGTTCTTGGTCGCTTGAACTGGATGGTGGGGCGAATCTTGCGGACTCGTTTCCTTTCCCCATCGGCAACTTTGATTACCTGCAGACATAAATAATTCAGAAAATGTAAATAATGGTAAATTTAAGACTTTTAGCCAACAACATTAAAAAAAAACTTCATCCTTATACAGTGTAAAAGCAATCTAAATCGAATAACCAAGTCGTACAAGGTCCACTTTTTTTAAGTTGGATGGACAGTTTATAAAAAAATAGGAAGCTACCTATGACGGAGGAGCAGTACAGTGGCTTTTTTTGAGGCTGAAGTATGTATTTTTTGAGAAAAAAAACCACTCCTAGGCTACCATACATTCTTATTTTTTTAATGAATTGACCATCCGGGTTAATAAAAAAGCTGACCCTGCTCAAATCTACGAACACTGTTCGTCGAACAGTCTTGTTAAATTAGTTGAAATCAGAAAATGTGATGTTTTAATCAGACTTAATTTCATCGAGATTCCCACATTAGTATCGTCATTTTTACTTGTTTCTTTTTTTGAAATATGAAGTAGTACTCGTTTACTTGTTTGGTAAAAATACCAAAATAAAATTACTAGTAAATATTTAATAAATGTACCTTCTTTTGGATTTTGAGGGCCGCATTGATCGCGAGCTGTCTCCTCTTCTGCTTGCTCTTCTGTCGCTTTTGAAGCGCCGTCAAGTTGACCTTAACCTTTTTCACCTTAGGTTTTTTCTCCTTGGGAGTTTTGGGTGGTTTAGGATTCGAGGTCGCGGCGGCTGGTTTCTTCTCCTTCTTAGCGGCAGTCCCGGCGGCCGACTTGGTCGCCTTCTTTTCTGTTGAAACAAAAAAACAAGGAGAATTAGTTACAAGTAGCAAAAAATCACTGAATGTAATGTGTGGGGGGTTAATGTGGGTGGGTGTGGTGTAGAGTAATTACCTTCTTTTTTGGGGGCCATGTGGCTAGAATATTTCCTCAACTTTCAATATTTCTCCGATGAATGTGACGGCGAGTTAGTGATTTGAGAGCATGTTGATCCTCCGCCAGTGTAAACTCGATGATAAGGATGACATCAGCTGCAACCATCGAGTTTTACTTGGCGGAGGATGAACATGCTCTCAAATCACTAACTCGCCGTCTCCATTCACCAGAGAAATATTGAAAGTTGAGGAAATATTCTAGCCACATGGCCCCCAAAAAAGAAGGTAACTAGTTTCCGCCACACCCACCCACATTAACCCCCCACCCACCACAATTAGTGATTTTTGCCAATTGTAACTAATTCTCCTTGTTTGTTTGTTTCTACAGAAAAGAAGGCGACCAAGTCGGCCGCCGGGACTGCCGCTAAGAAGGAGAAGAAACCAGCCGCCGCGACCACAACTCCAAAGCCACCCAAAACTCCAAAGGAGAAAAAACCTAAAGTGAAAAAGGTTAAGGTCAATTTGACGGCGCTTCAAAAACGACAGAAGAGCAAGCAGAAGAGGAGACAACTTGCGATCAATGCGGCTCTCAAAATCCAAAAGAAGGTATTATATTAAAATATTAATGAATAATTAAGCGAGTATATCTATTTTAAAAACTAAAAATGATGATAATAATGTGGGAATCTCGATGAAAATGAATATGATTACAACATCACATTTCCTGATTTCAACTAATTTAATTTATTTGTTTAATTTAATTTATTCGATTTAAATTGTTTTTTATGGAGTATGGATTGTGTACTAAAATTGCTGGGTTCAATCAAAGTGTGAAACTTATTCACTTCTTAATAATTCATATTGTCTTTGTCTCTGCAGGTAATCAAAGTTGCTGATGGGGAAAGGAAACGAGTTCGCAAGATCCGCCCCACCATCCAGTTCAAGCGACCAAGAACTTTCCGCCCCCCAAGGAAGCCCAAGTTCCCAAGGAAAGCCGCCCCACGTCGTTGTCGTATGGACGCCTACAACGTGATCCAATACCCTCTCACAACCGAATCCGCCATGAAGAAGATCGAAGACAACAACACCCTCGTCTTCATCGTCCACCTGAAATCTAACAAATATCACGTCAAAGCCGCCGTGAAGAAACTGTACGAAGTCGAGGTGGAAAAAGTAAACACGTTAGTCCGACCCGACGGCAAGAAGAAAGCCTACGTCAGACTCGCCGCTGATTTCGACGCGCTCGACGTTGCCAATAAGATAGGAATTATTTAAACTCTTTAACATATACTTTTTGGTAATTAAAGTTGGCTAAATAAAAATGTAAAAGCTAAATTCATCCGTGTCCATCCATCGGTCACATATATCACCTTCTTCCGAACTAATTAATCCCAACTTTTTTCCTCGTGCTACCATAATTGACACCTTTTCTCCCAAATTTGTCCCATCACCGTCATAATACCGGCATAAGCATCGTGCTCCAGACTTGCTGCTGCTATTATTCTGATGACGGTAGTGGTTGTGGTGGTGGAGGAAGAGTATCAATGTTGTTCTTACGGACAGAAGCGGTTCCGTACCGTGCCGTACATTTGGTGAGCGAGGAGTTCACGTTGGAGTGAGTGAGCTGGGTGGAGGTATGTGTGAGGAGGAGGCGCTTATCAGGCAAAATGGCCGGGAACGAGGCTCAGTTGCTCTTTGTAGTTTGACGGAGTGTAGTTGGCTGGCTGTAGGTGCTCGTCTTCGTAGTGTCCAGTTTTATCTACTTGTAGTAGTTTCTCTCTCTCATAACTTTTACATCTTTCTCTCTCTCTCTATCTTCACGTAAAAATATTTTGTTTTGAACCTTTGACATGAGTGAAGACTTAGATTTCGTCGTCAAAATGGACAACTCGGGCAGCGAGGGGGTAATCCAGGCCGAAGTTCCGAACGATCCGGGGTAAGAAATTTGAAATTCAGGGGTCAAAATGATACTCTTTTTGATGTTGATGGTTTTATGCTATGGAGAGATGAGATGATTTTTTATTTTTTGATAAATCTAGGAAAATGTTCATTGGTGGTCTAAGCTGGCAAACTAGTCCTGGTGAGGATAGGAAATAGGAATTTTCTTTTAGAAAGAGGAAAATTTTTTGCAAAAGTGTGAAAATTTGTACTTCTTTTTTGTAGAGAGCTTACGAGATTATTTCAGCAAATTTGGAGAAATCGCGGAAGTTATGGTGATGAAAGATCCAACAACGAGGAGATCCAGGTAAAAATTTTCAAGTGTTTTTTTTTATCTAGAGAAAAAAAAGTTGCGAAAAGTGAAAATCAGCATAAAAATGGTAAAAATATTCAAACTTGTAGAGGTTTCGGCTTTGTCACATTCTCCGATCCATCCGCCGTGGATAAAATATTGGCTCAAGGAACTCATGAATTGGATGGGAAAAAAGTACGTCAATTTCAATATTATCAAGTTTCCCCTCTTTACATGGATAGACATGCACATGCAAATTAGTTCGATGATCATGATAATGATGTCTTCATGCTAATTGTTGCAGATTGATCCTAAAGTTGCATTCCCGAGGAGAGCTCATCCCAAGGTATGCATATCCTTGTTATTGGTTTAGCTTAAAAATTTGCAAGTTTGAAAACTCGATACATTTTTCTTCTCAGATGGTGACTCGGACAAAGAAGATTTTTGTCGGGGGCCTCTCAGCACCCACAACGATTGAGGATGTGCGAACCTACTTTGAACAGTTTGGCCCTATTGAGGATGCCATGCTCATGTTCGACAAGCAAACCAACAGACACAGAGGTACGTACGACACACATGGAATAAAAAGTGTATAAAGTTGTTAGAAAAAAATGATAAGGATAAGAAGTAGAAGAAGAAGAAGAATGAATGAGTTATGATGACATGACATGACTGACAGTGCTGGTGTATATACGTAGTGTGTGTTAGTGGAAAGAGTTCACTTTTAATATAATTCAGTCTCGTGAATGAGATGGAAATTGATCCTCCTGCGTCAATGGATTTCAATTTGGTTATTTTTTATTATTTTTTTTCTAGGCTTTGGATTCGTCACTTTCCAAAATGAAGACGTCGTCGATAAAGTGTGTGAGATCCATTTTCACGAAATCAACAATAAAATGGTAAGTGTACACAGAACAAAAATACAAATTCCATGCCCATTGCCCCACCCGAGTTCGAAATAATTTGAGCCGGATCTACGAAGAAAAGTCCAGTATTTTTTTTCTCGAAATACTACAACACTCTCTCCTCTCTCCTCTACTTACCTCCTCTCACAGACGTCGGGGACTGGTTCTACTCCTACTAACAGTGTTGGGTCCCTTGGTTCACAGGTCGAGTGTAAGAAAGCGCAACCCAAGGAGGTCATGCTCCCCGCAAATCTGGCCAAGGCACGAGCCTCGACATCAACTCGGGCCGCGAGTTATGGTGAGTTTATTCTAATTCCGACCATGAGCGGGGTTACCCATCACCACGCATCCCCTGCCCCCCAACAAACCGCGTCCATCCGCTATACGCCCTATGCAATCCCACTCTCATCATCCGGCAGTGGGGGTGGGGGTGGTCCTAGGAATACGCAACACCACCACATTCTCTCCACTCTGGAGCATGGTCTCGCCCCCTACATGACTACGACGCACCATCATCACCACCACCCCCACCATAAAAACCTCTTTGGCGTCATCGCCGCTGCCAATCACCATGGCAACGTGGCCCACCAGGCTGCCGGCATTACGATTAACCACCCCACCATCGGCCTGACCATGCTCCCCATTCAGACGGTAGGGATTTGAGATAGGGTCGTCACCACACCAGCAGCCAATAACTTTTCCACCACTCCTTACTACAATCTCCTACCTCCAAATATCACCCCCCAGTTCCTCCCCTTCTCCCAGCACCACCACCAACTCTTTCGCTGAACATGAAATAAGTACTCCCAAAAAGCTATAGACAAAACTGGGAGAAATCCCGAATAGGCCTTGTGTGAGGGGCATATTGAGACAAACTTATCAAAAAAAGGGGACAGGACTGCAGACAAGCCATGATTCTGGTCCTCCTCTTCTTCCTTCGCGCACAATAATTCTGAGCCGCCCGTAGTTGTGTCTTATTAAGAAATTAGTCTCGGAAAAATGTAGTCTAGTACAAAAAAGTATAGTATTTTAGGATAGGAAATTAATGGTTTTCCATATACACGTGTATACATATAGTTTCTAGAGGGATCAATCTACTAGTCTGTTACACCGTGAGTGAAATTTAGTGAGATTTTAGTGAGAGATTTATATCTAATTTTTATAAATTAGTTAGTCAGTAAAGTATTAATTCGCCAAAAGAAAAAACCAAATCCATCCGTCTCAAACATACAATATCATGTCGTGACGAAACTGCATTTCTTCGTCCTTCGGCCTATTAGATAGATAGAGACGAACCAGACCAAAAAGGAGGAGGGGGATATCTTTCCGTCAGTCAAGAAATAAAGATGTGATGAAATTCGTATACCTAGAGATAGATTTTAGCTATTTTCTATTCCATTTAGGCCAGTTACTTACAGAAATTCGCTCAATCAACCATTCTTCTTCTTCGCCCATAAGACAAAGCCACTTAACGAAAGACTTATTTCTTACCTAGAAATTTAGCGAGATTTTAATAATATGCAACTCAACGTCAAAAATCGTGCCAAAATTAAAACGAGAACAAATTATACATATCTTTTTATCAGGAAGGTAATAGTAAATATGTAGTGTGATGAAAGTGAATGCATTTTTTCAAGCGTGTAAATATTGTACCTCGAGTTATTAGCAGAGAGGAGAAAAATACAAATGGGATGAGACGAGAGGAGACCACCTTCTGAATATTCAGTTGATAAGAAAAAAATAGAATGAATAATAATAGTTCGTGTAGCAGCTAAAAAAAGGTGACGACGGGTCGTGCGGAAAGGGTGTGATTTTTACGAGGTCAAAAAATTTGAAGCCACCCTTTCCTTGGTTCTCTGTCGAATACTGAATGGATGGTGCATATGGCGGATGCAATGCAGGTTACACATATATTTTTCCAGATATTTTTGTTACTAGAGGAATATTCTAGCCGAGAGGAGTGAGTAGTTTGTAGTCTAGAGGAGAAAGTGTGGGAGAAAGTAGGGAAAGAAATACGACAGATTTTCACATCTAGTGGTTTACACGTAGTTCGTAGTGGTGTAGTGAGTATGGGCTCATAAACAGGACATCATTCATCATATCACGGTCAAATTGTGGCCGGCCGAGAGGACGACAATATTACGTAACGTAAGGACATATGTACATCTCATGAAAAAGTAATGGCTTCTTTACACCCAAGTCTGCATTCCCCACCCGTTAGACTCTAATAATAATGAGAATTTATAGTATTAAAAAGTCCGTGGAGAAATTAGTAGGGAAAATTCAAATGAGAATTATGGTAGTGGCACACCACTCGTAAGATTAAGATTTATTGCTAAATATGCGTCTTCCTCTCGCCTGTATTTATGCATGTCTATTGAAATGCAGGTGGCCTAGTCTCACCTTCCGAGTCAGTTTTAGTCATACTTTTAGCGTACGGAATACATAATCTCATTGAATTTCCCTTGTGCCAGGCCAGTCAAGTGTGAATAAATAAATAGGAGAAGAAGAATCCAGCAGTGAATAATATTTAAGTAAGATGGAGAGATCCTTTTTGAGATTGAGAATGCAATAAGCAACAAATATTTACTATTTACCTATCTCATTAAGACATAAATATGTAGCTAGCTACGTATCTATTTACGTAGAGAATCAGTGAGGTTGAGATTTTAACTGCAGTATGCAAATAATCGTATTTAGGTAGAAGTTAACCATGGTGGTAATTAATCCGTGCCAAAGAAGAATAAATGTACACCTTATCTTTGCAATCATAGGTTTTTTAACGAGGGGAACACATTTTGGTTAAGATTGTGTCTCTTAAAAGAAGCCGGTTTTCTTTTTCTTTCGGGGAAGGAACCATGAAGAGAGGGACTTATTATTTATTCTCTACTTTTCTCGAGCAAGAGGGAAAGTTTTAGTGGTGAAATTTATGGTGAAATCGATCAATAGTCTCACCTCAATTTTTCATCCGGAAAGTCAGCCAGTCTGGATGATTGTGGTTTTGTTACACTTACGTAATAAGGAAGGGGCACTCACTAATTGCGAAAAAGAAGGGGCACGTGGGAATTTGACTGAATTTTTTTCCTTCCATTACTGAAAAGGGAACACAGGCGAGAGAGATTTTATTCATCCGTGCAATTATCCATCCATCCATTCATTTTTTTCTTTGGGAACATACATTTAGGAATTTTTACCCTTAAGGGCAGGTTAAATTTCATGCCATGTTTTTTTTACACATACATATCTTCGTTTAGTCATAGTTTTGTTGTTTTTTTTCTACATTTTTAATTCATATTATGTAAATACGTGTGATTAATAATGTTTTTTTTTCTAGACTTTTGCCACTTCATCGTGTTATTAGTTTGTGGTTTTGCAAGAGAAATATTAAGTGTGTTATTACAAGAGAAAGTTTTAGATCACGTAAATCCATAGCCTGTGTCGTCCTTCTTCGTATAAATCTGTCTCCTAATTATTATTGTCTCACATCTTACGTAAATACGTAGTGTATAAATAATGAAAAGTGTAGATTAAATCTCACTCCTCGTTCTCCTGGTAAAAGTTATATAAACGAGTCTAGAAAAAAAACATCACTAAAATATTGAAAATTTTCACCTTGCATTTCCAGCCCCCTCAAAATTAATAATTTTTCCCTGCGGTCGCACCTTCGTGATGATTTAATTGGCTCTTTTAACTTTCTTTTTCATCTCCACTCATGCCCACCGTCGAGTCGAGTGACTGACGACAAAGCCGACCGCATGACCGCACTCAATTAAATTTTGAGGCAGCAAAGTTTCCACAATTATTTACTTTTCCATCCTAATTGGGCCGAGATGAAGTTTGGTTTTATGCCATAAAGTGGATCATTATTATTATTACGTGTTGAGTGATGGTTTTAAATTAGGCTCGTTTATGTCAACTTTTGTCCCCTCCTTCTTCTCTCCTCAACCTGTTCCTTCTCTCCACAATTGTCCCGAAAAGAACCACAAACCACAAAAATAATACTAATTAGTAAGCGAGACACTATTTTAGGTATGTGTAGATATTCGTCTTCTTCTTCTTCTTCTAACTTGTCGTCCTCTTCTTCTCTTCTTCTTAATTACTCTTTTAGATTGTTAGTTTTGTTGTCCTCCTGCGTATAAGATTGAGTGGTTAAAGAAATCGTAATCTAATAATTATCCTTCTTTTTTTACCAATTATTGAAAACATTCCGTTTAATAACAACTTGTTGTTGGGTAGTAGTACGAGAGAAAGTCTGTAGATTTGTCAGTCGTAATTATTTAACTTGTTGTTCTTGTTCAACGCGGCCATAAAAAAAGTTGTACCGACTTGTGTCGCCGCCTTGTCGAGAGATTCGTACGTACGTATCAATCAGGAAGGAGGCATGGAGAAAGGATGGGGTTTTTGCAAAGTCGGTAACATTGGTCGGTGGGTAATTTTTGATCCGGGGGGAGGGGAATTAATTATTTGTTTTCCTGGGGAATGAATCCTTTCTGCACGGCCCCTTGATTATTAGTTAGTCCTCGGTCGTCCGTATTTACCTACCTTTACCGTAATCTATTAATGTTGTCGTTGCAGTTGTTGTATACTTATGAGTATTATTGATGAGTCGTACTTTTTACTACTACTACTTTTACTACACCTTACACTATGCCTACCTTACTAAAAGCTAAAAAAATCTCTTAGGAATCTTACATATTTTAGTTAGATGGTTTTTGATTATAAAATAATACCTTGCACGAGGGAGGCCTCTCCTCCCCCGGCTCGGCTTAGAGTTAGTCAGTTGTGTATAGAATTTGTTGCGTGGTTGGTCGTTCGGACTTTAATAAATTTGAAATCGGAAACTTATCTTATGTATTTTCTATGGCTTCCTTACTTAATTGTTGTTGTACGTAATTAGCACCAAAAAAAATTTACGGCACGCGAGCATAAATGGATAGGTGCATTGAATCACTTTCACTTCACTCTCACTCTCACCAGCACTTTTCCTCCTTTCTTGTCCTAACATTCCTAACACGACTCGGATTATTGGTCTCTCGTTAAGTGCTTATCATGTCTCAACACGCGGCACTAATAATAATAAACAAACTCCGGGATCACCCTTTTTTAAAGAGCGGCATCTCATAGAGATTAGTTTATTAGTGTGGTTGGTGGGAAGGATGTGGCCTCTGGTTTTTTGGTCAGGATTTTGTCCCACTTTTCCACCTGGGTAATATGTAAGCCAGTTTTTGAGTAAAAATTTGTGAAGGGAAAAAAATTGGTCAAAATTCGCGAAAAAGTCTTCCTTTTTTTGACGGGCTTAAATGTTACTTGCTGGGAAAGTCTGTCCTTTTATGAGAAGGTCGCATCCTTTCTGCACATCCCTTACTTAAAATAGATGTAAAATTAATACTCGTAGTATTACAATAACAGGACTAATTACGAAGGATAGCCAATTTAGATTAGACTCAATTTCCAGCATATTTCCGTCCCCTACTAAAATTAGCACCATTTCTCGAAGGAATTTGCATATGAGAGGAGGCACGACTGGAGGAAAAGTGTCATCCACCCATCGAACACTTCTGTAGCGTAGCATAGCCCATCATATGAACATGTTTGAAAATAATTCATATATATTTGACTATATTTTTCTCTCTTGTTCCCTTTTTTCTATGCCGCTCGCACTTAATAGATTTAATGTGGTCTTTGGGAGCGTTGCCTGATGGTATGTCAACATAATTGAAACTGGTTTGATATTTTTGGACCGTGTGTCGTCGTCGTACGTGTGTGTGTGTTTGTGTGTGGTTAATATATGCTCGTCGTCGTCCTCCTCTTCCAAAGAGGAACATACAATGCCGTCGTGTATTCATTAGAGAGAAACAGAGAGAGAGAGCGAGCAAGGGAAAAAATGCTTCTCATTTTCATACGTTTTTAACTCCCATCCATAACTATTAATACTCTCATCGTACGTATCGTGGTTGGTGGGGTGAGTGGTATTTAAATATGTAGCATCGGCCGGTGTGTGTTTGACTGACTGTGCGAGAAGTCAGTTAAGTAGTAAGTTAGTTTTTTTCAAAGATGAAGATAACCCCACGAGAAGAAGAAGAAGGTAGGTTTCGTTCTGCGCCGAGAGAAAGAAACCAATCGAGTCCCGGAAGCAGATGTTTGGTCGTAACTGCCAACTTTGTGACAGCTCTTTCAAATCCGAGTTATTCGAATAATGATAATTATCATGGCTCGGGGGGAGGGGGGAAAGAGATGAGATGAGAATCTGCACCTGGTCGAAGGGTCCGTAAGAGGGGAGGATGACAAAGATTTGTTCTTTTTTTGGGGGGGAGGAGGGTTAAATATGGAGTTTTTTATACCAGAGTTTTATTTCCTGGAGGAGGAACAGGTAAATTTGTGCAAATTATTAATTTTGCGGAATAGTCGCAAATATGTAGGACAGTAATAAGTTTTTGGTTTTGGTCTAGTCTAGTCTAGTGCGTATTGTTTTTTTGGGGGTGTGGGGTGCTTATCCTGGAATTGGGTAGGGATCTGAAGATGAAGATGACATTCTTTTAGTAGCAATTTATAGATAGAATTCTAGTCTTAGTCGAAATGTTGGTGTCGTTCCTTATTAGCAAATAGTTTTAATGGGATGGGAGTTGTTAATTATGAAATCTCGTCGCATTACGTCCTTGTTCTCTGTTCTCTCTCTCTCGCACACCGGCCGAGGGGGGGAGGGGAGGAGGACACGAGAATATTAGCCACACGTCACGCCGCCGCCGCCGCCAAAATCCCCTCTTTTTTCGTACTTACTACATACGCTGCGTCGTTTCTCCTCTCTCATTTCTCGCCATGATGATATCGAAATGAACAACTGTCTTAATTTTTTGTTTGCAAAGGTTCCTTTGACGTAAGTAGATGGTTTTGATGTCGGGGCCAGAAAATGAGTTGAAATGACGTATGTAGATCGTACTGGAGGGAGAGGAATTGTGTAGTTATCGCGTAGTGAGCGAAATGCCAAGTAGTGTAGAAAAATAAGGATAATATAAATAAATGTCGTAGTTTGTTGTATGTCTGTGTCTTGTATGTAACGCGGTCTGTGGGATCACACGTGATGTGATTCTTCTAGTTTTTTTCCCCCCTCGCTTATAATACCTAATAGTTTATGCATATGAAAACCTTTTAATTAAGTTTTACCCTTAACTCGTTACTTAAAAAAATTGCATGTTGTTTGTTTTTCCCCTTTTTTCGTTTAACCGCATCAAAACGGCAAAGCTATTTTCACACTGATTCTGATTACCTGACTCTAATAATTGTTTATTGTACGGCACGCTAGCTAATACAGGATGAAATGACGACGATATGTGCACTTACTTGTTTGTAGAGTGTGAAGTGTGGTGAGAGCTTATACGAATTTTTGACTTTTTATTATTTTTTTTATTATTTACTACTTGACTTGAGCCAACTTTTCCATCAAGATTTGTTGGGCTGGTGCATAAAGGATGCCATTTTTTGAGGGAGGGGGATAGAAGATCCTTTATGCCCGCATACGAGATTTTCCTTAGTTAGCCACCGGTTGTTTCATTTCACGTCTTAGGAGAGGATGCAAATAGGCCACAAAAACAGGAATAACTGTGACACGATAATTTCTAAATAAGGCGACGACTCCGACAAAAAAAGAATCTGTTGTGAAAAGAGTTTTGATTTGATGCGTGAACAGAACCTCCGACCCGGTCGACGTGGTTGTATTGTTTCATAAATTTGTCTTGTTCTCGTCTGTTGTCCTCCTTACTTAATTTTTGTTACTTAATCCCCGCTAACAAAATCCTACCAGAGAAAAAAATAATCCCCCTTTTTTCCCATGTATGGTCTCCCAGCTAAAAAAAATGAGTACGTATACGTAGGACACATCTTGTCTATTATATTGCCTGCATCGCTGCTTATAAATATGTGGAAAAAGCGCGGCGGCCGTGTATACCACGCGGTCGCTAAATGTCTCTCCGTATAGAATTTAGTAGTGAAAGTATTGCTGAAAAATAAAACTAATTTATGTGTCTCCAATTTCCTCCAGGTTTTCCCACGGCGGCATACGCAGCGTACGCCGCGACCGGGCGTGGGTACTCAGGATACGCAGGATTCGGCCTCCCCTACCCGACAGGTACTCCTTTATGTCTACCTTATCCCATCGACTGTCTGTACTCTATGAAACTGTGAACACATAAAATTCGTTCCGCATTTCTTGGATGAATCTCACTCTTCTTCCCCTTCTTCTCCTCCTTGAAGCACGACACCGCGTGACAAGACAAGACGACGAGTCATTCATAATACGTACCGTTTTACACACTTACCTAAATGTATAACCAGAAGGTATCGAAAGAAAGGGAGCATTTTTATCATAATTCTATTACCACGCACGACGGGGGGGTTGTTTTCTAGTCCGATTGTTGTTAGTCCATAATTTTGGAAATATGATGTACATCGTGTCGTCTTGCTTGCCCGGAGAGGAATTGAGACGACAAAGACAGTATTTTAATCGTGGGAGGAGGGGTTCGTTTTTAGTGAGATTTTTTTGATAAAAATTAAAAATAACGAGGAAAGATGGGTACAAATTGTGTCAAACAAGGAGTCACTTTTTTTAAAGGGGGGATTTTTTTTAAACAAATGAATGCGTTCTACAAAGAAAGACTTTTGTTGGGATTTTTTCTTTTGTAACGGGGGAGATTATGAGAAAAAGATGAGATGATAATTTTATTTTGAAATATAAATGCCTCCTCGTCACGCAGGTATTTATTTATCATAAATACGATGACTACATAGTCTTCCTGAGAAATGTATGTATACTATATGCGACGTGGAATAAGTAGGGTTAGGAATTGTTATATTAGTTATGTATTCCCTGGTGGTGGTGGTGGTGGTGTAAAAAGGGGGGTTTAATCATTAGTGAGTGAGCATTTTTTTCTGGACATCCTGCATCCTCTCTTCTACTTACATCTTGAAGGTTGGTTTGGTTTCGTCTTAATTTTCTGGTTAAGTAGTTTGGTCGATTTGGTGGTGGGTCGTAAAAATATTCCAATATTTCCTATGCAACGACTACTTCTTGGGGGTGTCCGTACATACGTTGAGGAGTTTGGCCTAATGGTGGTTAAAAGAAGAAGGGGATTTTTTTGGATGCTGTATACTCGTACGTACAAATTATTATGCGAGTACATATACGAGTTGGTTGGAAGTCGATTATTATGATCCTGATCTCCTCGAATTCTCCATGTGTGCATTAATTAGTTTGTTGATGGTCACGTGGTCTGACACGTACGTACGTACGTACATAACTCGTCGTATGTGTCAAGTGTTTGTTTGTTGGCGTTAAATTGATTTTATAGGCAATTCCGTGTACTTACTCTCTCTCTTGATTTCACATTTTATGTACACAGTGAAATGCCACACCATTTGTTGCGACGGCGGAGAGGGAGAGAGAAGAACAGAACACAGGTTTAAAATAGACACGACAACACAATACTTTTGATTTACATATGTACATACGGAATGGAATGGTGTGGCATGGCATTATTGTGGTTTAAACTAAATCCCGCTTGGCAAACAAAGTTTTTTTTGTCGGTCTGTGTCACAATTGAGCCCTAACATTTCACATAACTCATCCGGGTGGATATCTTCTCTGCGAAAAGAAGAGAAAAAAAAGATTCGAGTGACAAGGTACAAAGTAAAACGGTCTTCTGCTCATTATTACACATACCCCCCTTAAATGCATCTCGGTGCAGATTGGATCTGCATCTGTGTCTACGTACGGACGTACCTCACCCGCTGCTGCACTCTCCGGAAATAAATTGGTACAGATAAGAACAAGAGAGAGAGAGAGGATGCAGTACAAAAAATATGGATGGGTTTCTTCTCTCCTTCTTTAATTACGTCTGCGGGTGGGAGTCGAGACACGTAATTAATGGACACCCCTTAAAAAAAGAGGCGAACTCTGGGTTCTTTCTTGTACAGAGCCAAAATTTGGAAGGCTGGGAACAGGCGGACGGACATATTTTAGCAGAGTGCAGGATTTATAAGTGGTTGCATTAGTACTTTGCCAACCAACACGTGAAGTGATGTTTTCTATCTATTCATAATTTTCTATATCCCATTTAACACACGGGCAGAGAGACAGAGAGAAGAGAGTAATATGCAAACCGCTTAGAACTATGCCGACTAAAAATATATCCATTATGTGACGTCAGACAGGAGAGAGAGAGAACTTTGTGGTGCGTCAAAGTATGAGGACAAATTTCAAACGTGACCCAAGCAAAGGAATAAAAATGATTTGTCAAGTTGCAGGCCGGGCAGGAGGGATGTGAATCTGGGTCAAAAAAGGTCTTCAGGTTCTTCGTCTCTAACGAGATAACGAGTTTGTGATACATCACATTTACCACGGTGAGAGCACGTTTCCCTCAAGCCGGTCAAGGAAGGAAGGGAATTTTTTTAGACTAGAAAATCGTTACCGTAGTCATTTCCTAGAAGTTTTAGAAGAGAGAAAGAAGGGGAAAATATGTATGTAGCATTTCTTCGCGTAGTCGGTTGGTGTCACAATCAATAGTAGCTTATGTACGTAGGTAGGAGTAGGTAGGGGGCATTATTGGTAAATATTTAGTGGACGACGACTTAATTTTAGGCGAGTATTGTAAGATGAAGATATCCTCGTCCTACTGCTTTCTCCTCCTCCTTGTTCTTCTTCCGGGGCGATGAAACAAATCAGAATCCAAGTTAATCATGTGGAGACAATCTTCATACATAAAATATGATATCGATCTCTTCGGCCGGTTATTGATTGATTGCTAGATAGATAGATAGATGTGTATGTGTGTGTGTGTAGGTAATGATGATTGACGACCTATTTACTACATGGAGGCATTGTAATAATCATAATAGGGGTAAAAATAGGTAGGACGTAGCGGGGCATAAAATTTATTCGGTTTTTCTTACCAAATCATAAACAGTCGCGTGCGTGACGGAAAGTATTAGAGTGGTCGTGCGGGGAGGATGTGGCGTCTCTTTTTTGACGGGGTCAGGCCGTTTCGGTGGATCACATCCTTTCTGCGAGGCCTTTAAGGCGAGGGTTGTGGGTGTGTTGATCATGTCGTAATTCTGAGATTTGTGGAAATAAGGTTACGTACGTAGATTTGCGCATGTAGCATCCCAGAGATGAAAGTAAGGCTCTCTGACTCTGAGGGTGGTCTGTAATACGGATTATTGCATAATTTCGCGAGCTCCACGTGGTCGAAAAGTTCTTATACATTTTACCCATCCATTATTTATACGTTGCACCCTTTGATGCACAAATAATGAAATTTAGCCAGCCTACGAGGATGCAAAATTCGAAATATTTCATCTCTCTCTCTCATGGGTGAAAGAATTTCGCAATCAGTTTCTTTGATAAGGACGACGGCGACGACGACAACGTGTGGGTGGGTGGGTGGAGGTCTCTGCCTTTTCTGCCAAATTTAGCCACTTTGTTGTACGAAAGAATTTTTAATTTGGGTAAAATCCGATCGTCTTTTGTCATTTTTTAAATTTATCTTTCCAAGAATTGAAACGGTTTGATTACTTTCTTTTTTCTTTTTGAGGAGAAAATTGATTTTTAACGGCACATTTTTCTTCAACATATCATGATCCCATTTATTCATTCCTTTTTTGATGGCAGAATTGGAAATTGTGCATTAATTTATATGCTGGCAATGCGGACGTATTTTATTTTATTTAAGGAGTGTCCCGTAAATAACTGTGCAGTTTTAAGGTTTGAAGGGATTAAGAAAAATGCTGATTTATTTGTGTTCCAATGTAAATTACTATTGAGTTACATGATTATGAATACTTGTAAAAAAATGGTAACTCTATCTATACTGCTTGAGACTAAAAATGACACGACGAGATAAGCAAGCTTTCTCAAACCGTGTTGTTCACATCGTCTTCGACAAATTTTGGCACGAAGGAAAATAAACCCAGAATTAAAACTGTACAGCTACTTATTCGACACTCCATAATTATTCTTGAGAATCTCATAATTAAACAAGGAGCAAAAAAAACTAAGGGAATCTAGTCGTGCAAAACAAAAAAAAACACCAATCACACACACAGGGGGAAAATTCTAGTAAAAAAATGAACCCATCATCAACTCATACTTACAAACTTGTCGCATGAGAAAGACTGCCTTTTTCTACCAGTCATTGATTTACAAAATAAATAGATACATCGATTCAGATGACGTGATGAGAAATAATTTTTAAGAATTTTTTTAAGTGAGAAAAAAACTTGATCCTACATAAATATTTACTAAAATAAGATACTTAATGAACGACGGGATAAAAAAAAATCAACCAAATGGTGATAATTTTTTTCTCTTCGACACAATTTTTCTCACGTCAAGATTTGTAACCCGTGTAACCTTTGTAAAACTTGGGAGGAACAAAGAAAGAAAAAAAGATCTGACAAAAATACCACTTTATGAATATTTTTTATTTTAAGTTTTGTTAGCATTCTCCCAAAATTTCCAAAGTTTCCACGGCTTACAAACCCTGGTGCGAAGGCTAAACTAAATAAAGAAATAAATAAATAAACATACCAGTAAAGTCTTCACGAAATTTAATCGAGGAGACGACGATATAAAATTCTATAATTTTTTAACTCTGAAATGCAAACTGAAATGTGAAACTTTTTTGAGTTTTTTGTTTCCCACGAGAAAAGAGAAAAAGGAAGAAAGAAAGAAAGAAAGATTTAGTCAAATTAGCTAATTTTAAGGAAAAGAAGAAGAAGAATTGAATCTATACAAACAAATATTGATCAACATGGCAATAATTTATTACGTGGTGAAGATGAAGTTATAAAAATATTTGGATACGATGATGACGATAATAATAAATATTTAGTATTTAATAATCTAAATAATTTACTATTAATGATTATCTAAATAATGATATAACAATAATTACATGATAAGTATATACCGTTAAGAAGAAGAAGAGGGGGGAAGAAAAAAATACATGAAAAAAGTGGTGTTTTTATTAAAGGCTGCTCTTCTTTGTATGTGATGAGAGGAAAAAGACAAAATGATGATGCAGTAAATAAAAAAATGAATAAAATGTCAAACCAGAGAGACAGACTGGTCGGCTGAGTGTGTGTGCGTGTAAATATTTTTAAAAAGTATGTATGTATGTATCCTGCCCCCACGTCGCTTAATTAGTCGCTATTTTATTCTGGGGGGAGGGGAATGTTCGAATTTTAAGCAGGAAAAAGTGATGGAGAGAGCTTCATCACGTGTCGATAATGGATTTTGATGCTCTTCGGATATGTTTGACTCCACATTTGCGCCCACTGAAAAGGGCGAAAGAAAACGGAAAACACGGTTTTTGCTCATCCAAACCTTTATCAAAAATCCGATTTTGATCTGATTTCGATAATATTCGAGACCCTAGATTATTGTTTTATCATATTAAACTTGATTTAATTATCAAAAAATCTGTTATCGTCAAGTGGTGAAGTGAAGCTTTAAATTCATGAGTAAAATCGTTAAAAACTAAGGTTCGCCAGGAATATATAAATATTTTGTAGTGGTGAAATTATACACATTTGTTAACACTTGTTCACCTGAATATCTTACTTATTCCACTCCACATTTTGACCTAGCAGGGTGATTAAGAGGCGTGGTGGGTGAGAGGAGTGTATATGTACATACGATCTATCTATCATACGCATCTTTCTATACTTACTCTTTCATGAGGACGGAAAAATTAGCGAGTTCTCATGTGCAAAAAACTAGTTGAGTAGTAAAAAAAATCTGGCATCGTACATATTTTATTCTAGTTTTACACTTAATACTTATCAAATTCTAGGATCATGATGATTATGTATTAGCGCTGTGTAGTCCTTTTTTGTGGTGGTGTCCATCTCTGTGTAAAATATTTGTCTCTCGTCTCTCCACTATTTTAAAAAAGAAATGCAGCAGTTCGCCCGTTCCAGGAAGAGAGAGTAGTTTTGCCATATTTCTTGTCCAACCGATGTTTCCATGAAGTGGGGGTGGTGGTGGTGACAGTTTTTAGCACCCGAACAGAAGGACCCCCCCCTGCCCCTGCGAGGGAGCCATAATCCATCCATCCATCCATCCATAGGCCAGGTCTGTCATTCCCCTTTTTCAGAAACTTCTTACTTGTTGTGCGCCGCAATAGTGTAGCAAAATTTACCAGCGAACGATGGAGGAAACGGCTTGAATGGAGTGATAAGAGCGATCCAAGTAAACACAAATGGGCGGGAGGAGGCGGCCAGTAATTAAAATGCCCACATTCATTTCTATACTGCAGCAGAGATTAAATTTAATCGAGTAATTAAACGCAGATCAGCAAGGCAGAGGCAGACGCAGAAAGAGCGAGAGAGAGAGAGAGAGAGTGAGAAATTTAAATTGAAAAAGGGACCAGTTGGAAATTTAACTTAAAAAAAATAAAATTCTTTATTCTTTTTTCCTCTCCGTTTTTGTCACTCCCACAAGAAATTTCTGAAATTGTTGTGTAAAAAAAAGCCTGAAAAGTAGAAGTAGCAGATTAAAATGAAAAAAGTGTGTTCTTTTTCTCCTTTATTAGCTACGTATCGTATGTATAATTATTTTGTTAGTTGCATAATTTCCTATGCCACGAGTAGTATAATAATGTTCTTGTGTGTCGTTTAGTTTGCCATTTTTGTGTCTGCCTTTTCTTCTTCGGCGTGTGCTCTAGTTGTAGAAAACGAAAGGGTGTGCAGTAGAATAGGTCAACAACGACGTGCCTGGAGAGAGAGAGAGAGAGAGAGAGTTTTAGTTAATTGGTTCCTGGGAGCATTTTAGTCGGAAAAGAGTTAAATTGGCAGCTTTTGTTCATATTTCTCCTCCTCGTCCTCCTCCTCCTGCTGCTGCTGCTGCTCTGTTAATTATTCCAGAGGACACTATTTTTATCAGGGTTCCGTGTTTTTCTTGGGTGGGGACGAGTTAGATAGATTTCTGTGTCTTTCTCTTGAATATGCTGCCCGAGAAATAGGATTTCTTAGAAAACAACTTTTTGTGAACCCTATGGTTTTAATCGTGGCTATTGTTCTTCCTTCTTACTTAACCACCACCACTATTAATTGAGAACGAGCGAGTAATCGTCGTCCTAAATGTATTTTGTGTCTGTCTGTGTGTGTGTTTTCGTGTATGTGTACATATGTATTTCTGTGACGTCGGTCTTCTCTAGTTTTTTGTGTATGTATTACTACTACCACTAATAGTTAATAATTCTGTCGGAAAACGTGACCTAGGTTGACCTCAGAGGACAATTTCATTCCTTCTTAGGAGGAGAGTTACTTACTTGTTAAAAAAGAGTAGTCATTTTTGTGCCATACAATTAATGAAAGGTCCCCTCGTACTTGATGACCTTTTAATAAATCCAGTCGTCCAAGGATAATAACAATATATCGAAATGAACGCCTTCAAAAGCAGCAGTCTGTGTGTAGATATTTCTTTTTGCTCCAATCCGTTCCACTATTTCGCTCCGTTTGTGTTTTTCCCGTGGCTGAAAGTGAAGTTTTTTATACGTACGTGATTCCGTGACGAAAGACACTTAATACAAGCTCGTCCCCAGTATTTTAGCCAGATAGAGAGGTGTGCGGGAAGGACGCGACTTTTTTGACGGGGTAAGGCCACTACAGAAAATGGGGGTCACCTCCTCCCCGCACAGCCCCGGAGAGAGAAAGTGGTCTCACAATCTCAGTCTTCCCGAGAGAGTGAAAGTGTCATCTCAGGCCGGTAACATGTCATTGAATTGACATTTACGTAACTACTCGTGTCATGGTTGGTTCATTTTTAGTACGAGTTTTAACAGCATCGAACCCCCATTATTATTTACTCTGGTGGAGATTTTATGACGTTTTTCCTACCCATTTTGTCTAATAGTTATCTATATCTCATCCCGTCGCCGCTTCTTGTTTTACGCGAGACAAGGGTAATTATTACCGAGAAGGGAAAGGTGTACAGTATGAGAGAGAGAGAGAGAGATCGTAAAAGTGAGACGAGTTACATACTTATCTCCCCGGTCGTAAATAGGTAGAGTTTTTTTTCGAGGAAAAAGTAGGTTGTTCATTTTTTTGAGGGAAAATTCTATAAATCTCGACACCCATAATTCCCGTGGTCAGCCTTGTTTATTTTGTGGGGAAAGTGGGTGTTTGTCGAATTAGTGAGAGCAGCAGTATGAAGGAAGGAAGGAAGAGCAGCAGCAGCAGCAGCAGCAGATGCTCCCCTCGGAGGAGAGAAAGTTCTTCTTACGTAACGTGATTACTATAGATGTGCCTCCATCCAGTGGGACACTTGTACTTGTTAATTGACTAATGCTTGCAGGAGCATCATCGCATCGCATCGCATCTATAAAAGGAGCGGGAAATATGGGAAAATCCTCCCTGGCAAGTTATCCACTAGTCTTCTTCTTCTTGTACTCTCTCATAAATAACAGATGAATAAAATAGTGTCGTACTTTATTAGTAGTGGATCTCTAGTTGATAGTCGTCCTTCGTGGTGGTGGTTAGTGTGTCGGTTGGGTGGTATTTATTATTAGTTAAGTATATTTACTTTACTGACTCTTTTAGCTTTACTCACACTCTTGTATTGTTACATTAGAGAGAGAGAGAGAGAGATACATACTTACTCTTATACTGACTGACCAAAAGAAGGGGGGCAGTGCAGGGAGGTCGTCGTGTTGTCTCAATTTGACCCCATTTCTAATCTGAATCCCCTCAGAAAAAGAGAGAACGAGACCGACCAGGATACGACATCCTCCCTGCACACCGTCCGACTCAGGAGTGGATTGAATAATAAAATAGTTTGGTAGTAGAGAAGAGTTGATAATAAAAAAATATGGGGATTATATAGTCGTTATTTACGTAGCGTTAGCGTGTCGTGGTGGTGAAGTTGTAAAACTAATTTTCTCCGGGGCACGATGAGAATACCACACCCACTTCGACGATGATGATGGCGACGAGGACGACGGATTTGAGACATAGTGTGCATGCTGCTTGTGGTTAATTAAAACTAGACGAGTCGTGGGTTTGATATAACGCTTGGTCACTACTCTTGCGTAGCGAATATTGTTGTGTGTGTTATTATTAATTAATTAATTAATTATTCTAGTCAATGTACTGATCGGTCGTTACTTAGATGAGGACGGAAACACGAGTACTTTAGTTTCCGTTGGAGAGAGAAATCTAGCTTTTTGGCTGACTCGGGTTGTGGACGAGTTTGAAATTTGAGTCTATTTTAATTTGCAGGGTTTCCCAACTACGGCTACTTTCCAGCAGCACCGGTGCCTACGGGAAATTCCAATGCGGCTGAGAGGGCCAGCTTGGCGTCAGGATATTACGACTATGCACAAGTAAGTTCATTTCCAGGGTGGCAGACTGACACGCCCTGGCTCAAGTTAGGCCAGCTCACGTCAAGAGGGAGAAAGTTGTGGGGAAACATTTATTTTATGTAGACGAAGTAACTACGAGTTTGAGATGGTTTTTTGAAGCAAATTATGGTAGAAATAAAAAAAAAATTGGGCATGCTCACGTCAAGAGAGAGAAATTTGAGCGAAGAAACTTAATTTATGTACATTAATGAGTTTGACATGGTTTTCTGAGACAAATTATTATAAAAATTTGCAAGATTTCGGCATAACAAGAGAGAAAGTTGTGCGAAAAAATCATGTAGACGAAGTAATCCCGAGTTTGAGGCAGTTTTCCGAGGCAACTTATAAAAAAAAAATTTGCAAAATTTCGGCATTCGAGAAAAATTTGTGCAAAAAATTGAACGTATTTCTTGTCCTTAGAACTGCAAGGGTCAAATGACGGCGAACAACCTGCTGGACAAGAACGGTCCCTCCATGTCTGAGAACTGGTTGGAGGGTGCGATTGGGGAGGATGTCCTGCACATTGTCAAGTCTCTCCCGTCGACGCGGGTGTACCCCACGCCCAACTCGCCGCAACCCATGGACATCTACGGTCCGGGGAGTGACGGGGTGGGCTACGTCCAAACCACGTCTCCACAGCCTTCCGGTTTCCCAACTCTGGGCGTTTCACGGGTTAGTGTTTTGTGCGCCCTTCTCAAAACGCTCTAGATGTCGGCTACCAGTTTCGTACTTATTTATTTTTATTTTTTTCGCAAACTACCTCCGGCGCTATTATTTTATTTTCTCAACTAGTGTGTCGGTTTGTCCTGTACGCTTAAATTTGTTCCTATTTTCCCAGGGAGTCATTTTTTGTAGTCAGTTCTTCGTCAAGAGGATAGAGAGAAATAACAATCAGTCATTTTTTCACCTCAGTGTTTTTTTCTCAATAATCATCCTCGCAATTTTAATCAGTCGTATTTTTTTAGAAGCAAGAAAGGTAATCATTTTAATGTGATATTAATATTAGGATTGTAAGTGAATCTCCGTTTTTTATGTATGACTTGATCACCGAGTAATAAAACTTTTTTGTATGTAGCATAATACATTTTTTTGAAATATTGCCAATTTTTTTAGAAAACAATCCTCCCATAAATCTACCCAGTTTGCTGCTTGACTTACTTACCTTATGTAAATATTTATCGTTTGGCCATAGTTTTGTTTTCCATGCAGCTTGGCGTGTCGTTGTTGTTAATGATGCCTGATTTGCATAAAAAATGTCCGGGGTGCCAAAGTGCTCACTCATTCACCTTGTTTTCAGGGACCCTTGATACCTGCCGCATTTACGAATGGATACCACTAAAAAAATTGGAGAGAGTCTCATTTCGTGCATCATCCCATAAGTAAAAAAAAACATTATCATTTAGGAGAGAGGAGACGACGCCCGCCCGCCACGTCATGTGACACGTTGGGAAGAAAGCATATAAAGTTTAGATATTCATAAATCTCTGGGTAGGAGGAGTAGTAGTTTAGAAATGTTGTTGTTTGCATAAATTATGATTACACCGAGGAGACGACGACTTTAGCCTAGTGAAAGTAGAGATAGATAGTCGCCTTTTTGGTAGCGGTGACTCTTGTCATTTGTGCAGTGATGATGGATGCGAGTTGGTCTCCTTCTTCCGGAAATAACGTACTTCCTTCGTTAGCAGGGACGTCGTCATCGTCACCGTCCCTGCTCCTCCTCCTCCCAAAAAGTCTGCAATAATGTAAAACTGACTCTCTATTGAAGTTAGAAGAAGAAAACACTAATTTGGCAGGAACAACACAACGACGATTGCGACGAAATTTATGTCGTTATTCTAACTCTGTTCTCCGATTAATGATAGAAAATGCAATAAGGAAATATCCCTCCAAAAAGTAGGAAAAAGTTACTAAAATTCCCAAAATTAGGTACATATTTAAAATATTTAACAAAAATACTACTCTCTCTTCTCTTCTTCTTCTCTTCTTGTCACTACTTTCTCTAAAATTGTGTAGCCAGCCGCGACACACAAAGTTATTAATCGTGCGTGAGGGACGAGTATTTACATATTAAGGGACACCAAATATTTGATATGATACAAGAATCTTTGACAAAAACGAGAAACTGCTTCTTCCAAAAGAATATAAAATAACGGGATGATTTTTTAGTCGTTAGTTAAATATTAGGTTTAATTAGTGATTAATTAATTAATTAATACTACTCGTGATTAAGTTTATTGTTCGAGTTTTTGCTACTTGGAGTAGCGTGAAAAAAACATTACATTAAACTTTAGCCCAGTGGAGGTGGTTTGATATGTAAGAAATAATTAGGGTACACATTTCTATGAATTAAATACACAGCTAAATACACATACACATTTGTATTATGTATTAACCAGGACGAGGAGGGGAATTTACTAGGAATTTTAATGTCTCAGGGAAGAAAAACTTTTTTTTTGAAGAGTTTCTCAAATTTTTTTGTGAGTAGGATTTAGTAAATTTGTGCGATTGGTGAGACGAATTCGGGACGAACTTCAGTCCTTCAGTCAGCTGGTAAGTAAATAATTAATTACGTCACTATTTTTTTGTCGACTAAATGGTGCATAATGTAGACCATCACTTATTTATAACAATCGTAATGTAAACAATCAGTTGAAAAATGGGAATGATTTTTCTGGTCAATTTTTTTTACTTGAACTTTTGAAGCTTACAAATATCTTGTCAGAGATCTCTCGAAATTAGTGGATGTCCAGTTTTACGTATATTTTGCAACATCACCAAATCTTCTTTGTGTCATCTAGTTTTTTTTTAATTGTCTGAAAATTTTGTTAGGAATACGGTTTGGGGGGAATTTCATTACGAAAAAGTAGGAGCATATAGACTGATGAGGAGAGAGTGTGTTGTGTGTGATACCTTTGCAGCTACCCGGTGAAAGTTTGTAATTTCGTAGTCTGATTGATTTTCTCTGAAATTATGGTGTAACCGCAGATCGGAAATTTCAAAGCTGATGGGAATTTGTACATCCATCCCGTTGTTGAGTATGTATTGATCCGAGACAATAATCGAATCAAGGTGAAAGTCTGTCTTGATCTCGACTTCTTGAGGGCGGCGTGTCAGAGAATTCTAACCCAAACGGTTTTCCCTCTCGTCTCTCTCTCTCTCTCTCTGGAGGGACAAATGCAGAAAGGAGTGAAATTGAAATCTTCCTCGTCAGCATGTACGTAATTCACTACACGGTTCAACTTTCACTCTAAATTTGTGGAAAATCCAGCCATCCTCCTCCTCCTCTTCTTCTGATGTGCTTTCTGAGAAAACCCCGACGCTGGAGGGTTCCTTCATTCGTATGCATAACCGAGGTGGTGGTGGTGGTGGGGATGATCTTGATTTTGAATTACATATTTCTCAGAGATGAGGAAAAATAGGTAAATACTTTCACCTCAAAATATTTCCACTTAGAAGAAAATAATAACTTTCCAGGGAAATTTTGGATTTACTTATTATTTTTTGCGCAAGTGTGGATGGATGATGGATTCAGGGGGGAAGAACAATAGTAAATATTTGTGTCCCTGGGGACTTGTTAGAATTGGGATTGGATCCTTGCACACCCATTTTGACCGGTGGTTTTTTCGGTTATGTAGTTACATACGTCTCGTAAAAAAATGTAGGCCATTCACGTCGTAATTCGAATCTATTCTTCAATAGCATATCAGCACAAATTGCTCACTTTCAAGGAAAACAAAGCAACATTTCATCTCAAACGAACCGAATTTTTGATGGAGGATGAATTTTAGAATGTTTTATGTATTCCTTTTTTTAGAAATGTACGTATGAAACTTTGCGAATTACGTAACTTATAATTTTTGACTCGCTAATGGCTCATTCTCCACCACCACGAGGACGACATCCTTTCTAGCTCACACTTTTACTCAAAATTGTCCCTGGCTTTCTCCTCGTTCGTCTCCTTATTTATTTTGCCCCACTAAATTACAACTCCACGTGTGGGCGAAATTCTAAAAAAACGGGTCCCACAATCTTTTTGCTAGGTACGCATTTATTTATTCATTTACAAATCGTTTAATTTTAAAGGAAGTATTGTGTGGTAAATCCAGTCTTAGAGGACGATTTCTCCTTTGATCCCACTTATTTTGTAACTGAAAGAAAAAAAGCAAACTTTCCGTGTAACGTGGTTTCCTTCTCGATCTGATTGAAGTGCTGGTTGAAGAAATTTAGTTTTTTTTTAACTTTCCTCTTTCCACTTTCTCTCGGTTGGAAATTAGCCTCATTATTTGCCCGCTTTCACCCACCTACTTGGTGTTGGTATATACTGGCCAATTTTTTATGTTTCTCTTCCCCGTGAAATGCATATTTCGTCGAATTTGTGGCCCACCAAGTGACTCTGATATATTGCACGGGCCTGGTGGTGGTGGTGGTGGGAAGGAAATTCCTTGTAATACTCTTCTCGTCGTCGTCGGAGTAAAAGTTGGCTGCTGCTGCTGCTCGTGGGACTGGCAAGTTCTCCTAGTTTAGTTTTGTCGGATGAGAATCCATCCATCCACACACAAGGTTAGTGGATGGAAACTTACTTGGCGAGCCTGGTGTTTCCCACTGTTTGGAGAAAGCTGAAAATCGATCCGTTTTTGTGTTGGGACGACTGAAAGGAATTTTATTCAAGAGAGAAAACGACACCGAAAATAGAACTTGGTTGGCCCAACGAGAGAATGGATTTCTCTTCTCTCCTTCCCTCTCTCCGTCTAATCGCGTATAGGAGAATAATAGCTCCCACGTAGTAAGTAGTCAGTCAGTCAGCCAGCCAGCCAGCCACCTCACCTGTCATGTCATTCTCGGCCTGGACTGGATTCAAATTTCAATCCGTGGTACGAGTGGACCTCGACTGGACACACCCAGCCGAGCAAATATCATCTAAATATCTTACATTTCTTCTCCGTGAAAGCATGTATGCAAAGAGAGACAGACCAGTTTTATCGATACTTTTCCTCTTCTTCGATAAGGCAAGATTTGCTCTCTTTCTTTCTCTCTCTCTCTCGAGCGATGATGATGATCTAGCTGAAAGGATCGATGTGATGTCACTAAATTTAAAAAAGAAAACTTGCCGTTTTCATGCACAAAATAAATTTCAAATTTCGTACAGATGGAAGTTCTGGGTTGGAAATGAATATTTTGAGAGAGCACGTGGAGTGAATGCGTCATGCAAATTGGGCTCTCTCTCTCTCTCTCTCTCGAGTGATGATGATCTAGCAGACCGATCTCGAAATCGATGTCACTTCTTTTTTTGAAAAACATACTGTTTTCAAAGTCTAAAATTCGGAATGATTTCGTAACGATGGAAATATTCCTGAGAACACGTGGAGCAAATGCGTCATGCAAATTGGTCCTCTTGGTTCCAGAGTCGAGTGGGTACTTGAAAAGTGAAACGTAACCAACATCAGAGAATGGGATTTTGCCGGATTACGTAACCCTGCATCATAATCTCGGGGTTTAGTCGATCTCAAATTTAGTCAAGTTTCCATTTCCCCCCAACCCACCCAAAAGAAGAAGAGAAAAAAACCAAACAAGCAATTAAAACAGTCCAAAAAACGAGGTTAATTTCCATATTATTTATTTCACAAAGGGGGACACACAGGTGCACGAGTGAGTGAAGCCACATATGTGGAACCGCATCTCTCCGCCTGCATTTTAAAACCTGGCAAGGAAATCAATTATGCATGCCAACTTTTCAGAGGCATGCATCACCTAAATGGCAGATAAAAGGAGGAAGAGAGGGTCGTAAACGGGTTCGTTTTCGTGCGGTGTTCATCAGAAATTATGTGTGTGCAGGACTAACTACTTAGCGGGCTGGCTGCTGGCTGGGGTGTATTATTAGTGAGGAGGAGATCAATTGTCAGTCAGTCAGTGAGAAGTGTTTCTCCATCCTGACCATTATTATTATTATTCAAATGTAGATTGCTTTCGAGTAGGTCGTAAATTGTAAAGGCAAGCAAACAAACGTTGATAAATATGAATATGCGATGAGCCTCCGTCTTCCTAGATGCACACACAAATTGCGTTCTCTCTCAGAGAGAGAAGT